CAAGCTTTCACGGATCTGAGACACTGCATTTTGCGCTCGTAATATGCGTAAATTTGTTATATTTATATTTAGAAAACCCATTGAAAGATGTTAATATTAAACAAAGTTATCGTTAACCTGTAAATCGTTTGTTCATATAATTTCCCTTATTCAGCAATACGCTTCAGCTTATCAATTAGTTGAAGGTAGACATGTGGAGATATGCATGACAAGCTTATTTCGTAAACAGTTTTTGATGTTATTTGTATTTATTCTGTCAATTTTTCACTGCATGTACATTTTTCATCAAATGATTGTACGTGGTGTTTAAGTTTATGACCTTGAACACCTTTTCTTCCGTCGTGTTACTTTCATAGCATGACACACGCTGTCACGTACTAACAAATACACTGTTACACACATACCTTTTGTTCTCCATTCGCTCGTGATTGTGTTAATTGAACTCTAACTCAAATACCGTTTACATTTATAGACTATAATCGAAATATATCATATTCTACATTTGGTTATACCACTGGGAGGATATCAACCTTACTGGAATCTTCAATCATCTATAATTGTGGATTTTGGTACAAGACTCAACCGGAACACTCACAAACTTGCTGAATTAAGTAACGTCTCTAATTTTTGTTGTGTTTATAACATTTTAAGTGATATATTAACATTACTACTTGTACTTAATAACTGCGTTATCATTTTTGACTTCATATATTGTTCGGTCCACTATAATTATCTGGTGAGCCTCGAGTGTATTATGGTCGTTATATTGCTTATATTTTTACTTGACACACTAGTTTATTTTTCACATTATGTACTCTCCAAATAAACTTATCGACATAGGTTGCCCCCCAGTGAACCCCCTCAACTCATCGCATTAGGACGATAACATTTTAAGCTCAGTTAACGCCATTTTCGAGTTCAGACTACTGGCATACGGTGCCAGCAACCCCAGGATCTGGTTCGCGCTAATAGAAGCCTTATTCTTAGCGAGAGGCATACGCTCTCGGGTGACCAAATATGCCTACGTTGTCGGCTCACTTTCCATCGAAACCGCTACGGAAGTCAGAGATTCGATCGACCATGTACCAGAGACTGATCCTTAAGACAAAATTAAAGCCGCCGTAATACAACGTTTATCACTCTCTGATGAAAAAAAACTACAGCAACTGGTTACATCATGAGAACTAGGGGACAAGAGACCATCACTGTTGCTACGACATATGAAACATCCAGCGGGTCCATATAAATTAGATGAAGCATTACCTAAACAAATGCGGTTCCAACGATTACCACATAACGTGAGACAGATTCTTAGTGTGTCGGGAAATTCCGTCAATCTGGAAGACCCAGCGGAGATGGCGGACAAGATGATGGAGATTCACCATGATATCATTGTGTTAATGCGATACAGACCTCTAGTAAGTACGACACGAACACTACATTTAACATCCAGCAACAGTTAACGCAGTTGGCATAATTATAGGCTGCTATCACGACCATCCATTCTCGACCGGCCAGATCCACGACTAGAAAAAGATCCGTTTCCAGACAGCGCCCTAAATCACCTAGACGGGCAGCAAGAAATTGTATGGTGGAAAAGGACACAACCGTGCAACTTCTCAACAAACAATCATGAGAACCAGGGAAACGGGCCGGCCAGACAGTAATGGCGACGTCTATTACTGGCCAACATTCCACCCGCCTCTTCCACATCAGGGACCGTATTTCTGTCCCAGACGACTTAGTCGATACAGGAGCAGAAATCAGCATAGTCCCACTGCACCTCTCTCGTCGACAACAAACAAAAAATACCAAGTCGCCACTCATTGCGGCTAACGATACGGTCATCAAAACTTATGGAGAGTAATCCCTCATTTTAGACCTCGGACTCCGGAGAAGATTCACATGGGATTTTTTAGTCGCCCACGTCAAACAACCCATTCTCGAGGCCAACTTTCTTGGCGCCTATAGTCTATTAGTAGACATGAACAAAAAGAAGCTAATTGACAAAAATATACGTTTGCCTGTGAACGGTACACAACACACAGACTACGAAGTACATAGTGTACGAATAATGGAACCTGTGAACAACCTTTTTACCGATATCCTGACTAAATACGAGTGTGTCACTAAAGCGGACTGCCAAAAAAATGCAGCATACATCATATGCAACACCACATTTCTGAGTTCATATATTGTTTGGTTCATCAAAGACATAAGTTTTAAGTCAGAAAACAAATAGATAGCTTTCCGGCTTAAAAGATACAATTCTGAAGAAAACAAATCAATCGAGAAACAAACGGTCAAACTTCATTAAGAGTATCAAATTCAACAAGTAAATGTAATGGCAGCAAACAGAACGTACCTTTAAGTGTTTTGCCTGTTTTAAACAATGTTCTTCATTTGATGATCATTGTAGAATATCACCTTGTCATTTATTGTTGGCAAAAGAATTGCAGACACTTGAAGCAGTACTACGAAATTTTAGAAAAGCCCAATTACATAGAATAATAACATCATTTTAAAGCACTATCTCGATATTATTCATCCGAATGCATTAATTTTTTTAATAATTTGGTCAGTGATTGCAGATTCTATTTACAGAAATTTATTCGCAATCTCTATGACAGACACATCATAAATTCGTTTCCACTAACAACATAGTTCAGTCAGCATATTTGAAACATACATGCATCGTTTTACTTATGATGAATATGTCCCTATTAATGTAAAGCTGTGATGTTATATGCAGATCCTGCATATGTCCATAAAAATGGAAAAAAACAATTATCAACGTTAACCATTTGTCACATAAATTTTTTTCTCAGATAAGAGATAGGCATGACAACATTATGTCAAAAATAATGATACTTTTAATGGTTGGAACTATTTATGCTTAAGTATTACCAACGCAAAATGTTAAAAAATAGTTTAACTCAGAATTGCTTCAACCTTGAGTTACTAAAAAACTAACAGTCATTCATGTTTATCAACATCCTTAGGGTGGTGAATCAAATATTAAAGTTGGAACTCACGTTTGCTTAAGAAATCTGACTATGAGTTAATAAATAGTGAATTTTACTTGCTTGAGTACACATCGTTATAAATAGCCACATTAAGTTGACTTAAAATTCACTTAGGTAGTAAACAACTCTGTCAAACTAATAATTAACTAAGACAGAATTCAAATGGATCACAATTAGCAGTCAACGTTATTTTGCTAAAAATGCCGGAGGAATGGTGGCTATCATTTGCAATTTAGATAGTGGTAACTTACATGCAACTTAATATTTAATTTTTCATGCGATTTTGTTAAAACGGCATCATTGAGCGGTTTTGTGTCAGCGAATGTTCCAAGCACATTCATAGACCAGAGATAAATATATTCTTCAAAATAGCGATCAAGTTATTGGTCGTCATTTTCATATTAGTAGTTGGAGGGCGGTTTCGGTCATATTCTACTCTTATTTCTTTCAGAATCTTAAAGCCTAATATGTCTGTTAGCAGATACGCTTTTCGAAAAGCCTAATCTCGCGCTATTACTAAGGGTACAACGATTCATCAAAAGATGTCGTTATTATCTCTTGGCAGGAATCCCACAACTTTCAGATATTAACGACTGGAACGTTCGCACATGTTTTGTACATTCTCTTTAGAGTTATGCTCGAAAGAAATGCTTTATTGAGTTTACGTTAGCCCTAGATCAAAAATGTTCTGGTATGACAAAAACACTGTGGGCGATTTGATACATCATGACTACATGCTACGCAATATTTATGTACTGTACGAGTCCTAATTTAAAACTGGTGAAAGAACTAACTAATGTATTACAGTTCAAGTACCTTTAGGTTACCACCCTTTCAGCTGTTTCCGAAAATCTGGTGTTCTCACTGGGTCAGCGGGTCTTCTCAAATAAATTTTTCATTAGACATTGAATACTATTCTAAATAGTTCGGGCGTCTGGCTGCAGAAGGAACTTTACTACAGCGTAGGTATTATTAGGAAGTGTTATACTGGAACGATCTGAAGAGTGCAAACTAAATTGATATTAGGAAGGATCGGATATCGGAGAATTGGGAAGTACTGGTACTTGAATCTCATGTCACAAGAGAATCCAAAACTGTTCACCACTGTTTACCATTAGCCTTCTGAATTGATGATATATGGAGGACTTTTCTCATTAGATGTAATCAAAAGTATGAAGCCATTCCTTAAAACATATTCTGAAGTTAAAAATTTGTCTTGCTTTTAGGAGCTGTCCATGAAAATATTGAGTTGTGTTTACAGTTGCGCGACCTAGGATCCCAATATAATATGCCGCAAGATTCGAAATATTTGCTAATTAGGTACTCATCTGTGGTTTTGAGGAATTTGATAATATTGAACTATGATTTTGACACACACAACGTTCCTAAACAGGCAGATTCATTTTCGTAAGTTCAAAGCTCGCCAAATCAACTACTGAAGGTCTTTTTTCAAAATATCTCGCAAAGCAGAGTTTATACATATACTCCACTTCTTATTTCGAACTCTAAACCCTGTGAAGTATGACACGGAGTTAAGGTATTAACCAAGTAGTTATATAATCCATAAAGGGCGTTTCTAGGGCCTAAATCTGATGTTGGGTTCAAGAATGCGACTTACCGCTGGTTACGCATTTTGTCAGCTGAGGTGCGTTTATTTCCATTTAACGTAGGTAGTTTCCTAAAGTGATCTCCAACTTTTTCGCCACTTGGGGTTGCCCTGCTGGTATTGGCGTTATGCGTCTTCTGGCTAATCTATCTTCTTATGTCTTAGTAATTTCAAACGGCATGTTATCCTTCAACAAACAAATCATGGAAAATGATCCTAACTGTGAATGGGTGTCATTCAACTCTATAGAAAGTGTTCAGCGCAATCTAAAACATTCACTTTCCCACATTATTTCGGAAGATCTACTCCAAAGGTTAGTTTGCAATATTTGGATTAACTGCTCACTACTATCGTAGTGCTTAAGTGATTAATTTAAACATATTACTCCCATCCATTGTTTAAAAATTTGACCGTCTTCACTTCCAGGCGTTTAGATGGTGTATACTCCCTACAAATTGCGGTTCATACGAAATACATGAGCATTTACGTAATAACCGATTAACAATCGTAGCTATGTCTATAACTGTCAGCTATTAAGGAGAGGAAGTAGCACTTATAACATGCAGTTTTTAGCGTTCAGCTTCCGGTTAACAAACAACACAAGCAGCACTGAGTGACGGACTGCATACATATATATTGATAATCTTTATTTTTAAAAGACCTAATATTCTACAGCGTTCAAATACGTTTTCTCCTGTATCGAGTGTAAAACCACATTCATCCTATAGCACCTCTCTTTGTCTAGTTTTATATAACATATTAGGCCGCAGTATGCTACGGTTTAATATAGATCTTTTCTACACAAATTCTATTTCCTTCTATAGCTCGACTTTTAGCTTCTTTTATAAGACGTTTGAAGAGCAATATAACGCTGAGTTGCTACACTTCACTCCAGCAAAATCAGAAGTATGACTTGTAAAATTGAGGTGACAAGTACAAAGTTTCGATTTTCGAATGATGGAATCGCCTACACGTATATATCTGTACGATCCTTGTCCTGTAAACTAGCTTTTACTGACTTACCACACTAACTTGTGTAAAACGTGTGAGATTAGTACATTTATAGCTTGTCTCACGAAATTCAACTTTTCTTTCTCACTTGCTTTCTCTTAACAACACTATCATGCACTCAATGTTACTATTGCTTTATCCTTTGGTAATTTCGATAGTAGGAGTACTTTACATTAAAATTATTATAAATCGTGGTATGCTCTACGAATTCTTTGACTAAAGGGAACTTCAAAAAGGATCTGAAGCTCTGGATGTTGAAGTTCAGCATGCATCAGAAGAAATTTTGGAATTCAAGCAGCTCATTGTTTCAGATTCCGATTTACGAAATAATATGTAAGTTAACTTCATTGGATAGTTATTTACGTGTCAGCACTTTTCTTATCGCGCTGTGTATTTCCAAATGTTTTGTCCCTGTTATTACACCATTATCCGCATATCCGAAGTTTGGAAGATTGGATTCTATAACTTTTGCGCCACTCGCAACAGGTGTTCACAACTATACTTTAGTACTACCCCGTTTTAGCCCATATAAAATGTTTCCAGTAAGCTACATATATTCTCGGTTATCCTATTTGAATAAGTACGTTATACAGCTAATCTGTAGTTAAGCAATAAACAATACCGTTCATTAGTTTCGACATGTAGCATTTCACAAAATATGGGGTTCGTTCCCCGGTGAGTATTTTGCATTATAACTGAATGCAGTGGTGGCTTAGAGATTGAGCAAGTTACTTTTCAATAAACAGGTGACTGATTCAAACTGCACTTCAGGTAAACAGATAGTCTTTCTATCCCTTACATAATATGGCTCAAAACTGAGTGCATAAATTTGTGCTCGGTAAATAAGTTACACTTTGTGCTAAGTTATACTCCAGCGTTGGAACACAGCTGTTTTGAAATGTGCTAGATGTGCCTAGATTACAACTGCAATCCTTGATATATATGCTAGAATAACCTTGATCCTATTAGGTAAAACGTTCCGTTGGTATCACACCTGTTTATCTGGTGGTTATTTTTCACCTATAGTTTTTGCTTTGCAAAACTTGACCACACTGTTATTTTGCAACATTGAAAGTATCTTGGGTTCGCCACTGATACAGCATCCAAAGATCAGGCCTAACAGTCCGACCTTGATCGGTTGAATGACTGACCCACAAGCTAATTTATTTCAATCGCCTATGACATTTTATCATGTTTATTGTGTTCATATTTTGTACATAAGCATGTTATTTCCTTACATAAAAATTCATCAGGCCATTGATCTTGTCTTTGGTTTGTAATCATTGAGAGGCCTAAATCAATTATGCGATCTTGTGAGTAACTGTCAGATAGTTAAAATATATCATAGCGTTCATCTGTCGATCAGCATTCTATTAGTCGATTGCTATGGTTTAAATATCGTGTGCTCAAAACGTACTAAACCTCTCCCATAACATCCACTCACCGTCAGGGATAAATTGTTGTAGGTAGTAAATATTCCTCTATATCTAGCTAACTATGTGTCTTATTAGTGATGTGATTAATGGAGCCAGTTTTCGTGTTACAAATGCTAAAATGACATGCTAGCGTGTACAGAATCCGCTGAGACGGTAATATGGTTGTAACAGTATAGGTTCAAACATTTTCTCTCAAGGTAAGAAGTCCGACACTTTATCCGTAAAACATGGTCTTTTTCGGCTGGTGTATTTAAGAACTTCGCTTGCTTATTTTTGTCTTATGTATAGTGGTTGACTGAAGTCCAGATTTTTGAGTATATCTGGTCACGGTGATGACAACTGTTTGATCGACAGCCATCTTAAAATACGGGCTAGAGTAACTTTTCGGTTTTATGTTTAAATTTTCATTTATTTTCACAATAAATACTGTTCCTCGACATTGAAAGTGGACGTGAGAAGTGAAGGTATCGTCAGTTTATGACATGGACTCGTAGGTCATCACTGTTCGGTATCGTGAGTTACGTAAATCATATGAATCAATAGCTTAAGCGATCGTTATTAATGGGAATCGACTCCGATTTCTGATGTTCTATAATTTTTAAAATCAAATTTGAACACATAAACGTTACTCAAGTGCTTTTTATCCATGTTGTCTTCTATGCCTTTCTCTTCATAAGGTTGTATTGTTTTATGCGGGTTTTTTTTTTGTGTTCAACATATCAAGCGTTTTGATAGTTGTTGATTACCAATAATCTACGAATTCTATTGAAATAAAGTTGATTATTAGCATAATCTTGTGACGGTGTAAGTTAGTCATTTTTATCGCTTTCTTTACGTAAATCAAGTCTTACTCTTTGATCATAGGGACGATACTCAATTGTTTTCTCTTTGTTCTGATAAAACCATTGGACTCCCGGATGAACTAATTGCTTATCAATTGGAGTTAACAAAAAAAGTAATCTTTTTTCCATCTTGTTCATGTGGTGTTTTTTTCCTGGGAAATATTTTGTTCTTACTCTGATCATGTTCAGAAAATGCCTTACATCATTTATAATCGATCTGAAGAAGATATGTTGTGGTTAAAATGTCTTGTAACCGTAGATTTTATTAAAAGCATAATCAGGTAGCAATTTAATTTTACCATACGTTAGATAAAGCCGAAAAAATGTAATCTAATAATAATCACATAATTTTATCAGTCCAAGTTGTTATTCTTTCAGCTGCTCAAAACGGTTATGTGTAGATATAAATAAAACAAATCGAGGAAATATAAGGGTAGGATGGAAAAAATACCTTTTTAATAACAGGATATCTAAAATTTAAGTTAAACTAAGAATCAAACGCATATGCTCTACCGTGTCCTTTAAATAATCCTTATTAAAATGTCTTGGAACCCAATTACGAAGTTTTTATCTGTCCACAGTACACAAACCAACAGTAATTAACTTCATTATTTGGTTACTTATCCTAACCTGACAGTCACTAAACAACTTGTTCTTCATACCGAGTAGGTCCTTTTCGGGTTCTCAATATACTGTTAATCTATTTAAGTGTTCTTAGAAGTTTGCCTCGGATGTAATGTTATGTACTTTTTTCTCGGAAAATAACTCATTTCATGACTAGACGGGAAATGTTTGAATTGTTCGTACATAAAGTGGATAAGTGTGTGTATCTTTTCAACATATAATATATGTGTCTCACATCTAGGGTATGATTCTTTGTCAGTGTGTTGAAAATATATTGAGTCGTTGTTATCCCAGTGTTATTGCTTCTGTGACTTATGTACAAGAATAAAACTGTTCGTGTCATCTAGGATTTTATGTGTATGGTAAAAATGATTAAATCGCATACCTTTTTGATTAAGAATAACTTCGGGAATATTTTGTTTAAATTCAATGGAGTCAAAGTGAGCACAACTTTAGAACCGCACCTAGTGTCATAAAATGGTGTGACCTACACGTTATAGTTGCAGCCAAACATGTCGGTTTTGTCTTATTCATAGGTAATTAGTAAATCAGATGTGTATATTTTATAGTTAATTCCACGGAAAGACCCTGGTTAGACAATCATTGGAAAATAAGGAGCACTGGGTATCTATTTCATCCTGATACAAAACTCCTATACTGCAACTGTTCACGGCTCCTTCGTTGATTGACCCCAGGATCTTCAAGTCTGTCAGTGGATGGTTAACCTTAAGACTCCTGAGCCAGAATCCAATGACTTGCATTTGTAATTAAGACCAGTTGGTGATATAAGCTCTCGAATCCAATAATCTGCAAAGATCTAACATGCTAAAATATGTAAGGTTTCCAGTCGGTATCCAATTTATATATAAATGTTTATGGCAATGCTCTCAATTATGTATGTATAACCAAAAAATTCCTAATTTATATTGACTAAGCAACATTAGTGTTCATTACTGAGCATCGTATGGTTGCCTACTAATCTTCGGTAAATGCTTGGTGCAGTCTCCATTAGTAACAAAAAATTACTCTTAAAATGCATACTACTTATAGTAGTATGCTTGTTGTTGTTAGTTTTAATACCATACACTTATTTTTGCACCTGCTATTAAAAGTAAGAAGGTAAAATAGAGCTACTAGCTTAAATAATATCTTCATAAGACATACGTAAATATTTTAGAGGGTTGATCACACAACATATCTTAACGTAGTTAACACTGATTTGATTTTCGTTATTTGTGCTGCGAAACAATTTTAACATAACTATGATTGATGGTTTATTCAGTTTGTCTTGCGAATCAAGTTTGTGATACGTGTTCCTGGGTAGCGATATTTTCCAGCTTAAAATAAATTTAAGGGAGACTTATGAGCCAAATTATCTAAGTCTTTATGTTTCGTTACGTTATTTGTTATTTATTTGAACACATACATATTGGTACAAGAGTGAGCCAAATATATATGCGCCACACAAAACAATGAGAATTTAAAAAGAAGGAAAAAGAAAAAAAAGGTAAGGAGGATAAAAAAAAACAATAAGGAAGAGATTGGTGTAAGGTAGTGTAATAATAATAGTGGTAATAATGGGGGAACGGAAAGGTACAATCAGAAGAAATCCTTTAGTTAACGGAGATGCAACCATTTTTTTATGAAGAAAAGAAGGTTACAGCAGGATCACCACTGGCTTCTATTCTGAGCCATATCTGATAACGTCTCTAGCCACTGTGTAGCACCATCTCTCGTTCCCCGGCCAGGGATTCGTGAAGGACCAACTGAAGCCAGCTCTTTGTAGCTTTCTTTTATGCCACGACACCATGTCATGCACTGACCACCTCTCCGCTTTTTCCAACCAGTCCCAGAGTCGGCAAATAGTGCACGACGTGGAATTCCCTGGGACGACATTCGGAGAACATGTCCAAGCCACCGAAGTCGGTGTTTCAAGATGGTTACACCGATTGCATTATCGTCTCTGTGCCCAAACACACGATGCCGAACCTCTGCATTACTAACATGGTGTTGCCACTGGATGTCAACAATCTGTTACGTAATCTGATTCCAATAAATGTTGAGTCCAAATTTCGGGAATTCAGCTGATAAATGATTCTACAGCTTGTCATCTAAAATATACAGCTCAATAATGCTTTATAAAGTCTATATTTCTAGGAAATTGCTTTGTAATAGATCTATTAAACATCTATTTACGTCGAGTGATTACTTAGTAGTTCACAGTTTTATTCCTTATGATTGGTTATTCAACATCAATTCATTGCTGTACTGTTATTCAATGAAGCATTATTTTATGTTCAAGTCTTTTTTTCTCCGACCAAATAATTTATTTTTGATCCGTTCTTTGAACAATTATTTCTAGGTATCCAATTTGAAACAACAAATTAAAACCTACTTAGACAGACACAAGCCGTCTTTACTGCAGTTTAACAATATACTGGATAGTTTAAATGATCATAAGCCGTTTATTCTAAATGGTTCCAAGATGAGATTTCTGCAGTCAGGAAACATATTGTCATCATATTTAAATGACGATACCAAGGTACACACTTTAATCAGTCATTGTTCTGAATCTAGTTATGAAAGTTTTGTTATCCTTTCCTACTTATTTTTTGATGTACCTAAACGTTTAGTTAACTGACCCTTCAACATCCAGTTGTTTACGAGGTCAATGTGCTTAACGTTAGAATGCGACTCTATATATCGTGAGCTGTAGTGTGATGTGGATCACATTTTTAAGGCTTTAGGCGCCAACACCTTAGGATACCTGTTAGTTGAGTTTGGTTATTTAAGATTTTAGTTTCTGGCGGATTATTACTGATGAAAAAACACTGTACCGTTTAAAGCATTCTATTCGTTATATGTGACGGTTTGTTTAGCGTTTGCTCTAAGTATATTTGAGCGGTAAATCAGTAGTTAATGTTCAGATTTCAGTCACTGGATCACAGGTTCAAGTCGCACTCCACCTACTTCAATGTACGCAGCTGAGTAGTATCAGTAGTCCTCACACTAAATGTGACTTAAAGCCCAGTACGCAAATTTGTATCTGGACAAAGAATTATATTAGTTAACGCGTAGACTTCCTTTCAAATTAAATTGACCGCAAGGGCGAATATTTTAACCAGGATTACCTTTAACTTCTAAATATATGACTAAAAGATGCAATTTATTGAAAAATATTAAAATTCGTTGAATCGAATTCTATTCTAATTATTCTCTTCATATGGTCAATTCAATAACCACATAATTTGAAGCTGTAGTGACAGTTTACACTTACAATCCATATGACTAACTTTCATTAATTTAAACTTAAAATTGATTTTATCTATGTAACCTAGCTTGTGCAATAATGTGAAGTGTAATTCATTTTGTATTGGTTGTTTGAATCTTCCCATTAACGTTTATGACTCCGATTGATTAGTCTCTATTGAGTTATGTAAGACTGATTAATCACAGCCAATGGGAACATATACCAAAGAGACTGATCAATTGCAGTCATAAACATCAGTGTGAAGATTCAAACAACCAATAAATATAAATTGTATGATATGATTTCAGATCTAAGAGATAAAAGTACGTAATGATTTCAAAGCTCAACTTCTCCAACAAGCGACCGCACGGTCCTCAAATATGTATTGTGCACTTGCAAATGTAACTCAGTCAAACAGTCATTGAATTAATGGACTGATGTAATGATCCGAAACTGATCACCTTAGTTGCTTAGCTATTATTTTATTCCCTCACGCATTATATTCTACTTAATACATGTATGAGCTTTTCATATTATCGCTTTTATCTTAGGAAGAACCAAAACAAATAGATGGCAAATTAAATTTTCATTTGTAAGTTTATGATTTTTTTTGCGTTGTTTACTGTGTGATCTCTCTTTTTTTAGCGATTGTAAAGTATTACATGTGAATATATATTGTTTTCAACTTTGTATTGTCTTGTGGATTGATTTTGCAGGGATACATCCGTATATTATTGTTAATAGTATTCATATTTAGATGCATTTACCTTCTGCCTTTCTATTTTTGGATCATCTTTCATATGATGACTACCACGAAGGCTGTTATAACAAGTCTTATTTCAACATTTTGAACTTAACATCGTTAGATTGTAAAACTTTCAAATTATTCTATGTACAGAAATAACTGTGTACTTCGTTCTTTGTCAATGATTATTTCATTCTAAATAAGTGAATATCAACCATAACTTTAGTTATGGAATAGAATATTAAAAAGAAATTGTTTTATTTACAGTTTGTTAAATTTAGGGTGATACACATCAATAGTGAAAGGCGATCTTCTATCTAAAGTTTAGCATTTTTATTTTAAGATGAAATGTTATCTTGGTGGTTAAAGCGTTAGAATTTCAAGTAGATAGGGAATAGATTGGAATTCTACATCATCACCTAGATGTGGGCAGCCAGATAATTTCAGCAATCTCCGCACAAACAGTATGTATTATATTTAAGCTTATAAATACTAAGTGAATCATTATATTTAGTTAATTACGAATATGCATTTAGTCCGTCATTGTGTATTTTCTTTGTTCTCTGTAGATTTCTGCGCCATTCAATGATGCTTTTACAAATGGCTATCAAATCTTACAATCCTTGTTTTACAGATGATAAATTTCAAGAATTATCTTCTTCACAGTATAGTTCATTGAATCAAAATAGTTCATCAGATTGTCTTACTGTGTTTAAACAAGCTGTTGGTCAGTTTTACTCTCAAACATCTATCGATTCTAATTTTTCAACACATTCTGAGAAGGAACTCTGTCAGTTAATGAAAGAAATGCATAGTACTATTGATAAATTACAATTGGAACTGTATGTTTTTAGCTGAAATGCAGCTATTGTTTTTAAGTTATTTTCCGTTTTTTATTACTCGAAATCTACTTTGTAAAAATTTCATATCTTCGATTTTTCGTTTAATGGAAACGCGATGGCATTTGAAGCGAAATGTCCTAAGTTCGAGTACCTGCGTGGACATCAACTCTGGAATGCAGGTTAATGCAGCTGACGAGTTCCAAATGGGACGGGACGCACATCCTGAATTCCACTACTAGCCATCGACAATCTGTGCCCATAATATTTGGATTATTATTATCCGCCTTCCAATTATTCAACTAATCATCTGATATAATTTTATAAACACTGTTAAATCATTAATAATGTTAAATCACCGGTCGATGAGCATTATATATATATATATATATATATATATATATATATATATATATAGATAGATAGATAGATAGATAGATAGATAGATTAGATAGATTAGATAGATTAGATAGATTAGATAGATTAGATAGATTAGATAGATTAGATAGATTAGATAGATTAGATAGATTAGATAGATTAGATAGATTAGATAGATTAGATAGATTAGATAGATTAGATAGATTAGATAGATTAGATAGATTAGATAGATTAGATAGATTAGATAGATAGATAGTATTTCTGCAAGTTGCATATTGAAAAACCATTTTTACTAAGCATCTCGACAGTGACTGAAAAGTCCCTGAACGATACAGCGCTAGAATAACACCCAACCTCCCTTTTTGATGAATACATGGAACGTGTCCGGGGCCTAGTGCTTTTCGTTTCTTGGGTCACTGTTCATATAATTTTTGCCGGAGAACCTTACCTATGGCTACTGTAAAAGATGTTTCGATTGATGGAGGTGGATACTGTACAATTGTAGAACAACATATGAGAAGTACATTCGTGCGACTTCAACTTTCTTCTTTATTTGACTGACTAAATAAGAATAATACTTATATGATATGGTAAAGTTGATCATCACAAGAGGCGATCAGCAACCCTATCGGCCACTCAAAAATAATAGTAGGAAGTAAATTTTAACAATATACTTTCTACCTAACCTTATGCCATGTTCGTTGTCTATTGTCACGGTTGAATGTCAAAAAATCGGCTGACATGTATTAAGCTTAACATTTTCTAAAATGTATTTAAATGTGTTTAGTTGACTGTCTAAAATTGAGCTTTAATGAGACGAGAAATATTCGAGCAAAAGTATAATTACGTAACCTCCTTAGTCTTTATCTTTTTGTTTTTTTTTACAGAAAAGATGAGTGGCTTCGGGAATCACAACTGAATATAAAATTTCCAGAACTTTCAGCGACCTATTCGACCATATCTCAACCTTGTATTTCTTACGAAACAGGTGATAAGTATGATGTAAATAACAAGTCTAATAACACTTTTGATATATCAGCGGAGAGTACCCTAAATAAAACAGATGAAGCGTTACCTATACATGAACCTTCTCACCAGTTATTTAAAAAGTGTATGTCTGTTTTACTCTCTTAGAATTTAAACAGCTTATCCATATTTCGATTATAGCATTGGTATATTTATTAAATCTCCATAAGATTGATGTTGTTTTTCCTTATTATTTACTTTTGTGCATTCGATATTTCAAGGGTCTTTTCAAACAAAGATAATTGTATATTTATCTTAATCGTAAATTAAGGTTTGTTGCTAGATTGTAGCAGCTGCTACTTTGACGTGGTGAGTGGGGTCATATTTCGTGATGACCTAGTCAAGTTTTTTTGACTGGAACATTTGTTCATTTGAGTCCTACTACAATAGACAAGTTGGCTGAAGAACAGTCAGACTAAAAGCAACAACGTAAGGTCAAAGGACTGCCGTATTCCTGACTGTACTGAGGTGTTTCCCTCCAGCAACCACCATCTACAACAGTACGCCCTCTCCATAATGGAAAGGGGATATCACAGGTCAGATCTAGAAGTAACACACTTCATCTTCCCCTACAGATATCCGGCGTCATCGGTAGAACCTTTGAAGCACGGAGCTAAGACATTTCAAACTGCTTATTAAAACCCACGTGTATAACGAGACTCAAAAAGTTAACCTTTTAGCTTTGAGGTCATGCTTCTAGGCTGTCAAGATCACCCCTGATTCAATCTCCTTTCCAGATTTGTGAAGAAGAAGAAGCGTCCCTCCGCAATATAGGAAACTGGGAACTGATAACCGCTTTCGTACCTCTAATAACACTGGAGATCACCAACTAACTTGGTTTACTAACCGTATTTCGCTTATGCTAAGTACTGTATCTCTTAAAACTGTTTCAATCTAATTATATGTTGTCATTATTCCTCGTTATTTCGAACGTTTATTTACATGAGCTAGATTTTTACTCAGGGTAATATGATTCCTTTATATTCATTAACTAGTTTGTCTACTAACGTTATTCGAGTTAGGATATTAGTATAAGTAAGTTTAATAGTTGAGATCATGAGTCAGTTGAAGCTAGATTACCATGAAAAACCTGGAAGCATTGGGTGGCTGTTTCGTTCTATTGTGGGACTCCTCAGCATCGCGCATCCACGATCACGCCTCTCGGGATTCGAACCCTGGGCCTATCAGTCTCGCGCGCGACCGCCTAACCACTAGACCTCTGAGCCTGAATCCAACGGTATTAATATCTAACTTCAACTAATGCACGAAATCGAGCGACACATTTACCATTGTCTTCAGTGAGTTGATATCTCACAACAGACCCGGTTGAACTCCATTGACGACTGCTGCTCACTAGAACTCCAGGAAATACCTCTTGAAGCCAGTCACTTGTGAGCATATGTTATTTAGTATCAGAAGGGGTTTTGTGGAGATTGTAGTAATTTCAATAGTTGAGATCATGAGTATAAGGTTTTTTGTTTGCTAATCCCAACCAATTTGGCCTACTAACTTAACATTGTCATACTGAAAGTATGTGGTATCATCGTATGATAAACATTGATTTTGCCTTGACAGATAATGAACAGAACCTTGTAGCGTGTTGAATTATTTTAGTTTGTTACAATACCAGTAAACTGTAAAGCGAAAATCAACCGAACTAGGAAGTCGTGTGACTTTGGGTAACATGATTATGAAAGCAGGTATTTTAGTCTCTTCACTGTATTTAGTTTCATTCTAATACTGCTCAAATACTTGCTTAAATTTCTGTTTTACTGTGTCTCAAACTATAAATATTCATGTACAATATAACCCATTCAATCACTGCGTTGCTTTTGCGTAATTCTTTAAATCAACTATTGCTCACTTTTATTCAGCACCAACAAGGAATAATTTACAGTTCAACTTTCCTGATGAATCCGCCTACAAGCATTCAACATCATCACTTAAATGTAATCCAGTTAACGATCCTAGAATGAACTTCCTGGGTCTAAAGAAGGGAAACTATTTGAAAGTTGATCATACAACTTCTAATTCGTTATCTTCACCCCGCACGCGGGAAATTGAAAATACTTTGCAAAATCTAAGTATAAACTCACCAGAAAATGTTCTTACCGATGAAAAGTGTACGGGTAAGTCAAAAATGTATAGTTTTAATGTTGAATTTCGATATCGTTGCAATAGAATAGAGCATTCTTATAACTTGGATCATTTGGCTCTTATGATAATGTTTTTCCTGGTTAACCTACTGTTATATCGGAGTTGTCGTCTGCGTTATGTACTTATCAACTTTATTGCGTCCATAGTCTAAGTGCTTTAACTTAATAATCAGGAACCACTACAATTTCCACGATGCAAATTGAGAATAGAAAAGACTGGTGCAATGAGGATAGACTCCCCAAAAATACGTCTCACATCATCTTTAGACCACATTATAAACATTTATATACAAATCTTCACACACACTTATAATAGTACTACATAGGTGGTGAAATACATACAACTGTAAAAACACATTGTATATAGTTCTTGTACTAATACAGGGAATAAAATTATCACCCTGAATGAGACTTCACACTTGTCATATAAAACAAACTTTATACTGAATTGTTACAAGAAAATATTGACCTCAAAATATCGTACTGAACAAAGTTTTCATCTGTCACCTTGGCCAATATTCATAATGACTTGATACAAGAAACATTGATCTTAATCATGTCATTTTATCTCGTCATATCAAGTATGATTTTGGTAGTAGTACGTATATAGGATTTATGGTTATATCTTTTGAGTACTTATTTAATCCGTACATCTGATAGCTACAATTGAATATATATATAACTAAAATTCATGTCATCCAATAAGCATATATTATGCGGTTCAACTGTTTCAATTATTAATTTTGAACAAATTGAACATTGGTTAGATTGTTATAAATAAATTAATATATTTGTAACATTATCAGAAGGGGTTTGTGGAGATTTTAGAAATTTTCACAGATTGAAATCATGAGTCAGTTGAAGCTAGACCACCATGAAAAACCTGGAAGCACTGGACGGCCGTTTCATCCTAGTATGGGACTCCTCAGCAGTGCGCACCCACGATCCCGCACCCCGCGGGGTTCGAAACCAGGACCTATTGGTCTCGCGCCAAGCGCTGAACTAACTAGACCACTGAGCCAGCATCCAATCGTGTTAGTGTCTAACTTCAACCAATCCACGGAGTTGCGCCGCCGTATACCATTGAATCTCGCGGGGTACGGGATCGTGGATGAGCACTGCTGAGGAGTCCCATACTTATCTTAGTTAAAAAATCATTTCGAGTAGTTTCAGTCTCATGATTTCAATCTGTGAAATTTTCTAAAATCTCCACAAACCCCTTCTAATAATAATCATCTGCTCACTAGTGACTGACTTCAAGAGATACTCCTGGAGTTCTAGTGGGAAGCCGTTACCAGTGGAGTTCAACCAGGTCTGTGGTGAGATATCAGCTCACTGAAGACAATGGTATACGGTGGCGCAACTTCGTGTATTGGTTGAAGTTAGACATTAACACCGTTGGATGCCGGCTCAGTGGTCTAATTGTTTAGTGCTCACGCGCGAAGCCGGTAGGCCCTGGGTCCGAATCCCGCGGGGTGCGGGATCGTGGATGCGCACTGCTGAGGAGTCCCATACTAGGATGAAACGGCCGTCCAGTGCTTCCAGGTTTTTCATGGTGGTCTAGCTTCAACTGACTCATGATTTCAATCTGTGGATATTTGTAATATCCCAATGAGTAGAGAAATTATTTTTATTGTTCCGTTGTACTATTTAGACTTGAGTTAATTTTAATTTGGTTATTTATTCTCTGAAGAAGTGGCTTACACTAAGTCACGAAATGTCAGAAAATCTTATTTTACTGCTCATTGGGATATTACAAATTATTTATTCATGTTTCAATTTATGCTATGTAATTTTAAGCTTAAAATTATTATTATTATTCTGTTTAGGTTATTAGCTTAGTATAATTTTATTTTTCATATTACTCAAACTGTCAATTCTTTCTATCATTAACAGAAATTATGTCCAGTACAACCGATATGTTAAAAATGAAGGGACTTGATTATTGTGAAGATATTTTGAAAACCCAGTTTCCTGTCACATCATTAGTTCCGCATAAACCACCTTCAATAAAATATTCTTTAAAAGATCTATCCAATATACCAGTATCTATACCACCTACTTTTCAGTCATGTAAGTTTCGTTGACTTTTCCTATATATGCTATGTTTTTTTCCTCTGTGGGTTGCATATTATCCACTCAGTTTAGGAAAATAGCATTCTGTTAGTAAAAAGTAAGGTATATGCAATCAGACATCTTGAATAAAATATTTTGTAAGTGATCTGTGTAAAAAATACTGAGGTGTATTTCATTTCTCATTTGTACTCTCTTATCAACACATAGATTTACAGTAAATAACGGCCAATCAATAAATTTGAATCAGTTTTTGATCAGAGCAACAAACGACTTGTAATTAAATAACCCAGAAGGTAGATGAAAAATTGTATTCTTTTCTTGATATGACTAGTTAGGCGAGTTTGCTACAAATATTTCTAATTTAAATCACTTGTTACAATTAGCGAAGAGCATTCATGTATTGACACTTCAATGAATACTTACTACTATTGCAGATAGGATACAAGTGAACAGGTTTGTTTGTTTTTTTTGTACAAAAGGATCGTACTGGATTACACATAATAAAACAAAAATGCAAATACATACCTAATATAATTTTTAGAATATGACGCCATAATAACACTTCTCTTCCAATAGTAAGTAAAAATAAACGCTCAAAATGAATATAGAAATTCTCACCTTATGAAACTGTTTTTTCCTCTCCATCTCTTGGTTTCCGGGGAAATGGTCACTATCTCTTGAATAGATTTTGGCGACGTAATAATTAACTTATAAGGCGGTAATGTATAAATCTGCTTGTTTTTACTTTAAACGTGTATGTAAGAATTTTCTTCCTAACATATTATATTAACTTTTACTTTTTTCTATACATCAGTGGACTTCTTTTCGTTTTTGTGATCTTACATACCTTTTAGCCTACAAGAATCTTTAGTTTAAACATATACAATACTAATATCTGATTTCTGATAGAGTCCTGTTTTCTGTGTTGAGTGGTTTGGTTATGAAGCTTTCAATTTCCTTCTGGATAACGTAGACATAAATTTTGTGGTCATCCGGATTTCCCCACTTAAGACTGATACATAGTCCTGTTGACCTCGATCATGATTTGTTGATATTGACCCTTGTCTAGTCATTACTTGCATATTTATTTTGATTATCAGTTTTTAACTTTACGGTTGTCCATGTTTTTCTGATTTCGGCCAATTATGAGAGTAATGGACAGTTATAAAGTCAAGAACCAGGTCAAAAGGAATGACAATCTAAATAAATTTATGAGCGATTGCAGGGCAAGGGTCATCATCAGTCAGTCGAGGTCGAGGTCAACAGGACATGTCAGTCTTGTGTGAAGGAATGCAGATAGCTCATTTCTATCTGAAATTTGTGGTGATTATGTTGTTCAGAAGGACAGTGGAAGGTGCTCGATTAAACCATTGAGCTCAAAGAATAAGGCCACCAGATTTATCTACTTAGACTACAAATCCTCCCTACTATCTCAAAACTTCTGTTTGTATGTAGTTGCAAATTACTATTTTTGCTTCAATGTACTGTGTAAATAATGTTGTAAAGTGTCTTTCTACACATTTTTATGCTGTAAATGTTCTGATTTAGAAAAAAACGAATCAAAACAAGAAAATTGAGATAAATTATTATTATTGGTAAATTTTGATTTCTATTTTGTATGTCTATAAGCTTGATTTATTTTGTTGGCTTTTTTCTTCTTCCATTAAATATACATTAGTCTCTTCTACTATGGAATTAAAAGGATCTCACTTGTGTAATCCGACAAATAGCAGCTTCAATCTAATTGGTAAGTTGTACCATTTTTAATGACTAGTGTGATTAACTCTTAATGTGTAACTAGTCATACAATTTTCTGCCGACAACAAAATTAAAAATACTAGTTTTTCTTAGATGAAATAGTTAACAGATCAACTAAGTGCATAAAATAAGTCAGTATCTGTATAATTAGTTTAGAAACACTCGAAAATTTCAACTATTAGATCGTGGGTTCATGTTAGGATGTGCAAAAAAATATACCAATAATTATCATATTAAGTCTAATGGTGGCCTTGGACTTTAAACGTACACTCCCTATTGGTCGATATTTATTTCACTTGTTAAATATTGTACAAATGTTGTTTTCTATTTTATGGTACGATGTGGTCTGGTTGATTGGTATATAAATAGAGTATGTCTGAATTATGATGATTCATATCTCAGAGGCTAAGACTTGCGTTCTGGATTCAACTGGCTGGGCTAGACAGGGAAGCGGGACCAATCAGAACTCTAGGTCGTTCATTACGTGTCATTGATCCGGTCGATAAATACGCTGCTCCATCTAAATTGCAGTCACACACAAGTTACAACAGTTCGAACCTATTCCGCTTATCAAATTTTGTATGCTAACCGTCACATAAGATGTTAGATTCACTTAAATAGCTCAATGGAATCCGATTAAAGTAGAACAAGTGTTGGCTCTTCAGAATATTTATACATAAATAATGAATGATCCTATAGTATACAATAATTAGCCTCGATTAAAATTTACATTCAAAGTAATAAACTCAGTAACAGCACGAGTGCAAGAATGATTAGTGTGATATAGCAGAATGAATAAAGAGAACGCATCAACAAATAAGTTAACAGTTATTTTATGATGGATCAATGAAATACAAAAATGAGATTATTCAATATAAAATCTACTACTCATGTGTAGTGCATTTTATAGTGAATGTCATAAATGATCCTTAGTTCTTCAGTTAAATCAATCAGCACTGATTTCATCTCAGAGAAGACGTATGTCATAATAAATGAAGGTACTGCTGAAACACAAACATTCTTCTGTTATCATTTATACTTTGTTGATAAAAAGGATTGTACAAATGTAACAGGTAACTGTGTATTTATATCTTCCCTATAATATTCAAACTAATCAGTTCGTTATAGTCAAATTAGTCTTTGACTTATTTTTTTGAGTAACTATTATTATTTCCTTTAACTAGATGATGATCTGGAATTTGTCAATGATCTGCTTCCATCGTCTCCAAACTGACGACAGTGATGATTCTCTCATTTCCATATGTTGTAGTTATTCATTTTATTTGCCTGCTAATGTATAATTTTCTTCCATATAAATGGTGATAATGACAGTTAAGAAATAAATATTATCATGATACACTATTTTCTGTATGTACTACATGTGAAATTAAAAATGAATGATGTCTACTACCAGAATACTTTGTATTTAACAGAAGTATCAGTTAACAATAATATCCTCTCAAACTTTAATGTTACAAAATTTGCGAAATCTTATTTGTAAATTATGAGTTTTTTGTAACATTCAGTTTTATCTTATTTAATCGAAAATTTTATGTCTGTTTTCCATAACTTTAGAGTTAAGTATACCAATTAATTACAACTGATATGGTCCACCTAGCCTAGTTTAGGTACAGGAAGCTACGTAAGATCTTTTATTCACGTCGCAAATGAATCAAACTATCTGATTTTAACATTGTCATTATTATATTTTACGCTAAATAGTACCGTCAAATCCAGGCAAACTGAGTTTGCAAAGTACTATACCCATGTTAGTTGTTCAAAGCTAATAAATTTATGCCTTCTGGAAAATTTTATTCACTGTGAGACTTCTCTATTCTTAGACTTATGCATGAAGTTGCAACTCATTGTTTCTATCATTCAAATCTTAATGTGGGTCGATCCTCTTGAGATAGAGGCATGTAAAACATTGGTTAGCCCTATTGAAAATATAAAAATTTCAGGTAGGATCAGGTTGCATGACCTCATGTTTTTTCAAACCAACTTCAGGCTTATGTGAGGTTGCCTGGTAATACCATCCTTTTTCCCTGTTTTGCTTTGTTTGGTTTTTCCAAGAATGTCTGAAATAAATACATATTTGCGATTTAAATCTTTTACCTTTCTACATTTAGTATATGATGTCATTGTGTTGTGATATACAGGCTAATCAAGTCATAATCAATGAGAATATAAATGGTTTGTGCTGTTGGTCTTCTATAGATTTACATAGTCGTGCATCTTTATTTGTTATTAGTGTTGATCTGTTCAAAAGCTAGTTAGGCATAAGTCTGTAAGACCGTTAGTACATATATAAGGCTTCAATACTGGCACTTCTGTTTTTCATGTTTCTCGAATTGAGTTCCCAGTGGTTTTTTATTTAATCATTACGTTTTTCATAAGATTAACCACATTGCGTCACAAAGCAAAGTAGGTATAACTGTAGTCTAACAGTTTATTTGGATATTCAGTGTGTACCATTTACGATGAACTGATCAATATTAGGGCAGTCCATAGGCGCTGGACAGCCGTCTCGCCCTTGTATGGAAGATAGTTGCACAATATCGTAGATTGATTGAAGTTGAACACTAACACCGTTAGATGCCGGCTTATTAGTCCAGTGGTTAAGAGTTCGAGCGCGAGACCAGAAGGTCTTAGTCCAGTTTCCGCGTACTGAATCGTGGGTGTGCCTAGCGGAGTCCTATACTAGAATGAAATGTCCGTCCACTGCCTCCCGGTTTTCAATGGTAGCCTATCATTTTAATCAAAATCGACAATCCTCACAGACCTATACTGAAAACACTCATTTATTATGCTTGTCAAATGAGAAGTGTTTGTTGATCAGTAACTACTGGTTTACACAAGGAAATCATGTTTTAAACTTCAATAGTATGTCATTTAAAAAAACGTATAAATCAGGTAAAAGTCCACAAGTTGAAGTATATATATATATATAATTGATCTCATAATAATGTATAAGATGAGCGCATGGTAAACAGCTTCAGTAGTCACATGGTGAATATGCTTGTAAAACTTAAGTTTAGAAATTAGCATCGATTTGAACTACTTATGTTTCCTTTTATCAACTTCATGGATGTTCGATAACCATGACATTGCTAATACTATTTATAAATCCAGACATTTTCTTTACTTTGTCGGTTTAAGTAAACTAGTTTGCTCACGCTAAATTACTAGGTTTGTATAATCAAATTTCCATCTTAACGTAACTTCTACTGTTGCAAAAAAGACTTTTTGTACATGAAAATCATCATGTGTAACATTCTCTTAATACTTATTACTTCTGAAATTAATTTGTAAACTATCGATATTCAGAATCTTTTTAATGTTCACTTCGATATACACCGGGAAACAAGGACGTAATATGGAGCTTAGTGGGTAAAGTATTCATATTTTCAAAACACTATCAACCCCCACCAAGCTAGATGTGTTTAACTATACACCTTGTAACTACCGATTATAGCGTTTTACGTACACACATCTGTAACACTTACATAATTGACGGTTGTACGCTTACTGTGATATCCGCATTACTATACTTCTCATATAAATAATTCTTTTGATAAGCGCCTTCAGTGTACAAACAGTAAACGTTCTGTTAGCTTTAAATCTTACATATATGACCATAGTTTGCTTGATAATGATGAATATTATAATCATTCATGTCCGGCTCCTGTAGGAATAGAATAACCAAAAGAAATGTCAATGTAACCAACAACGAGGAAAATCTGTGAATTGTCACAGTGGAGTAGACACATGGTTGAAATTGTTTACTAATTCAAAAAGCAACCATCAAGTATACTTAGTGATGCTGATAATAGTATTATTAATTACTCAAGTGAACTTGAGAATAAACGAAAATGCGTATATGGGTTGGAAAGGTTTTCAAAATATTCATATGATCAAAATAGGCGTGAAAGTATGGAAAAACTGTACAAATAATGTGTTAATTAAAGATGTAACCAAGAATGTAGGAGCGAAACAAACGGAACAAGGTCACAAATTGGGCTTGTGTTAATTGCAAACACTTGTAGCGAGTATGTTAAGTTGATTGTAAATGATCGGTCCAGAGGTGGAGTTTAGAGCGGCTTAGTGATAACCTGAAGTACTAAGCAGTTCAGGGCCTCATCGCATATATATGTTTAGAGATTCGACTGTTATCGGTTTGTTCTAATTGACGAAGTCCGCTTCCAGCAATTAACACGTAACTTATATTAAGTATTCTTATCATCACGGCTCGTCAATTTGGATGTACAAATGTAGATTCTGATGAGGAATTATTAGAAATAATATTCTTCGTTCCTAAATCTGTGTTCTAATAAATACTTGTAGTACTTTGTATTGATGCTCCATACTATTCTATGGTATTTAACTAATTGTTCAAAATTTGAGACTCTCGATAAGAAACTACAACATATACATGAAACATAAATCAAAAATTAACTATAACTTGAAGCAGTCTAAATAGTGAATCAATAATACTATGTATTCTAAGTACCTGAACAGTAGAGAAAGCTAAATTTATTGTATCAATTATTCTAATACTAAATAAACCCGTTCAAATTATTATAATTTTTGATGTGGACAGCATTTCAACCTTATATGATGATAACATATAGTTGTAAATATTGATGACATCATTAGGAATCTATATCACTGAACGTATTTAGCAGATATCCCCTTGGAGATAGTTAAATTTATTTCCATTGACTTATACATTCATTACGCAATAGTAGACAGACTGATAGATTTACAGGACACAGATTAATAGTTCTGTTACACAAAAAATAACCATCAACTTTAATATTCAATATGAATTTAAGAGGCCGCATAAATGTATTTTTCGGAGATTTTCAGTATTGTGATGTGTTCCAATGACAAATTTCGGACATTTTAACCAATATTATTACAGTTACAAACAAGGGTTAAGCAAAATTCAAGAAACAATATTTGTAATGCATGGAAAGTTTCGAATGTGAGTACCCGATTGCAACCTATATTCGTTAAGCAATATTATAGTAATTAGGGAGAGGATGGGAGATTCAGAGTAGCAGTCGCATTAGTTACTAAACTTATATACTAAAACTGGAAAACGTGAACTAACTATTTAGAGTTTGGAAGATAATCTTAATCGGTGGTTGAAGAGATTATGGCATTAAAGAGGTATTACATACTGTGTTACAAACTGAAAGCAGACACTTCGTATAAATTATATTGCTTTTTTACATTATAGACAATAAACATAGTAACTGAATATCTTGCTTAAATCACTACAGAAAGTCTAACATTATAGGATTGATGTGACGTAGGATTTTGAATGCAATATTTTATTCTTTTGGTAGTGTTAATCAAATTTAAAGCATTTGATAAAGCACTTAAACTGATAAAACCCAATCCGATCCCACGACCTAGTGACTGACCATAACCACCATCTTGAACATAACCAATTAGAAGACGAGAATTCTGAGGAGATTCCTTATCATCTGCTGAATTAGTCACAGGATTACTGTTAACCGCTCTTGAATTTTTTCTAGTAGATTCATTAGGATAGAATGCGTAAATACGCGCATATGCCTGTGGTACACCTCGGTGTTCAGTTTTCACATAAACCTTAAATACAAATAATAAAAATTATGTAAGAGATCTTATTAGTGAATAAACAAAAAGCAGACTGTTTTAAAGTCTTATAGTTACTCAGTTGTCCAACGGGAACTCTATAAAATATGCCTTTTTAAAAATTATTTCTGAAATAAATTTATAAACGTCATGTTTCAAACGGAATGGTCTGTTTCAAAATGTCAGTGGGAGTTTCATATAACTCCTACCAAACTTGAATAAGCTGTATGATTTATGAAGAATAAGTTCGGTAACTTAACGTTTTTATGTTCTACGTAATATGTATACTCACAGTACATCATGGTCGGACCTGAGTGAAATTCTTTAAATACAGTGCCAGTGTTTTGCATATCTGTCCTAAAATTGAATGAAGAAATGATCAGTTTGCATTAGATTTAGGTTGGCGTCTGTAGTAGTCAGATTAAACAGTATCTCTCTTTACATCTAAAGTTCGTCCTTGCGACAAATAAACCTTTACAAAACAGCGTGTCAGTAGGGAAACGCCTTCATATATTCACCAAGCTAAAATGCAAAACCCCCCTCAAATAAAGTGTATTTCTTTTTAAGTTTTAGCTAAATTTTCCAAGATCCAAGTTAGTAACTAAGATGAAAAACGAATAGACAGCTTTATGTAAAAATAAAAAGCTTTAGATGGAACTCCTTTTTTATCTGAGATACCATCAAGTGACGTTACAAAAAGATAATGTCAGTACTTCTGATTTCACTAAAACCAAAAACCGATCTATGTTAGACAACCACGAGGCGCTCGTTGACTGTTCCACCATAGTATAAATTTCCCCAGCTGTGCGCATCCACTACTTCGGATCTGGGAGTCTGACCCAAGAACTTCAGTCTTGTGTGCTAACACTTGACAGGATCCGCTTATGTACAAGTCTAATTCCGGCCAGTTCAAGATATTGCGCGACTATCTTTCATTGTAATTGATGAGTACCTTCTTATTTTCCACGAAGTTCATACAACGAAACAGCTCACAGATTATTGCGTACAAATGATATGCAAATACGTTATAAGTCCCATAAGAAGAAGAGATAGTTTGCCCCATGAAAATGAGAGGGAACGACCATCAATGTCTTTAGGAATGCTTATGCGCATGAGCGCAACCTTATGTACCTCTGGTATGTGCATATAAAGCATAAGATGCAGCAAATACGACTCAAAGGAGTGACGACCATCAATCCTCACAAGGACGAGATTATGCTCTGGGATGCATCTGAAAACCTGTGTTACTGGTATGCATGTACTAGTCCTAAGCGCGAGGCCTGTGCGCCAAGACCAACGGAGTTCCTACGATTTCCGGGTATGTTTGTCTTAAAATGGCAATTAAACAGCTAGAAAAGCCAATCGGCTTCACTAATAAAAGCATAACCAACTTCAATGGGGCTGATACGTCAAGAAACAATATTGAAGTTGAAAACTCAGATAAAGTGTGAATGTAATAAACATGGACCTGATCCTTTATGGAAGAGGAAACTTAAAATAAATCTAATCTTTTTCTTCCAAATGCTTAATAAACTATCATAAACATCCTATGAAGCAATTTAATATTCAGAAACTCATAGTTGCAGCATCTGTAACTCTTTGTCATTAGTGAAACGATCGTTAAATGCTTAACTGCTTTTATTGCTGAGCCTACTAAGTAAACTTCCCTACCTACTGAGTACTTTACACCCGCACTGTCCTTCGTAAACTTAGTAAGTTTGAATAATATCTAACACGAACAGTATATCATAAAATAACCTAGCACATGTATCATAGTAGACCAGACTAACCTATCGTAGTAATAATTGCTTTAATTAATCGGTGCTTTCTGATTCTGTTTTATTTTCTCTAGTTGTAGATGATTATAATCAATCGGTTATTGCACTGAAAATGACTTTAAATACATCGTTCATACATCAACAGTATATCTACTTAAAAAAGAATTAAAAGCTCTTAGATGATACCCTTCATCGCTTTAATACAATTTTGTAACTAGAAAACTTAAAACAGACTTATATCACATCTCTGTTCTCTACATTTAATATTGATATCTATATCAAGCTGATCATGCCTATAAACTGGTATGAATTCTGCAATTATTTTATTCAGAATATCTTTATTATTATTATTATTATTATTATTATTATTATTATTATTATTATTATTATTATTACCTATTCCATATCTGTAAACACTTACTTAGTTTAATTGATTATCATACAAAAATAATAAAATATTGAATAAAATCATATTGACTACTATAAATTAATTTACTTACTAGAATAATTGCATTTAAAAGTAATGAATTATAATTATACAATTGTTGTAATGATAATTTAGCACGATTTTCTCCAATGATCATTCTATGTACAACTAAACGAAGTAATCCTGGTTCACGAAGAACAAACCAATTATTATTATCAACTGAACTAGATGTAATTACATTATCATTACTAGAAATTGTTGATGAAACAATTGAATCTGTTGTTTTTCCAATACTTATAGAATTTTGTGTAATCAGTTCAGACCAAGGATAAAGAAATGGACAAGTAATACCGAATTTAGTAAAATCAGGGCGTAAATTACTTGGAAGGCGACTGAAAAGAGATATATATATGAATTAAAATGGAGCATGAAAATTCTTGGTATTTTATAAGAAATCGATGTAAACAAAATATTGGAATCAACAAAATTATATCAATATGAATAACGTAGGTTGATCCCTTATATTATTCTTCATCAATCTTAAACTTTGTTCTGATTTTTTTTAAATCCACTCCGTTATTTTAAGAATGTAAATACAAAACCTGATTCATTTAAGTGGAATTTCTATACATCATTTGGTTAGAAAAAAAGCTAACATATATTTGATGATACAGTATAGGGTTGTGGAGATTATTAAGTTTTTGATTTAGACAATGAACTGGTTGGTGTTAGACCACCATTGAAATCTTGGAGGCACTGGACAGCCGTTTCATCCTATTGTGGGACTCCTCAGCAGTGCACACTCACGATCCCGCTCGCAGGGTCCAGTTCATGATCTCAACTAAAATATATATATGATGACAGACCGATCATAGTAATATTTCCTGCTGCTATTCCGTGCTCTTTCTTTCTTCTTTCATTTTTTTTCTACTTTTACATTTCTATAATTACCGAGTAACAGGAATCGAATCGCTATTGGCGACTCCATTTATTAAGAAACATGAAGTTCTTGTCCTACAACTAAGAAAATACTGATTAATAACTGTTTGGTCTTATGGATCATTTATCATGCCAAATGGTTCATACTACTCCCTTAACGTACTTAATCTCTTCTCACATTGCTTACTGAGATAACTGTGTTTACAAGGCTGATAAGTTCTACGTGGTATACTCCAGTAAAAATGTTGTGCTATAAAATACTGTCATTTATGATTGTACAATCCACCTGCTTCATGTTATTACAATTCATGTGACAAGAGTTTAACTTAAAACATCTATGAATCACGTACCATTACTTTTTAAAATAAACTTGATTATCTCTGTAAATTAATGTGCATTCTGTAGTTATTTTCAAAATCTATACCATATTATTATGATCATTTTCATTAACAAATTATGCACACTAAGAAATAGTAATACACTATTAATTTACATCAATTTATTTAACTTCTCTTTAGTGACAATTTCTGCAGATTTCCGACCAGCTAAGGTATCAGGCCATAAAGTTTCCGGAAATGAATCAAAACGTCCACCTGCACATGTTCCAAGTCCCGCCCAATAATATAAATCTCGTAGACCTCCAACTTCAGCTCCTCGATAAACACAAGCTATAAGAAAATCACGCGCTGTTAAAGAACCACGAAGTAATAAATCATTATCTGACTGTGGAAAATTTCGTCGTAATATTATATCCCAACCAACGGTTTCAGGTGACGAACGAATCAATGACGGTGTACTATTCTGGATCAAAACAACATCTATACTGTTTTCTTTAGTTCCCTAATCGAGTAATAATAAAAGCAACATGAAACATAAACAAGTATGAAACCATTAAAGGTAAAAATAAATAATCACTTTCGAAGTCCCATAAGAAAGAACATTTGTTTATAGTCAGGGTAATCGAGAAGAATAACTTACTCGAATATCTTAGAATACCAATTCACCTTGTTTACAATAAGTCCTAAAAAATTCACTGTACTTGTTTTATCTTCCGCGTAAATTGCGATTCTCTATGAACATGATATAAAAATATATTTTTCATAAAACATTTATAATCACCGTTGCAACCACCAGTCGATCTACGCTAATCCAACATTTAAGACCTGAAAGCTCTGGACGATCGTCCCGTTCTAGTATAGAACTCCTCAGAAGTGCGCATGCATGATCCCACCGTTCGCCAGACGGCACCCAACGGTGTTAGCGTCTAACTTCAACCAATCTATGATCTTGAGCAACCCTCCATCCCAAACCTGAGGTAGATATTTGTCATACACCCAACACAGAGTGGACTCCACTGGTCACGGATTCTCACTAGAACTCCAGAAGTTACATCCTGAAGCCAGTCACTGGTGAGAAAAGTATTGTTATCAGTATGGAAATTTGCGAAGATTGCAGTATTTTCACAGTTTAATTCATGAGTCGACCTAAGTGGTCTACAGGTTAAGCATCCGCGCACGATTCGAAGGTTCTAGGTTCCAGTCCCGCAAACAAGATCGTGTATGTGTGATGCTGAGGAGACCCATACTAGGACGAAACTGTCGACCAGGTCTTCAGTGGTGGTTTAGCTTAAATCGACTGGCGATTTCAACTGTGAAAATACTACAAAGTCTACAAATCCCTATACTGAAAACTGAAATTTATTTCAAGTAAAACATTTAAAATATTAAAATTAAAGAAAAAACCAATACCAGATTAATTTTTGTTGAGAGTAATTGGTCAGGTGAATTAGTGTGATTTGGAAAGAATTTATTAATATCTAACCAAGATAATTGTTTACCAGAAGGTAGTACGAAACCAGATTTGTTATTTAACGATTCATTCATACGTAATTGGTCCTGATTTTGAGGATCATTGTCACTTAATTTGATTGGCATGAGAGACCAATTTCGATTACGAATTTTCAAACGTGGCCTACAAAATATATTATTGAGAAATATAGAACTGTGTATAATGCAGTACACTATTCGCATAGTCAGAAAGCGAACAATTATTTAAAATGAACATATTGACAGTGTCTAATAAGATTATATGAATAAAGAAGCCATGACGAACAATAAAAGCGATTTTGATAGCCATTGCTTCACTTCATTCTAAATCTATAAAATAGTAATATTAAGTTTCTATAAATCATAAGCTTTCGTTTAGTTCATGATTTACTACCATACCCTTTCAAGTTCCAAAATTATTTTAATTTAAAACGTGACCTTTTGTAATCTCTTTTTCTATCCTGATGCTTAGTTTTGACATAATTGTATTTTCCTAGTTCTTTGTGTGTTTTGATCGTGTTAGTAATCTACCTTTTCATGTGTCTTTGCGTTAATCTGAATTAGGAATAATTCAAGTAGTGTTCCAATAGATTCGTTTTCTCTCACACTCTCGCTTGTCATCCAATTGGGTGGTAGAATAGTTTTTGTTTTTCTGCCTCCAAAGCTGTTTAGTCACAAATCGAACTCACGCATTACTGGCCTCAAGGTTAAATTAGGTAGCCTATCGCATCAAGGCCTTAAACTAAATTAGGACAAGTTCTCTCTTGTAAATAATTGGATAGGAGGATCAAGGACGTAACACAAGCAGTAGAATCAGAACGAGGTACATTGTCTCACTGGAAACTCAACAGTTCAATATCCCAAAGGTTCTTGATACTCAAGACTTACAATCGATTAATCTACAAGCTCAAACGAGATGCAACAAAACTTACTTTTGAATGGAACATGAATGTCAATATACTAAAAACAGGAAATAGTTAAGTGCTCGTTTAAGATAAACTATGAATACCAAGAACACATACTACACTCAAATAGTTATACACTTTGGATAAGAAAAATAAATTTTTTATTGTTTGGATAGTATAATCAAATACATTAGCGCAATACATTTTAAAATTCATTTCGTTGATATATCACATAGTTCTCATCAAATTCATCTTCTTGTTATACAATCCAAATTTATTAAATGGACTACTTGTATCAGATATGTAATATTTCCCAGATCAACTTTTTGAATAATTTTACAAAATATTATGTATGCTGAATTTATTAAATAAAGAAGTGGTAGCACACAAACAAGGAAAACATTTCACAAGATCATTTTGACTGTGATTCTATTCATACAGTTTTATTTAACTCTAAAAAGGCATTCATCAGTATGGGGCTGTGGAGATTATTAAGTTTTTGATTGAGAACATGGACTGATTGGTGTAAGACTACCATTAAACATGGAAGTACTTGACGGTCATTTTGTCATAGTGTGGGTCCCCATAGCAGTGTACATCCACGATCCAGCATGCGAGATCATAGATCGGTTGATGTTGGACACTAACACCGTCAAATGACAGCGCAATGGTCTAGAGGTCAAGCGTTCGCGCGCGAGAACGAATGCCATGGGTTTAAATCCCGCGAGTGTGATTGTGGATGCGCACTGTTGAGGAGTCCTACAATGGGATGAAACGGCTTTCCAGTGCTTCAAGGTTTTCAATGGTTTATTTATTTATTTTAACACAAATATTGATACGAGGAGGCATCAGATATATATGCACCACACATTTCATTTTAATTGTGTGAAGGCTTTGATACTACACGGGTGACCACACCGAAACAAGTGGTTCTCTTGGAGAGCCACACCCCAACGCTTTGACCTAAAGGTCTGATCCACAAGGAAGTGGAGCATCGTACGGAGATGCAATCTCATGGTAACCAGTGACCAACAATTGGTTCATACACAATTTTTTCCCTCAGGATAATGGAGCCCATGTGCATCAATGGTTTGGAACCAGGGTTTCCCAACTCCCCTAGATGGACTTTCCATGTCCACCAACCGAGTTGAAGCGCCGGACATTCGCTTCTCGTCCTCTCAATTTCGTAATCAACACCCCCGCCACGAGAAGGCAGTGAGTACGACTTCCTTGGCAGTGGTTGTATGTACGTGGCCATGTGAGAGCATTTCGAGAGGGAGAGCTGACTCTCCCCCAATCTTGGCAATACCAAGGCATTAGGAGTGATCTAACATCAATCGATTCATGATCTCAATCAAAAATTTCAGAAGATAAACTAAATTAATATCAGTTCATAATAATGGAAGTGATCATAGTAATGATAACATTTTAAGTAAACATGAAATGTAATTGGAAATTTCATATTATTACATATGAATAATCAACAACAACAAAAAGAATGTATACAGTTAAAAATGTGTATTAAGGTCAAGGATTAATGAAAATGATTCATGTGATCTTATTATTGAAATTTCAATAAAAATGTTTGACAATAAAATGAAAATAAAATTTGACAAAATCAACTGACCTGATAAACGCATTTAACAGTTAATCATTTATTTAAATGAAGTATTAACTGATATTATCTGACTTTTAAAACTATTGTACTTCCTGATACTATAGTTAGTAAAAATAATCTGTTGAATATTATAATAGAATTCCTTACATAATATATTGAATAAGTTCCAAATATAATGATATACGATTGTTATATTCTACAACTAGATACATTCTATATAATTTATGTTTATAAAATAGGGGGCTTTGTGGAGATTTTATTAATTTCAGTAGTTGAAATCATGAGTCAATTGAAGCTAGACCACTATGGAAAACCTGGAAGCACAGGACGGCCGTTTCGTCCGTTGAATGCCAGCTCAGTGGTCTAATGGTTAAGCGCTCGCGCGCGAGACTGATAGGTCTAGGGTTCGAATCACGTGGGGGGCAGGATCGCGGATGCACACTGTTGAGAAGTCCCATACTAGGACAAAACGGCCGTCCAGTGCTTCCAGGTTTTCCATGGTGGTCTAGATTCAATTGGCTCATGAATTCAACTATCCTATATATGATAATCGATTATTTACATAATTGAAATTGAATTCAAACACACTAGTTTTGTATAATAAAAAGAAACTAAGCTATGAGTTTTTTAATCAAATTGTTTCACATTAATCTAATCTACTGAATAGTTCATTAGTTTCTCAGCTAATATAAATATCAAACTTAACACAGTTTTGTTTCTAATAGATTATTCTTATATCAAATCAAGATAAATATAAATTAATCACAACAACAATACACAACAAAGATCCAGATAGTGAACGAATTTTCATAAAAATTTTGATCTTTTTATTTATATATAGTACGTATCTTCATTCTAATCCAAGTGGACAATTTAGACACTTATGGTTAAAGATAACAGATGACTCTTACAACGGATATCATTTTTTTCGCTTGATAATAAGTAAACATGCTTATAAGACAATTAGAATAACAAAATAAAGAACCCTATCTTTATATTCGATCTTTCTTATACATATTATTATAATTGATGTAACTACTTCATGAATTCGGTGTTCATTTTGTTGTAATAATGAGGTGCGGTAACTTGGACCGAAACATATATGTGCCTGGTTCTACGCTAAAGATGACTGACGGATATAAGGTGAGTAGATGTGTGGTAGATTAGTTGCTGGCTGCATGCATTTATTTACTAAATCATAACTACTAACGAAGTGAATGTGCATATATACACAGATCCATCATTTTTTTCACATTGTAAACTTTCCCATTATACACATCTTACTGACTTATATTTTCCTACCCATTAAAATCAACATAAGAATATGATTTGATAATCTTTTAGTGTAGTTTTTGTCGTTAAAAGTTATTTACTCTAGAATAATTTTGATTTGATTATCACCTTGAAGAGGTTCTTATTTATTTATTTGAACACATAAATATTGATACAAGGAGGCATCAGATATATATGCACCACACATTTCGTTCTAATTGTGTGAAGACTATGATACTACACGGGTGCCCACACCGAAACAGGTGGTTCTCTTGGAGAGCCACACCCCAACGCTTTGACCTAAAGGTCTGATCCACAAGAAAGTGGAGCGTCGTAAGGAGATGCAATCTCATGGTAACCAGTGACCAACAATTGGTTCATACACAATTTGTTCCCTCAGGATAATGGAGCCCATGTGCATCATTGGTTCGGAATCAGGGTTTCCCAACTCCCCTAGATGGACTTTCCATGTCCATCAGCCGGGTTAAAGCGCCGGACATTCGCTTTTCGTCCTTTCAATTTCGTAATCAACACCCCCGCCACGAGAAGGCAGTGAGTACGACTTCCTTGGCAGTGGTTGTATGTACGTGGCCATGTGAGAGCATTTCGAGAGGGAGGGAGGGGGGCCCTCCCCACTCTCAACCGTACCACGGAAGTTGGGGGCCTGACGGACAATGAGTGGACGTGGTAAAGGTGGGAAGTCTCGTGCTTGAAGAGGTTGAGACAAGTTTGTTGAAAGAAACGGAATGATTTAAATTCCAACCGTTTATAATTTTAGCATATAGTGTCTTTCATATACTCGGAGCCTAATTTCTGTCAAATTCATTTAAATATTGACAAATATTTATATAGATCCAGAACAATGTGTATGAGACTTCTGGGAACTGATTCATTAATTTTTACAAAATCATACTTTTATTATTCTCATTATTTCGTTACAAAAAGAAAATAATGTTCCTTTTTTCATCGCACTAGTGTTCACATAGATGCGTCAATTGACTAAGAGGATAGTATATTAAAACTGATAAGAAAACCTATAATCATGTTGAGACTATAATTTATAGACGAACCCAATTACATTTAAGATAGCAGGTCTTGAATTTCGGTGCAAAATTTATTTATTCATTTGGCTAAATAACAATTTGGCATCATATCTGATGTCAGTTCGTGATAAAAACAGTAAATCTAATTCGTAACATTCAACTGTAGATCCTAATGCTAAGTCCTCACACTAACATGTAATCCACATTTAACCCTAGTAAATAGGTGGACATTCCAAAGTCATTTTAGCGTTGCTCAAAGGTCATCCATAAATTATAGTCTTACTAGAATTATAATGAACACCTTGTTTCATTCGATTGTTCATATTCGACATGTATAGCTTTTAGCCGATGAGTTCGAATTTTCTCTACTTCAGAATTATGATCTATGTTGTCAGGTGATCTGAATAATCCTAATAGATTGTTCACTTGTCAAGCCAATTAGAGAAAATCATTTAACTACTTTCAAAATTATTTAAAATGTACATTGCGTTGTTTCTTGTTAAATAATAAAATGTGACAACCACAAATCAGGTACATTAAAGTGAATAATTGTAGTTAATATGTGTTGGTCAGTGCAATCTGTTCATTATTATCATATCGATTACATTTGTAAACGTCAAACTGATGAAAAAAAATTTCTTTAAAAATTCTTTCTTTACCTATTAGAACGGAAATTTTCACAATCCTGTAGACTAATAACAAGTCCCGATGGGACACAGACAGCTTCACGTATATTTGTAGAAACATTATTCCAAGATGTCCAATTTTCGTCAAGTGTACTCCCATTTTTCAATTGAATAATATCACTGATTAATCCATGTGATTGTCGACCGATTAAACGAAGGCGACAAAAGTAACCCGTTACATCATCTAGTTCAAGTGCACTTTGTGTATCATTTAAAGAATTGACTTCTTTAATAGAAGTTTGTAGTAATTCCCAAGCTGATGCAGACATTGCTGGATGAAGCCATAACCAAATATGACGAAAGCTTTCGCTTAGCTTCAAATGTTTATTTTTTTACAGGAATAAAAAAAATAACGAGGATAAATAACAGGATTTAATAGGAATATTTAAACAATACTATAATCAGCACCGATTTGAATTATCCCGTTGCTAATATTGTGGATTAAATTTTTACCAGTCGTTATTGGGATATAAGCATCTTGTCTGTGCGGATTGTTCCAATTAATAATATCAAATGATATAAACACCGTACTCAATGAACAAGTCAGTAGCTATCTGGTCACAGTGGATAACGTGGTTGAAGTTCGAACCGAAAATGAGTTCAGTATAAGGCGTGAATATCAACAGTAGGATGCAGATACATTTAAGTCCCAAATGAAACAAAACACACTTTTGGGAATTTAATGTAAACTAAAGTTCATCAATTCGACAGTGTATTTGAACAATAAATTTTCCCTTTTCTTATTAAAATTGCTGTGCCGGATATAGTGTTTTAGGTATTAAATGGAGTATATAATAAATTCATTGTTTAAAATGATGAGTAATTCAGCATGAAAATGACTACTGAATTCATCAAGATTTAGTGTCGATCAAATAGACATTATCAGTCCTTGGTGGTGAATTATATTAGGTACTTTAACGCACAATATGCAACAGGACCAGATATTTCTTTTAACTTGGCATAAGCACCATCTTATGTTGACTTTTTGATTGCATAACAGGTATTTTTTGTCAACTTCAAACATTTTAAGAACCAAACACTGCTAATTCTTATTTAGTTCATTATAAGATGTAAGTCATCCAGCACTGTGCAAAACCCAAGAGGAGCTATCTCAATTTTGATTGATTAACTCAAAACCATCAGTATGATATACTTTTACTGAGATTTCGTATCAAGGTTTAACTTTCGTCATATTTGCGTTGTTCATCTGGCGTGCTGGTTTCCGGTACATTGATATTCCCATAGCAAACAGTTATAAATAATGCCAGACTCTTCAAATGAAATATTTGGTGAGAAATTCACTCTAATACGTAGCAGTTATCCACTCAACGGATGTACTGAATGCAACACCTATTGGACAGTGAAAACGTTGTGAATATTTTTAGTCAGATAACAAACTGGTTAATGGATTAGATTGACCCTCCCTGATTGAATCATAATTATTTAATCAGACAAGTACATACTTAATGTCCTTGGTTAGACTATGGGGCTGACATATAAATATGAAGTATATAATGTGACTAACAAGGTAAAATGTGGATCACATTTTATTGTGTTCCATTTTAACCTTATATCTTTGGATTCAGTTATTAGTAATTAAAATACATTTAAACATTGTAAACTTTTCATTCACACTCATCTAGTCAGTTCAGTCACGAACCATGTGACCACTTTGTGTCACATTACAGATAAAGGTCATGAAGTAAGTAACCATCATGAAGCGGGAAATCATTAGATGAGTAAACAATTCAATATTTTGTTACTAACACTAACCATATTGATAAGTTACAACTTCTGACAAGCTTATTGAAGTCAGTATAACAGGAGGGAAAATCAATTTGATGAAGATTCTTCAGATATCAGCTAATTGCTAGGTGATCAAAGTGATTTGGGAAGATCATGAGTAAGAGTATAATATAAGAACGAAATAAGAACAAACAGGACAAACTTTTAGTGGGTTCTTAGCAAATCGGAAAACAGTTTCTGCAAATGAATAGTTTGTGGAAAACAAGACAATAATATTACAAAGCGTTAACCAAGTTTACATAATTAATGAGTCTGATGAAATCTTTCAAATATTTTTCAGTCTATAGATTGAAAAAAACAAGATTATACAAATTTATTTACATGGGTATGAAACATCATTCTTTTCGAGCACTTATAAGTTAACATTAACATTTCTAGGAGTACGCAGATTGTTCCTGTTTAAGGTTACAGATTTACGGCTAGAATTAGGGGATTTAGGGTTAGGATTAGGAATTCAACCTTATGGTATATTGAGTGTTATGTGCATCTTTAGCATAAAGCAACGAGTAACTGAAATGTTTCACGCCAGAATTTTCAGATTGTGATGCGAGAACATAATAAGGTTGATTTCTCGATATACCGCGAATAACTGAGCACTAGAACACCAAAACCCTTCCAAGTCGCAGTAAGAAGACAGAAGACTAATGAAAGGAATATTATTCCAACCAGTGTCAATCATGGTACAAAATTGTCAGGTATTTATAGTTTTTAGTGAGAACGAAATCATCATTATAGTCTTCCAATCCGCATACAGGGGGTTATTAGCATTATCCAATCGGGAAGCTACACGTTGGAATTCTAGAATATTCTTCCGAAAGGTGATTGGATGAGATGTCTTCGACTCCTTCTGAGCCTCTTACAGCTTCCTCGAGTTCACCGGTGGTCCGTCACCACAACTCCACATTATCATTCTAAACTCTCTGGAAAATATACAAACTTATTTCTACTACTAGTTTGATGTGATATAAAATAAAGTTTACTTAATTTCGACCATAATTATCTTTGCTAATTTAATGACTCATCAATCAATTTCAAATTTTACATCACAAAATGATTCTCGCTAGATCAGTACTAAAAACCTGAAAGCACTGAGCGGTCGTTTCGTTCGATTATGAGTAGTGGGGTCGAAGATTCGCCTTACTGACGAGTCCCATACTAGGACGAAACGGCCATCCAGTGCTAATCTAGTTAAGATTGGTTTGTGATTTAAACTTTGAAAATTCCAAAATATCCGCAAACTCCTAACAATGATAATAACAATCATGCAATTGTTCCGAAAATTCAATTACAATTAATATATGAAACTCGAAAGGAAGATCCAACTGGTCAAATATTGAACAGTGGTTATAGAAATTGGTTTCGATAAGTGAGAAATAAGGGTTGGTCATCAAATATCACAGAGATTTAGTGAAAAGACTAAGTACAAAAAAATATACCAAGATAGCTGGGCTTTATAGATCAAAGATTCTAAAAATGTGCCCAATGTCAATCGATTGATAACTTGCTACAGAACAATATGGTAACTGTTAAAGAGACCCACTTATTAACTGAAAGCCCCGAATCAATTATGAATCAAAGTTAAAACAAGAACGCAGAGGAATATGTTTTGCTTCATTAAGATAACACAGCTATATACAGAAAGCTAGATATAAAAATAAAAGTGGTTAAACCGTCAGTATATGGTGGTGAGGATTGCTGAACTTCATTGAATGTACTAAACTGTGTCAAGTATGAGGAAGGTTCTTAACGAACACTCTCGAGGACTGATTGGAATTAGACTAGTACAACAGTGGGCCCCGGCTCAGTGGTCTAGAGGTTAAGAGTTCGAGAGTAAAGGTAGGGTTCCTGGGTTCGATTCCCAGATGCGGGATTGTAGGTATGCGCACTTGAGGACGAAGTGGCTGTCCAATGCTTTCATGTTTTCAACGATTGCCTAATTTCGACCAGTTCATGGTTTTAATGAAATTCGTTATATAACATAAAGAATTGAAAAGTATAAGAATTGCAAATCTATCACTAACTAATGAATTAATCATTAAAACCTAATTTTTGACAGATATTTTAGACTTCGATAAGGAAGTTAACCAGCTAATGTCATAGTTACATAAATATTTTGTAATATTAAAGGTGAGAGATATCAATTTCGATGTGCCATTATTATCTATCAACAACCTCGAAAATTCAAAACAACTATTCACTGGGACATAACTGATCACTTAACATTTACATCAGTTAATCAATGCTAAAAATAACAATAAAAGTCTATTAGAAACTAATCCATAAACCATTATGTGTAATCAATTGGTTGAGACAGTTTCTGAAGTCACAAAACTGTAAAATATTCAATTATCTGGAATATTTACTTCAAATTGCTCTACAAAGTATGAATAAACAATTAAACAAATAGGAAATTTTGCAATCATCAAGCAAAATATAGAAGATAAATATAATCAGTCAAATGATAAATACCTATTTAGAAAAATAACAATCAACTTACTGAATTTAATGAACCCCATAGAATTCGAACAGGTCCAAGTACTGGACGAGAAATATCTTTAACATATTTATTAGTTGCGTATAAAATTCCAGTTTGTTCACATGACCATAAAGGAGTTTTCATGTTGGACAATTCAGGAAGCCAAGAATCAACTTGATAATCTAATTGAAATACATCATTTAAACATTTCACTAACATATTCTCAGGTCCATATATTTGGAAACAATTAAGATAACTGACGTCAAACAATAAACAACCACTAAAATTAAAATAAAAAAAAAAACAATTGCAATAAAAAGGTTAGTTCACATGAACAAGTACAAGTAAGTAAGTAGTTACAAGCTACCACATTGTTGAGGTCATCGTAATTATTGTAACTAATGGTTAGATTTTGGGTGATATAACTAAGAATTGTTTGCAATAGCACATGTGCATGAATGTTTTAATTTTTTCTCTTAGATTCTAAATTACCGTGCAAATTGTTTTTTTACTAGAGATAAAAATTCAGATAGATATGTTAGCCCAGGTTGTAATACTAGATTAGTACGACTAGATGTAATTAAAAGATAAATACTAAATAAACTGAAATAATGTAAAAGTAATGATAATGAGAAAAAATAAAGATTGAGAATGCAGTGGTAAAAAAAAAAGAATGGAAAGGTGTTTATGGAAAAAAATATTGAAACTTAAGATCTAGAAGAAAACAAGGAGTAGATCCGTTCATGATTTTATAACCAATTTGGAACTATATCACCCAATGTCTTCAACTCCTGATTGCGATTAACACGAGGACCCTTAATCGGATATTTCACATCTACCAACATGGTTTAGGTTGAGTAAGCAAATTCATGAACTGGTGCCATGTCTTGATATCGCCATTCCTAGCTTTGTTCCAACTTTCATTTACCCCAACGAACATTATATCTCAAATTGGTTGATGACTGACGATAAGTTATGTATGTCTCAACTATCTCAATCGATGAAGATTAACAACCTTGATCGTTTCACAAAACGCTGTAAATATATTTTATCAATTTATTGGTTTCGAAAATAACTGATAGGGGAAATATTGGTTTCAACAAATGATTAATTAAGTCAGCATTATAAATTGTAGACACAAGAATTACAATTAAAGAAAGCTATAATTACACTAGTATACCGCCATGACCATTAAAACAACGATACAAATGGATAATATAAAGATTTTTACGAAGATTGACTAATCTAATCGTGTACATACATTACCAGATAATCTAAACCTGCAAATATACATCGATCTATAAAGACAACTAGATTAACCACACCTTTTAATGCTATTTGAGATCCTGATCGAAACAACAAGAAAACAATGACTATTTAAAGATTTTTCGCAAATATAACATAGACAATTTTTGAGTGAGATGCAATCAATTGTTTTTCCAAGTTGTAAAACTTCAACAAATCTAAATACTGAATACTCTACAAAGTAGCGAATTTAAGAAGTTGATAAGACAATGGATATAATAGGAAAAGAAAACAACCAGTGCAATCATGTCTATACAGAAATTCCAAAAGATTAGTTAATTCCTTATTGAATTATTAACCGGATAATAATTATGATTGTAGTAGCATATAGAATTTTTTTATAAGCCTGGATAATTTAGATAAATGAACTATTTTGATCTTTCTACTTATTTTTTTCATTTACACATATGACCTTATGATATGTGCATCATAGCACATATAAATTTATATGCTTTCTTGGATGTTTCATACACATAAACGTTGTATGATGTGTTGATCAAATAGAGTTCGCACGGTTGACATCTCCGCTTGACATATTACTTTTGTCTGAGTAAATAAGTGACTGAAATAAATTTATCCAACTTATTACCACCATCGCTCAAACGGGGTTTTAGCTGAAGCAGAATGTACGAAATTAAAGAGAGAATTAACATTCATAGTTCATTCATTCATTATTTCTAATGAAGTCAATGATTTGCCACACTATCATAAACCATAGGTGCGGAGTCGTGGATGTGCGCTCCTGAAGAGTCCTATACTAGGACGAAACGGCTGTCCAGCACTTCCAGGTTTTCAATAGTGGTCTAGCTTACATTAACTCATGAATCCAACTATTAAAATTACTACGATCTCTCTGATAACTCATAATTACAATTCCCAAATAAATAATTGCTGTATATAATAAAAATAGTAAGATATTGAAAAGATGAAATACAAAATTTTGACTAGTTAAGAATGATTTTCAAGGATTTCTTCTTTAAATTATAAAAATCATTAAAACAGCGCCTCTGCTACAATTAAACTTGTTTTCGATTAATTTTGTTAAGTCCATAAATTAACTTATTCAACAGACAGTGTTATTCGAACAGTAAAAATCTGTCTGTCTTTTTATTACTATGATGATGATGATGACTGCATGAACATGTATGCTGAATATGTGACAGTCCACGCAAATATCCCTCTCTCCAGCTAAAATGTTGTTGCTTAAATATCACTGGATGAATCAATCGCTTCCGTATATATATATATATATATATATATATATATATATATATATATATAAATTATTATTATTATTAATCGGTTTGTCTCGGACTTCGCCTCCGTATTCGATTGCTTGCGTGTATTAGCTTTTCCGCTCAAATTCGTTTGACGTTCTTGTAGGTTAGTGATCTGCGCAACGCAATAATAAACTGTAGTCTGAGCTTCATATTGCCTTCTCAATTTATACACCGTTGGAATTTAATTAATAATGGTTATTAGGGTGATTAATATACGAAGCCTAAGGAATTATCTCGAAGACAAACCACCACAAACAACAATCATTATAATACATGTAATAATATTTTACTCATCTATGGAGCTGGAATGGATTGCCCAGGACAGGGTTGGATGGAGAATGCTGGTGAGCGGCCTATGCTACTTCACGAGGAGTAACAGGCGTACGTAGGTAAGTAGGTAATGGTGTCCATATTACATTAAACTTTCTATCAAAGTAATTACACAATAAGATATCAACTTCTTAATTAAAAATTCAAATAAATAACCTTAAAGATAGGTTGATTAATAAACATTATTAAAATAACTTACTTATGAGATGCTTTATAACATGCTTTGAATATTTTATTCGTTGGTGCATAAGGTAAACGCCAACCCCATTTTGTAATCATATGAAATCGTTTAGCATGCCATATATGTGTTGGTAACCAGAATGATTTTTCCTTTTTTAAATGGTTATTATGTTTATTTGTTGTAATAAAACGTGCATGTAAAGCTAAAAGACGTAATGTACGCCGACGATATCGGCGGGATTTCAATTTATTTTTGATTTGAAATGTCTTCATTTTAAGAGAGAAACAGGTTCAGAAAGACATTCAACAATTAATACTGTGAACTATAATAACAATAATGTTTAATTGTAATCACATATGAGTCATAAAATTTAACGAGCAGAATAATAAAGGTTTTAACAATTAACAATGAGATTTCAAGAGAGATCTGCTATTTTTTTTTACTCGTTTTCTGGTTTATTTTCAAAATGTACAAATATCTAAATTATATTCATAATTGATAGTCAGTCAGTCAGCTACAACGTAGGATCAGGGACATATATGCATCGGACCAAGTTTCCATACCTCACTTATTAACACAACAAGATGAACATCAAATTCATAGAAGCAGTTACTTTAATTGTAGTAATATATAGAAAAAACACTTCATATAAAGATATGATACAGGGAGAAAGAATGGATGGATTCCCAACCGAACTGTTCTGTTAATCAAGCGTATTCTTAACAGAAACTAAATACAAAAACGTATTTATTTCATGAAATTTTCAATCAACAAATTGTTCTTTTAACAAATTAATTCCTGAAAAAGTAAAATGCAAGAATCACCGAATAGGTCATTATATATTCTTGTATTCGACCAGAAACTAGAAGTTTATTAAGAAAACAATATGTAGATCGAGGATTTCATGGAATGAGTACAATGTAGTTAATTGTTCAAGCTATCTGGTTCGTGACCGTGAGATTGTTGTAATAAACTGTTGAAGACTTAGAATACCATGATTCACAACCAGTCGTAATGAAGCAGATGTTTGTTATAAAATACTTATAATTCTTACTCTGTAAATTTATTCTCTTTTCGAATTATTGTCTGTGCCTAATCTTTTCGATTAACGTTGATTTTTTTACTATTTCTATTATATTGCGATTTATCTAAAATAACTTCATATCACCACGTTAGTGTGATATGGGAACTTGAACTGACGACTGTATATACCATGTTCCATTTTGCTTATAACTGACTGGCCTCACAGATAATTAACATGAATATGTTATTCTCCTTACGTAATTGATGACAACTATATTTCAGACATAAAATCCTTTCTTTTATGATTTCGAATAAATAAGATGAATTTAACCACTATAGAAAAAGGATAATTGTTGTAAGTTATAACAACCTAGACTGATAAACACAATTGTATCACGTCCTATGTTGGCTAAAATGAATAGTTGGAGACTATTCAAGTCGATCAAAAATGGTCATTAATCAAAGTTAATTTCATTTTGAAAATGTAAAACCTTTAGACTTGTTTAAGTTTTTCACAATTCGTCTAAATTAACTCAAAATAGCTAAGTTAGTCACTAGTGGAATTTGTCAAGGTATAGTTTAGATTATACAAACAATCATATCTTAATATAGTATATATATACTTTCAAAATTTAGAAAAGATCACGGGATGAATGTATCAGTATGTCAATATGTCTTAGCACTAAATGCTAACATCAACAATCTCTAGACAATATTCTAGGCTCTAAAACTCGACGGCCATTCAGCTAGATCACGAGTGATTAATCACCAAACGCTGGAAATAGAAGGGATTAACTACTCTATAATAAATAAAGAAAACATCCTGGCTGGTGTGAATATTGTTGAGCAATACATTCAAAGTTTTCCTTTCATTGCTTCTGCAGATAAAGATAAAGGGTGTTCTAAATTGAAAAAATAATTGGCTAGTGACAATTTTCGATAACTTGAGATATAGGTTCGATTCGGTTTATAGGAATTGCTAATTATGAACGATCGTGATTAGTCTAATACTATTGGAATCTACCATGAATGCGACAGAACCTTAGAAAACAATCAGCTGAGCAGAAGAAAACTTGATATCAAATAAAGAGAAAATTAAAGTGGAACGACTCTATAGATCCATTGGTTAAACATGACCTTGAGATACAAAAAACAGTAAACTAAAAGTGGTAAGAACCAACATGAAAACAGCAAAAACTGTGCAAAAATATGAACCATAAAAATTGTACTTCAGATCACAATTGCAGGGGAAGAAAATTAACACTTATTAACAAAAATAGAATATCCTATGATCCTAACATAAACTTGATAGTAAAGAAATGGTAGTTACAGAACATGATAAAAGTTAAGGAAAACCTCTTACCCCAGACTTAGAACCATTCTCATTAGGGTTTGCAAGATGATGATGTTTATGAAAACGACGAGGTAATCTATTGATACGATGACTTGCAGCGCGTCTTCGTAAACGAACAGGCAGACGTTGAAGTCCAGTAAGTGCAGTGCTAGTTAAAACATTGACACTAGATTCAAAAGATGCTAATTCAGCTCCACGTACTGTAGCTAAACGCAATACATCAAAACAAGCATATTGTGAATATGTTGATTCTGGTAAATCATTTATGGGTTTAAAATCCATAATATTGCAATCTGCATTCAATGTAAAGAATAATTCAAGATAATGTCAATTTTAGATGTAATTTTTAAACAGAAAAAGAAACACGATACAATAACTTATTGATAAAACAAATTCAAGTATAAACAACCATTATAGTCCTCTTTTTTTATGTGTAAGCTGAAGGAATTATCTGGTTAACTAAAAAAAAAATTAGCGAACTTAAAGGCTTAAACTTAAAGTCACAAACATTATAAGTAAAGATGAATGGTAACTATATATATATATATATCATTATTGAAATTCAACACCAAATATTATGCAATAATAGTAATAAAGATGAAATTGTAATGGGTGCTATTAATTCTTATTCAGGAAGTAAAATGGTTATTAATCATGTTAGATAAATCAATAAGTTGAAAATGATAAAACTAGATATATGATAGAATGTGAATTATAATACACATAAAAATATATATAGTAGGTGTATACCAAAAGATTATGTCATCTAAGTAGTAATTGGAAATAACGTCCGATTGAAATTCTGACAATTACATAATATAATCTCGTCTATTTAGAAATAATAATTCATTGATAAATCAAACACCTATTCATAATGCTTTCCAAAACATGATAAACTTTTTCTTACTCATTACCATATAAGGCTTATCATATCAAAGAATGCTTCCTATTACCGATATAATATATATGAACTATCACATTTATCATACGAATTATAATGCCACTGATGCAATAAAGTAAGTTAATGGGTGAAAATATTGTATATCGTAAGAAATTACAAGCGTTTACATGATATGCATACATAGTCTTCGATCATCCATTTGCATCTTGCAGTGTTCTGCAATCCAAACTGTCGTCTCGTCTGGATATCAAGTGTTTTTTCTTACTCTGAGTTCTCAATGTACTGAAAACTTTCTCTTCATCTGACAACTGTGATAACTTCGACATCACATTCAGCTACATACTACTTACAATCCTGTGAACAGCGTCCACTATAATGTGACTGAGTACTGAATTGATAATGAAAAAAAGTCTGTTTAGTAGAAATCAACAATCTAGATTATTGGTCAGAGAGGTAGAAATTCTCCTGTAAGCTTATAGTATGGGAATGAGCGTGGAAAAAAAACATGTAACATTTTAGGCCGGCTCTTAATCAATTAGAATAGTATCGCTAAATGTAAACAAATTTGGGATAAATAATGGACTGATTAACACGTTCCCCAGGTTGCTATGTCCGTAAATACAGTATAGAAACGACACTTTTGTAGCCCGCTGATCTGACACCGATTTGGATGAATGTACGATGCTATTAACATAAATCTTCCATTTAACTCTGTATATTACCCAGGATAACCCCGTTTGTGTGATGGAGGTAGAAAGAAGTTAAATAGTAGTTACGTTGGAGGGATTTATTTCAAGTGCTCGTTTATCCAGACAGAAATTCAGAATAGGAAGCGGAAAGTCAAGAGAAGGCGAATGAGCCAACTCCATCTGACCAAGTGTAACTCAATATTTATAGTCAGAATAAAATAGACTACAGATATGTAATAGATAGGATAAGAAATGCACATACATACACTCACATAGAAACAATCAAGGTTAATAAGCGAATGACTGACAAGTTCAAAATGTGACTAAAGAAGAATGAATAAATTGGTCCATCCAGAAGCCAAAATAACACATATGGGCTTGATATGGTACTAGACACTACATCCTTATAGGCATGGATTGTCCTTCTTCTAGAAATCTTGATGTTACCTAAATAAATTTTTAAAAGTACCCAGATTTAGGATTACGGTTGCCATCGCGAAGTGACATCAGCTATGATGAAAAAAATGAGTAGTAGCCTTACAGACGAATGAATTTTACGCGAAAAAACGCAAGGGCCACTGTCTGAATTGTTCATCCATAAAACAGAAAACCATCAGGTAATGATTCGTCCCAGAATTAAAGATTTACAGGTAGGATTTAATGATGATGTTGACCTGTCCGTTTATACACAATATGCAAAATAATAATATACCATTTGGGAAGTTGTGGCAATCATCTTTTTATACTACAATGGTAAAAAAAATAATTTTTCGTTATTATTTTGGACGATTTGAGCAGTATATAAAGGTATCTACTGTTTGTCATACGTGATGATTGGATTTCCCCTGCAAGCCTAAAAGTTATATCCTCGTGTGACTGGTCGTTGTTATTCTATACTCTTATAATATTTCCTACTTCAGATTTCGATTTATGCTGGTCTGTCGTCAGAACAATATAATTGGATAAAATATTTTGTTGTTTAACCAATCACCAAAGTCTATTTATTCATTCTATCATTGTTATTTTGCTTGAAAATGGATATAGAGTAATTTCTGATAAACATTAACAATCCATTCTGGGAGTAGGAATCATATGTATTACCGATTCGTGCAATATCAGTACAAAGCCATTCAGGTTATCGGATTACAGCTTGGATATGCCAGTTGATTTAGTATTACCGTTCTGTTACATATAGCTTAGCTAAAACAGGACATACACCGGTAGCATAAGTCTCCAAAGTAAATTAAACTAATGTTCTGTCGGAAACCTATTTATATAGCTTTGACATTTTTGCTGATTGGCTTCGATATAGCTTTTCAAGAAAAAAGTCGATGTTACTATTAAGATGAAAATGGTTTTTTACAGTATCCAAAACCAGACATTATGTCTAAAGATTTCCTTAAGGTAGTATAAAAATTATCGAAAACTTGAGCTTCATCGAAAACGATTACACAAATCAGAATGCTATATATTACTTCATGTTCCTCTGAATGAAGTTGGATGTTAACTATAACGTACTACCAATTATGTGGTCACTTTTCCTCTATAGAATTACAATGACAGAGATCAGATAGGCAATGATAATAATTATTTTAAAAAACCTAACTTAATAGTGCTTATTATTAAAACTTTCAAACAAGTTGTAAATTAAGATGGTCTTAAAAACCGCTTTAGTGCAAATTTACCAATTTCGAAATGTGACTGTCATAATAGACTTGACTGATACCAAGAAACACTTTTGAAATAAATTTACCTTTAAGTTCGACTGGAAAGTATACGTATATTTCTTTATTAAAGAACATTGAAATGAGTAAATAAGAAGCATTACAATCTAGAAATAATCTTAATTATCAACCAAGAACACAATCTAATTCACTATCTCATTATTAACCAGGATATATTAAGCATTTTTAAACTTGGATTTTAAGGCTCTGCATAATTGTCACTATTTTAATTAGGTTTATATGAGACTGATTTATGAAGTCTATGATATGTATACTATTGACAAAATCAATAGTTACAGTTACTATACATCTGTTAGAGTACTCATTAACAAGTATATAAAACACAAAATCACTTGCAATCGCCTCTTCAATAAGGAATATTTGGTGTAAACTATTTAATTAATGAATAATAGATGAAAACCTGTTTGGATGTTTTAGAAGGAAAACACATTCGGAAATATTCTTCATGTTTTATGAAAGAAAGGAAAACCAACCTATTTTATTTCATCATTTGAGTTTAGTTTTAAGCGGCATAAAATATAAGTAATATATTAGTACAACGAAGCAAGAAATAAGTCATTTATCAAGTTATCTGTAGTACGTCTTAACTTCATGCTGTCCTTCAACGGTGTGGGCTGATGGAATTACCTGGCTGTCCACATCAAAGTAGGTGGAGTGGGGTTCAAACCCTAAACTTGTTGATTCAAAGTCAAATGACATAACCGCTGCTCCGATGAAGATTTGATAGAGCTGCTATTCAAACCTATAATCATTCAAACTGGCGTCTGAAATTAGATCCATAGAACGCTCGAATACTCGAGTAATTTCATTGAATTTTGTGTGCAGAAGTAAAATTTGAACTTGGACAAAAACTATGATTCGGTTAAGAATCAATCTAGCCAAAGCTAAAGAAATATATTAAGGATTGAACAGGTTTTATAACCAATAACCGATTTGTGAACCAATTTTTAACCCAATCACTTCACTCAACCATAATATCTTGGTGCTATTATAGATTTAGCTTAGTGTATTTTGATCAATAAAATCACCGATATTAAAGAATATATTATATCTTCATGTTGAATAGTTAAAACCACTTTTCTAGATTTTCGATTGTCAACAATTTATGAAACCAAATGATGTCATTTATTGAGAAATACAACATATTACCAGTCATATATTGACAGTTGGAAAAAAGAAGACATTTACAAGTCTGCTGTAGTAAACTAGTCGTCAGTGAGCATGTAAGATAGTCGAGTTTCATGTTAGTTGAAAGTGTCTACATAGGAATCATCAACAAACTTAAATAACAACCTTTTTAGCAATAATTTCATTACGAGACTTCGATCTAGAAAACGCAACAAACTTAAAAATGTTAAAAAGCCATCACAATTAAGAATTATTATCCTAGTCTTAACGATGGTATAACACATCATACATTCAACAGACATTAAGCTATTTCAACGTACACAGTAAATGCAGTTTATAATGACTAAACATACTAGACAGAAGACTTTATATGTGTAGAAATATCAATAGAACCTAAAAAGGGACAATACAAGCGTACAATCAAACAACTAGAAACTCGTTGAGATTGAAAGGCAAATCAATGGATGAAAAAGACAAACAACGTGGACGAATAGTAAACAACGTTTATTTTGTTTTGCAATTCTAATTCACTTTTATTATATGTAATTGTGTCTGCATTATATACTACTGATAACGACCATCATAGCAGTAGTATTCACATCACGATAAATAATATATTCATAGTTACATCAGTCATTTAAGATGAGAAATAGAGAGAAAGAGGAAAAAAGGACACATGGAAAAGACGAAAATCCACACAATAAATTGATTATAAAGACATTCCAAATTGTTCATTGAAAGATGAGAAATTTTTCCAAAAAGGCGTCAAATACAAAGTTTATTAAAAAACGGGAAAAAAACTAAAGTTCATAATTTAGAGAAGATGAAACTAAATTTTGTTGTTCTGATAAACTGACGTTTTGATTTTGTCTTTTTTTTAAAAAAGAAACCGAAATATATGGCTAAATGTTGCAGTTGTGTTTTCTTCGTGGAAAAACGATGTACAGTGAGAATTGTTACACAATTATTCTGTCGTCTCCTCAAGTGTTCCCAGCGTATACCGGACATTTCAGAACGAAAGACGTATTGACATAAACAAACAGGTTCATACATTGACAGACGAATGGACAAAAAAAGCTAAACTAGATTCATCGAAGAGATGTGTCATATTTATTATTATTATTATATGATTTAATCAGCTGACTAATTCATTTGATCAACTGAATACGTAAATCACATGTACGTTTACATTGTTACAAATATGATGAGCGTAGATCATTACGTAAACGTGAAAACATTGTGTTGATCTTCTGTTCCTTTGTATAGTTATCATTTATTTTTTGGTATAACAAATACTGATAAACTTCACTGTATATGTAATAATTTGAGCAGATTTTATGAAATTATAATTGGTGTCTGCTGCCAATATGTAAGTATGTGCAAAAAAATCATGTTATTTATAAGTAGGTGTTTATATATGTTGAACCTACTATTAAACATTGATGATAAACAAACAAGGTTGGCAGTACACATTTGATCAAAAAATATGATAAAATAGTGACTGAATTTCAAGAAAATTTGCTACAAATTAAAAAGACACAAGTAATTGATTAATAATCCCCGTATCCTTTCGAGGAAGAGAGAAAGAGAAAACTATAGGAAATCGAAAAAAGAAGAAGGAAGAAAGTAGTCCACCAATGATAAAACAAAGTTGTGGAAAGGATAAGAAGAAAGAAGGAGAAGACAAGATGGATTTATGACATTCCAAATCCTTTACAATGTGTTATCGCCAGTAATAATGATTGTTGTAATTTTTCCAAACTTTGATATTCCGGCAATAAAAGAATGTTGAAACAAGTATGAGCAGACGGTAATCTGAAATGAAAGAAATCACAATAATGGAAACAAAGTGTACACATACACAAAATACCTACACATAACCACAATTTTAAAAAATTGTTTAGAAAAAACATGCTGCAAACAAATGCATTACTTAATGAATTCAAGAGATATCTTCTGAAGAAAATCTATTCATATGACAATATGATGTCACTATGCATAATAGTTGTGTGCTACCTATAATATTCGTGTAAAATAATGTTTCTGTACCGAAAAACTCGATCTAAAACTTTAATTATCAATGATGGGATGCAATTGCGAGAAAGCCCTAGACGACAAGAACAGTGTGTATGTGGGATTCTAACCACCGTTACGATGTACAAGATTCAGGCGGGATATCCCTGTGAGATTCTCAGTCGCTTACTAATCATTTGTACGACTAATAATCATTTGCACATTCTAATTAGGTACTTAGACAGTTTCAACTGAATGATATAACACAGATTACTAAAGACATGAACTTGCAAAAAAATTGTGGGTTTCTTTAAAGTAAGAATCTGTGACAATAAAATGTAGACATTTATGACAGTGTTTATTCAGAAAATATTTATAGTTTAATTTGATTTACCTTAGCAAAAAAATTAACAAAATAGATTCATCACATAATTATGAGTTTCCGATAAAAAAAGTTTTATTAACGCTCTGATATAGGTTAAAGCATTAAAACGTAAAGGCAGATGAGTTACAACCAAAATCCAATATCACAACACCAACTTTGGATTTAGTTAAGTATTGTCATTATCAATTATACACGAATACAATGGATTGTACTAGATAAGTTACGGCATATTATTGAATTAAAATAATATTTATAATAGTATTCTAGTTTTTATTCACTATGTGATACATGGAACTCATAAAGTTTGTTTTAGCAGATATGAATGTGATAATACACAAAAACACTCATATTTAAGGTGTTGTTTAATTCTTTGAAACTAACAAACAAGAATTTCACTTTGTAGTTAATACAAATGCCTACATCTAAAGAGGTTAATTTGTAGAGTAGAGGCGAACATTTAACTTGTGTTTCGTGGATTTTTGATAATGTATCTAGTTCGATGATTAGCAAACTGGATACTAAAATGAATTTGCCATGTGAAAAATCAGTTGAAAACAGAAGATTAAAGTTGATAATAGAAATAGAAAAAAAATTATTAGATAGTAAAAAAGAACTTGATTGTGAACAAGGTGATCTCAAGTGCTGTGAAAGGCACGACAACAGTTATCATTTCCGGAGGCCAACACCATGAGAGCATGATTTTACTTGAGGATCCTGAAATGGAACTGAGTTGGTACTGATCTTGACGATCAAGGAGCAAGACAACTAAGTTCAAGTAACGACTCCTTGAGAGGCGCTTATGTATCATTCTTTTACGAACAGTTTTACATGGTTTGGCTCCACACTCATAAGGCCCTATCGCTTGCTAGCAATAGCAATTTGTAAGGTAATGTGAGGCGTATTAATTTTACAGTCTGCTTTATCTGATTCCCTCTTTCTGTTGTAAATAGACAGAATAATTGAAGATACAGATTGTTTATAGAAAATGCTATAATGTCGTCAAAAATCTGTGCAGTGGGCAGAACTATTCCGCTTTCAGATTATGAATGTGTTGCTTTTTAGCCCACATAAGCGGCATATTATTACCTAAATGAATGAGTGTTCCAGTTAATATGTGGTGCACGCTACTTATGTCTGTCGATATAATTAGTATGTAACAACATCAGAAGTGGTGCGCCTGTCAAAAGAAGACTGAGAAGATTGAATTGAAGAAAACAGAAAGGGAAACACAAAGGAACTGAGAATTGGAAGAATCATAAAGGACGTAAAGGACAACTGATGGAAGATTTGCAAATGAAGTATTGTTCACAACCTACGAAAGAACTCTGTAATTTTGCATTAAGCAATAAATTGGTTATCCCAACCAAGTTTTCGTCCACTTCAAATATAATTCAACTGAGTCACTGCGACATATAAGTTTAACTACCACCTTAAGCTAGCAGCTAATATTAGGTCGAGTATAATTGCTATGTCAACCATTTCAATCATACATTTGAATAACCTATTAATTGTTTCGAATTCTAAATATTTAAAATTAACTACTAAAATTCGAATTTACAAATGGAAAAAGGAAAGAGCAAATTATTTATGAATTAGTACACGAAATTAATTTACCTATTAGTATCAGAACCTTGACGTGCTATAGTAAATTTCATTTTTGACATACCACCAACTGGTACACGATCAGAACCAGTAGAAAATTGTAATAATTGTTTTTTTTGTTCTTTAGTCATTGAATGTACTATAGACCAGAAATTTTTAATTACAGTTGAATCAGATGTATATTCTTCATATGTAGTGACTCTTTCTAATTCATTAAAATCATATACCTATTAAAATGAGATATGAATTGTATAATTTGTTTAATGAAGAAAAATGTAAATGGAAAAATAGAATTTTAAAAAAGATCAAAATTTAAGCATGTAAACTGTCTTGTTATATCTCAGTGATAATTAGTAAAAAAAGAAGTATTACAAAATTATAATAATAGGTTAGATTTCTGAAAACCAAAGCTAATAAAAGGTGTTGGATAGTTGAAGGTTTGTCAGCCACAATTCCTGGTACTAGATTTCATATTAGTTGTGACTCTTCAACAAAGCGTATCTACAATCTTCAAAGAAATGTTTCCTATAGGATTCAAACCAGTAATGTCAACTTCTTTAGACTAGTGACCACACACTACAACTTGATCTATAGACTTTGAACAGCACTGAAAAGCGACTAGGCAAATATGATACTAACCACCACTCATTAATCAGCCCTAATGAAAGTATAGATGGATAGTGTATTTATTGTGAATTGACTTAATAACAATCAACATTATCAATGGATTTCAATAGTTGTTAATTCCTGCTATACGTCCAATTTTCAATAACAAACCGACAAGTTTGTTATACAGTCAATGATATATATAGAAACATGAACATTTTAAATATATCATTATATGTTTCATACAATTATTATACTTACTGGGCTTCCACGAACAAGTAGCTCTAATTCATCTGGACGAAATAAAAATGTTAATGGGCTTTCATCGACAACCATTTGAAAACCTCTTCGAAAAGCATTGAATTGTTTTTTAACAGAATCATTCAACAAGAAACTTGAATACAAATCTACATATTCCTTAATTTTAATTTTAACACATAAAACAGAAAAGAGGTTTTTTTAAATAAAAATACTTATTATGAACAAATTATCAACTACATATAATAATAAACATAATGATAATTAATTACTTTTTAATTTTGTATTAAATCTAACATGACAAAGCAATACTCTAAGCTAGAAATATAAATTTGCAATCCAGAGTCAGTCCATCATGTATAACCTAGAAACTGACACATATATAGATTGGTTCCAGTTACTACTACACCACAACAGCATAACGAAATAAAATTATCAAGACATATGAGAAATTAGTATAAGTAATAACAGTACCAGTGGTAAGCGAAAACGTTAGATGTGATTCGAAACATACTGTAAATGTTTCCGTATTTAAAATAGTCAACTAGAAGATAGAATGGGTAATAAGTCTTTTAGCTAAATATGATCTAAATCAGGAATAATTTTTTAAAGTTAATAACTAATATTGTTACGTTGATACTGATGTTTAACGACATGGCCTAACCATTTGAAAGCTAGGTTATCCTATTACCATTCTTGAAGAATTTACATAAATTAAATAAAGTTGGCCGGATATAAACCAAATAGATAAATAGATATTAGTGATACACTTAGTCTCCTAGGAACTTTGATTCAATGATAATAATATTAAAAAGGTATGTAATGTTGATGTTACACATGACACTACGAGAGATTGGAGATACCAAGTTTCGCAACTAACATGATAGCAATAAGCTATAAAGGTCCTGCATTTACTGAATTAGTCAGATTTTTAGTTGTATCGTTCTCGAATGCATCTACCACTTCATCTGCTCTTGTAAAGAGATGTACACGAGCTGTACCTAGCGCTCGCTTTTAAGACGAAAGTGGTAACGAATTCTGTCCCTGAAAATCTAACCGATTCAAATCATACGAATGATCCACAGGTTAATCATATAATTCGTTCAAATCTAACAATATATTTTGGTATTCAACTCAGTGAAAACAGCCTAGAGGCTCTTGGTATTCATGAAATGAAGTAAAACTTGTTGTTGTCTTTACTGTATCCTTAAACTATTATTATCATTACCATTTATCCATTTATTTTATTTTCATTTCTTATATAAAAATATTCCGTTTTCTCGCCAATTATTTTTCATTATCCCATTATTTTATTCATAATCCTTTCTGATATCACTTCATTACATTTAATATCTCTAATACCTTCATTCATTGTAACAAAAGTATTTTGATTATCTTAATTCATTTAGATTATAATTTATTGTCAGCTTATTAATTTTATTTATTTGCATATAAACAATCTTGTATTGTTATTATATACAATAAATAATCCAAAATTAAAAACTTTCTATTACATCATCATGTTTACACCCATGTATATATATAGTTTGATAATAAATTTGTTGAGAAGAGATTCTTTAGCTGAACTGTGTATTTTTACTTCTCCAGTTGCACAATCCCCATAGTTACATCTTATATTTACATCCCATTCAGTCATTCATTATAGTTACAATATTCAACTTATTAAGTTGATATTGATTAATCTGTTTACTTTTGTAAGTTTCAATCTCACTACCAAATAAAAACTTTCTCTCTCTCTCTTTCATTAAATGATTATTATCCAATAACGGAATCTTAGTTCAAAAATGAGTTTTATTCCTAACAAACTGTGAGTAACAATTTCTATTCATGTAAATATCATACTGTTAAATGTCTTTGTAGAATCTCAAAAAAATATCGCTGAAAAGAAAAACATTTCGCTTAAGTTTGTTTAATTCAATAATTTAATGAATAGATTATAAATTACTTTAGTTAATTGTATCACCTTGAAAATAACCTAAACATATGTTAGTACTGTTTGAAAAGAGACCATACTATGTGTAAACAAGAAAATTATTTGACCAACTTAGTTGCTATGCAATTGACTTACTAAAAAAATACATAAGCATCAAATTAACTCAATTAAATGAAAGAAAAAATATATACAAAGTCAAAGACAAAAAACGCGAATGAAAAAAGCAATAATTACTTTACGATTTTCTTTTGTAACTGGAATTTTAGCTCCATCCGGTTTTAATTCATGTGTAATAACATTACCGAATGGATCAAGGTAATTGACAGCGAATGAACAACCGAATACGTTTTCAATATCATCATATTCATATTCCAACAAACTTTTTAATCCTTGGGCTAAACTCTAAAAAAAGCAGAAAATAACCATATATATATGCCAGATACATATTCGTGTAATTATTGACCTTCAGTCACAAGTGTAAAACATCTAATTCTAAAAGAATATATAAATAAAATTACACGCGCATGAGGACCTAAACTTGAATTAATGAGCAGTTATCAAGTGAGAACTTTGCTTTGTTTAACACTTTGCTGTAGCTCAAAGCCAATACAGAGAAAAGTTAATAAAACAAAAAAGTACAGCAAGGATAGTGAAAAGTTAAAAAGTAAGATTTCTGAGAATGGATGAATGAAATCTACAAAATAATTTTGATGTTCAAAACTGGGAAAAAGACATATGAGAATTGTGTTTACACTACTACACCAACTGCATTTGAGCTAAAATACCTTAGATCCTCTGTGCACTGAATACTATTATCTTTCTTCAAAAAAAAAAAAAAAAAACTCGGACGGAAATATTAAATACAAGACGAACGGAAAGTTCTTTGAGAGCATTACACAAGCACTAATATGCTATACATATCATCTGAAAAACGTAGTATTAAAAAAATATGCTAGTGATCTGGTAAAGTATAAATTGCACGATAAACAAATGGAACCGATATACGTAAGTGATTATGAAAACAGGTAAGATACAATGAACACAAATGACAAAGATTATTGTGTTGTTGAATGAATTACATACAAATAACAAATTACTGAGAAAGAAATATCAGAAAAAGAGGAGTAGGAGAGAGAGGAGGGAAGGAAAAGAATCAAACGGAACAATATGTTAATATTGTCATTAGTACCAGTAGTAGTAATAGTATTAAAATTATTATGAAATTGTGATCAATAAGCACCCATTAAATGAAGATATAAATTGTTATCTTGGAAGATAATCCTTATATAGCAACAAAAAATAGAAATTAATCATCTTAAAGAAATGTATGACAAAAATTTAGGGAGGTGGGAGTGAAAAAAAAGGAATAATTTTAGTGAAGAAGCTTCTTCAGTTTCACAAATAGAAAGAAATAGAGAAAAAATCGACGAGAAAATCAATGAAGCTAAAAACAATTGTCCTTATTCAAAAGAAATAAATAAATAGTATATTTGTGAGAGAAATATTGGAAAAACTCTATTATAGTGTGATAACAATTGATCGAATAGATATGTAGGTTTCTTTTTTTCATTTAGATAGTGAAATTTCAGTCAGTCAGTCAGCTACAACGTAGGATCAGGCACATATATACATCGGTCCAAGTTGCCATACCTCATTAGCACAATAAGATGAACATCGAATTCATAAAGTAGTTAGTTCAGTGATGGTAATATATAAAAGAAAGATTGCATATAAGGATATATTGTGGTAAGGAGAATTGTACATATCTAGAATTGGGCGTAGAGGAAGACCCGATTTATGTACTTTAGGCAAACCATACAGTCGTGGTGTAAATGATCCAGTCGGATTAATTGAATCGTGAATCTCGGTCGTAATTATTCCCTTTTTCTTTAAATCCTTAAATTCTGTGCTAGTAGGCATAGAGTCAACCAATTAGATACGGATGTACAAATTGAGAATTTATTTTCACAAACAACTGACTTGATTCCTACCTCATTGGAGGATCTTGCTCGGTTTAAAACCACATTAGTTGATAGCTGCCAACAATACAAGAATAGTAAGGGTACCACAAATCACCGACTAACCAAGCAGCACCAAGACTCTTTAACGAAACTAAGAAAAGATGAAACCCTGACCATAACCAAACCAGATAAAGGAGGAGGTATAGTTCTCATGAACAAAAATGATTACATGGGAAAAAGGGAAACAATGCTTAGCGATCCTAGCAAATTTCAGAAAATTACTAGTAATTGTGACATCAATAATAAAGTAGAAAGACAATTGTCCAATTTCCTTAAGGATCTAAAGAAAAAGGAAATAATTACGACCGAGATTCACGATTCAATTAATCCGACTGGATCATTTACACCACGACTGTATGGTTTGCCTAAAGTACATAAATCGGGTGTTCCTCTACGCCCAATTCTAGATATGTACAATTCTCCTTACCACAAAATTGCAAAGTGGCTAGTACGAACCTCAGAACCTTTACATATAAGGATATAGTACAGAAAGAAAGAATTGGTTCGTAGAAAGGATATAAAGCAATTTCAATCTCATAGTTTAAAGGAAGACAGAGAGTGTATACACCTACGCCATTGTGATCGATTCTGAGTCATGTCAACCAGAGTCTCGAACCACTGGTGACTATCGTCAGCAATTTCGGCTTTAGTAAGACAGAGAAATTGTTCTATACGAAATATTAATTAACTTTATCATGGCTGTGGTACAATGTATAATGAAAGCAACGTGAATTAACCTGAAGGATCACATCTAATGAGTTGAGTTATTCACCAATCTTAAGAATGATGTATTGAGTAAGCCTGATGACGGAAATCAATAAAATGAAGTCCTGGAGAATTCAATGTAGAATATTATTTTCAACATTAATATATCATCAGTCTGAATTTAAAAATAGGCCAATTTATATTACTTAGATATATAATGTGGAAAATCCTTACAGGTCGAGCATCAAATAGATCTTCAAATGTACCCAATTTTCCAACTAATTTTCGATACAACACTGACGGGAAATTAATATCCAATATAACATCATTATAAATTGCTAAACCCAATAAGGTCCCAATTAAACAATATTCACGTTCCATATCGTCCAGAGGAACTGGATTAAACCAATAATTTTGAGTTTCTTCATCCAGTACAAACATACCTTAATGGAGAAAATAAGACGGGAAAATGCAACATGATTATTATTATTATTATCATTATTATTATTATTAATTGTCGTCAGCCCAATTATATTATATGTAGTAAGAGAAATTTACAACAAATGTTAGGTGGCAGTCGACAGGAAACCTTGAAAGCTAAGGTTTTATGCTAGTTAGTACTTGTTTGCAAGGAGTTCCTGAAACCTTAAGAGGATGGATGATTCCTGTACAGTTAGGACCTACGTCACCTGTAGCCTCAAAATCTCACACGCTACCGGTGAGCTATTCGGGCATAGACTCACCTGCTATATGACTGAGATAGTTACTTCTATCATAGTTGTATAATCCTTTAGTGTCGATCAACTTTTTGTCGACCAAGTTACCTATCATTGGTTAAATCCTTGAACTAAAACATATGTACAGCATTTATGTGAAGTGGCTGATCTATTAAAATGAGGATGAATTATGTTTGACTGGACTGAACTCTTGATTTTCTCAACCTGTCGCTGGCTCGATCACCCTTTCGAATTTTCATCACTTATCATTTGTTTTTTTTTTCACTGTTCCAATCACTTTATTTGATGTACTTTTCATCTATATTGAAGTAAGATAAACACTATACCACTGACTCAGTCTAATATTAGTGCTGTCTACCAACTTATTAGACTACCATCACCTGCCCACTGTAAAAGAAATAATGTCATAATATTCAGTTACTGTTCTTTATCACATACGTATTCATTGAAATAAGTGACTCAACACAAAGAATCCATCAAAAAAAACGTTAATTAACTAACGAAAAGTCAGTTCCATACTGAACAAATAAGTTATACTAACACTGACTGGGACTTATGGATGATGCCAGTTTGAATCCTTGAGTGAGTAGCGGTCATCAAAAAGAAAATATAACAAGGTCAAACGTTTTGTATCGAATGGTTCCAGCTATCCAACGACATGAAGCATACGAAATTTTTTTAAAAAAAGATCATAGGACAGTTCATTTCATGTTGTAAATACTAAAAAATTTAATTATAGCAGTTATTAAAACTCTCGCTCCATTGAATATCCACTTGTTTCCTGCTGAACTGATAAGAATTGTAACAACTAATTTGGATATACTCTTCATAGGGTATTAAGTTCTCTATGTTGTTTCAATTAATCAAAACGTTTACCTTGATGAAATGTTGAAATTTGTCTGATAAAAATTAAAGGTTTAAAACATTTTTTATTAGAAATGAAAATAAAACAACTTGCCATAGTCTGGATTAAAAATACGTTCAATGATCAGTTGAAAAAATTCTTTACTAAGTCCACCTTCATCGATTCCTTGTTCACCATCAAATTCGATGAGAAGTTGTTTTTTAAAATCACCCGGATTTTCCATACAAGCAATTTCCAACTTCAGTACAAATAAAAATATAATAAAACAAGAGTTAATCCTAAAAAATCCAAATTAACTGTAGAAATTGGTGAGACCATAAGTTATGGATGAACTTTGAGCGACTCTAAAGTGACCTTGAGAGTGCCCACCTACTAAGACCAAATGACAGATATAAACCAATGTGGAAAACTAGGATTATAATTTGCAGTTGATAGTTAGAGCCAGGAACTAGATTTAGAGTTTTCATCATGAACTGATATCAGCTAAAATACCAAAACGCTATTTAGTAAAAAGGATGAATGAATTTCGCACCAAAGTCCAAGACCTTCTATATTATATCTGATTGGTTCATCCATAAATTATAGTTTCGCTATATATATATATATATATATATATATATATATATATATATATATATATATATATATATATATATATATATATATATATATATACATGAGCGGACAATATTGTTCCCAATCAGATCGTGGTCAGGCTTTGCTTTAATAAACAGTAATATTTATGGGTATATATGACATTATTAAACCAATCAAGGCAGATTGCGAGGTCAGTGATAACAGTAGATTAGACAACATGAACGAACATGAAAAGTAAAATGTACAAATTGATTATGCGATGATAGGTGTACTAGTTGTGATGAGAATAGTACAGCCTTGAATTAATTTTTCATAAAAGGGAGTGGGTCAATGAATTAGAAAAAAAGACGCTGAAATAACTTATACTAAAATTTGTAAAACTACTTAATATGTATTCAGATGATTGGACGATGAATGAAACATACATTTGAAAAAGGAGGAGTAAAGGAAAGTAAATAAACAAAGTGTGTAGAAAATAATAATTAAAAACGTTTATTAAGGCTAATTACGTAAAGGAAGTGATAAAAGTTTTCCAAATTTCTTCTGAATACAAAGACTTGGATTATTAGCTCGAATTCATATAGCTTCTGCTAAGTGTGAGGGACATGATCGAACTCTATAAGGAAAAGTGGTTTACGATAAATTATTAAAATGATTTATTTCTGTCTACTAAATGGCCGCTATCCATCAAGTGTGACAGAACGGAGCTGCATATTATTTTGATTATATCCCCCAAATGCCCTGGTACGGCCGAGAGTGGGGATAGTCCGCTCTCCCTCTCCAAATGCTCTCACATGACCACGTGTATATAGCCTCTGCCAGGGAAGTCCTTTACACTGCCTTCTCGTGGCGGGGGTGTAGTTTACAAAAATGGGAGGACGAAAAGCGAATGTCCGGCGCTTTAACTGGATCACAAACCAATGGTGCACATGGGCTCCAGTATCCTGCGGGAACAAATGGCGTAGAACCGATTGTTGGTCACCGGCTTCCAGAGGACTGCATCTCCTTACGATGCTACATTGCCTTGTGGATCAGACCTTCAGGTCGAAGGCTCGGGGAGTGGCCCTCTAAGAAAACCACCTGTTTCGGTTTGGGCACTCGGGCAATATCAAAGCCCTCACACATATCGAATGAGATTTGTGTGGCGCATATGTATTTGGTGCCTCTTTGTACCATGATCTATGTGCTGAAATAAATAAATAAATATCCTAACATAACCACGAAGGAAGGTGTTCACTAACTCCTTCGTTCGCTTGTCTGTCAGTGCGCCCAATAATATAGCTTTCGCCACAAAAGCAGCTAAATTCGTAGATACACTTAGATGAAGCAGAATCAGGTAACTTATCCCTTATTCGAAGAACCATTATAAGTCAGCTAAAAAACAATAAACAGTTGGTGAAAACCTAACAGACTAAAGCGAATTCATGTAATTCTGCTCAATTCTTTATCTTTGCACTCCTCAAGATAATAAAGAGAACTAAGTGCATAAAATGAAAACATTAAAATCTCAGTGAAAGATATGGAACAAAACATTTTTATATGTGACTTCAGGATATATGCCAAAATTTCTTCAGAACTTTAATGGATAAACAATATTACTCCTAAATCATTGAATAGAATAATCATGCAGATAAATGAACAAAAGAAAACGTAAAAATTGCTTTAATGTATTATTTGATCACTCAAGTAACAATTCAGTAATTTTACTGTTTAGTAATGATTAAACTAATATTGAATTAAGCAACCTGAACAGTTTGAAATAAAAACTGAATAATCTATAAGCGTTTCAATACACAATTATGAAACCTAATATTGATGCGTTTATACAACGCTCTTGTGACTTTAAAGTTGAATTTCCCTGGTTTTTATTACTTAAAACTACTTGAGGAGATTGGACTAAAATAAAAAGAACAAGAATTTACCATTTTTCAGTATAATGGATTGATTCACTGAAGTCAGCTTATAATAAGAAATGAATCGGGAGGTAATAAAATTTGTATAAACTTCTCAATTGTTAAAGGTATAAAAAAGAATACCTAAAGTGAACAGTGAAATGTATAAACATACGAACACGAATTGTATGTAATTGATAGTAATTAATAATGACGTAACAAGTACAAGTTATAACTTACAATTAACAAAGCATCTTCAACGATTCTATCCCGATGAACACGCAGTTTAAAGAAAGGCATTTCAGGTGTATCCATGAGAAAAGTATGCATCAGAACACCTCGACGTTCATCTAGCATACGCATACGATTATCATAATACAATAGAACAGATTTCGAACTAGTTTGTAACAGAAATGGTAATTTCATAAAGCTTAGCTCATTTGATATACCTTTTGAACGATAATAAATGTAATCTTTTTTTGGCTAATTAAAAAAGAAAAAAACAGAACGATAAAACTAATTATTAATCACAATTAACAACTATTAATATATGATGCGAAGGTAGGTTATAGTCAAACAGTCTCTTAAAACATAACTTTATCATATATAAATACAGACAGAATCAGTGTGGCTACACAAATTATGTATTTTACAGATACTATTCTATTGACCATGTTGATAGGAATCATTGAATGACTAGTTGAATACGATCAATGAAAAATTCTGAGATTTAGTGTATTAAACTTTGTATACAGGTTAATGAACTCACAAACCCTATCTTATCAACTGTTATAATTAGGACATGATGCTATATATATGCATATCTCAACATAATGAGACGGCAAGTACAAGGACATATTGAGAAGACATTAATTGTTGAACTGAAGAAAATTGAAACGTGAAGCTTTTCTGGATATAGTTGTCACATTGAACCCGATCTATGGCTTCAAAACATGGTTGATATGGCTTGAAATCGATCATAGTTAACTAGATGTGCATTCTTTATCTTTGTCAAAATCTTTTGAATTCTGAAGTTATTCCACACCCTTCAACTTTACACTTCTCACTTATTCACTTTCAACTGCATTTTGTATATGTTTAGTTTTCATTACTATTAACATTAATGTTTTGCACTCTTTGTTTTTTGTCGTATTATTTTCATCTCAGTTCGTTGCTTTAAAATTTGCCGATCTCACCAGATCAATATCTTTCTCCAAGGTTCCAAGTAATTTAGGATTGACTTGTGACTTATTTTAATTGGGTAGATCATACGGAAAGAAAAAACAATACGTTGACTTTTTGAATCAACTGAACACGTTGACAAGCAGAGATATCATATTTACCGAAAACCTGGTGGGGATATGCGTTGGGTCAAGTTGCCGCATTTAATTAGCACGAGATGAAAATAGCAAAAGATAGGGACAATATAGTAGCAATGAGAAGAAGTCTAAACATTGGGGATATGGTTCGAAAAAAAGGGTGGATAAGTACGTATAAATGAATATCGGAGTTCAAAATAGAGAGGAAGATAAAGAATAAATGCATCGGGACCAGTGTGACCGATTCTAAGCTATGTCACCCAAAGTCTCCAACCATTGGTCTCAGGAGTCAGCACCTACCAACATATTTAGATCAACAGTCAATACCCTCACAGACTGATGCCATGTCTTGGTTTAGTCTCCCTCGATTTTTTCCAACCCACTCCTACACCAGTAAAAATCACCAGTTGAGGTGGGCGATGATTATATAACACATGTCCCAACCACCTCAACCGATAAAGATTCATTACATCAACAACGGATTCCCCACCTTTATCAAGTACCCTGTTCTTCGACCAGAACATAGCTCATTCTGTAGTTTTACGAAAAGCAAGAAATGTTTCGAAGACACTAACGACGAAAAACTTTTAGCCTAGACATACCTTTAACTTTCATACACCATGTTTCACAGCTATAAAATAATGCAAATAAGATTTCTAGCCAGTATACGCGCCCTTTTATTGGCAGATGGACAACTCGCCTACGCCACAAAATAATGTAATTTCACAGGACTTTTCAAATCCGTGCCGAGATTTTGTCGCAAAACATCTCATTAGGGATGAACAGACTTCCAAGATAAGTGACGTTGCCAACACATTCAACTATTTCGCTTCCCATCACTAGTTCAGGTGTTGAAGCAGACTAGTTCTGAGACGACAGTATGGATTTAGAAGCAGAGAAACGCATTCTAAACATGCTTGCAATCACAAGACTCAGCATCTTGTCAGTGTCTTCTTCAGAAAAAAGGACTTTTATCTGCACATACTTAGTCGATAAACGAACGTCCTAAAAAGTTAATGAATTGTTTCTAAAACGAGAGCCATAACGAAATTAAGTAAAAAAGGAGTCAGTGGGCGAACCTGAGGAATACTATTTGACGTTTACAGTCCTTCATAAGCTCTGATTAAACATTAACAAACAATATTAAATTATACTTTAAAACTATATATACCCGATAATGTTAGTAACAAAAATATCTACTAAAACAAACCTGTAGGCCATCATTGAGTGTTTCATTTACAAAATCTTTAACTGGAATAAATGGTGTACGACAATCATTAGGAGAAATATTCAGCGCTTTAGCAAATGGATCTTCAGGTAAACTAACACGAGAACGTCTTTCATAAGTCTAGAAATAAGACATTGAGTATTGTCGATGAGTTATTAAGCAAACAAAACACCACAATATGATAAATGAGGATGTAAACAGAATATTATGATGAATAAACGTATATGATTAGTTAATGATTAATAAAACGTTACTTCAGTATTAGATAGTTGGAAGTCGTCGACAGGAAAGCCTGAACCCAAATTTCATGTTAGTTAGCACTCGTCAGCGAGGGGGTTCCTGTAGTATTGAGAGAACTGATATTTCGTGTAGAATTTGAATTCGTATCACTCAGCTTCACAGCCTGAGATGCTACCACTGAGCTATTCGTGTCACGAATAACCTGCATTACTGAGATACTGCCAACTGATATATTATTGATTACTGACTAATGTCATGTTTGTCTAGTCCTTTAAGAGGTCAACGGTGTGAGATTGTTGATGAGAGATACCACAAAGCCCAGGTTCAGGGATTCATGTTGACTACTTCCAACAGCCCAACACATCGACACAGTACACATGATGTAGAGACACTTAGACTAGTGGCCAAACTGCAACTTGACCAGTGGAATTTGATCAGCACCTAAAGGACTAAACAAGCATGATATAGTGATTAACCAATAATACATATCCGTTTATTCAAAAAAGTGAAAAAGACATACCAAATAAGAAAAGTACAACTGGAGAAAAATCCTTTATCTCTATGACTTGAGCATCGATCAATGATCTGAGAAAATACAAGTCACTTCGGATAAAATTAACATTGAAAAAAACAAGTTTGCAGGAATAAATTCAAAAATCAAGAGAAAAATGTTCTAAAGACTTAGCAACAGAGGTTTATTTCTTTCTGCCCCCAAATGCCCTGGTACGGCTGAGAATGGGGAGTCAGCTCCCCCTCTCGAAATGCTCTCACACGGCCACGTACATACAACCACTGCCAGAGAAGTCCTAATCACTGGCTTATGGAGGCTGGGATGTTGTTTACGAAATTGAGAAGGAAAGCGAATGTCCGGCGCTCTAACCGGATTAGTGGACACAGAGAGTCCACCTGGGGGATTTGGAAAACCCTGATTCCAAATCAATAGTGCATATGGGATCCGGTATCCTGAAGGAGCAAATGGCGTATGAACCAACCATTGGTCACCGGCTACCATGGGACTGCATCTCTTTACGCTGCTCCACCGCCTTGTGGATCAGACGTTTAGGTCAGAGGCTCCGGGCGTGGCATCCGTGGCGTGGGCACCCGGGCAGTATCCCAGCCCTCATAGGAATCGAATGATTTGTGTGGCGCATATCTATTAGGTGCCTCCTTGTATCAATGTTCATGTGATTAAATAAATAATAATAAATAAAATAAATTTTGTGTTTTACAAATAATAAGTCAGATTAAACCATCTAAAAAGCTACCACAAGGTAATCTTACTTTCGTTTTGATCTGCAGATTAAATTTCATATGCTGAATAAATAAGTAATGTCCCAATTTACAATGTTTGATTACTTAGGAATTTCTATTTTCTTATTCTAAGAGTACAATCCATATTTCTGGAACAACCTTAACTGTCCTCTCCAAATGGCTGCTCACTCTTTCAATGTGCTAAACGTTATGGTATATTTTGCAAAATGGATTGATAGACTATCTGTAAAAACCAGTTGTAACATAATTCTGCACTTTAGAGAAACATAAAAAGCTCTCCCGTAAAAGTTCAATCTTCCCATTTGCTGATTGTATGCATTACGTAAACTACAGCTAAATTGTTGTTATACATCGTTATTATATACTACGCTTCCATCGTTTGTAGATTGTGTCCACTTCCTACCTCAATAATTTCTGATTACTGCAAACGTTTACCAAGATGGAAAATAAATGTATTAGGAAAAGGTTATTCTGGATTTTTTTACGTTTTAAAAAATCTAATTGTTAGGTAAAAAAAAATCAACCGACTAAACTCCAATCATTTGTAATTGTTGAACAGGGAGGATCCGATGCAGACGTAAAGGGAAGAATTGGCAAAGTAAGGGAAGCATTCCTACAGTTGAAGAACATACGGAACTCAGAACAACTGTCAACCACTATTGAAGTCAGAATCTTCAATATGAACGTCAAGACGACCCTACTCTACGGAGCTGAAACTTCGAGAAATACTACAACCATCATAAAGAATACAGGTATTTATAAACAATTTTCTGAGCAAGATGCTCAACGTGCGTTGGGCAAATACCATCAGTGACAGCCTACTGTGGAAGAGAATAAACCAGCTTCCGGATGAAGAGGAAATTAGGAAAAGACGCTGGAAGTGGATAGGAAACACATTGTGGAAATTTTGAAACTGATTCACAAAGCAATCGCTAACTTGGAGTCCTGAAGGGAAAAGGAAATGAGGAAGGCTAAAGAACACACTGCGTCGGGAATTAGAAGCAAACACCAAAAGGATGAATAGCAACTGAAAAGCATTGCCCAGGATAGAGTTCGATGGAGAATGCTGGTAGGTAACCTATGCTCTTCCACGAGAGGTAAAAAGCGTAGGTAAGTACACAAGTGTCCACAAACAACGTTTTTGAAAGGGGATCAAGTATGATGGCTACATATACCTTATCATCTGTATTTCTATGTGATGGTGATGCCCGGAGAGCAATATCAAGTTTAGATGTAAACATTTTATTTGGGGAGAAAAATCGACCAAGAGTATAGTGAATCTGGATGAACAATCATGTCTTGTACTGTACGTACAATTTTAAATAAATTAGACCGTGATTTTGATACAACTATTTGTTTCGTTCTGAATGGATTTCAGTTATTTTCTGGATTAGCACTTCCAGTATTTTTTTTTCCTACAAATGAATGATAGCCTACTACTACACCATAATTCTTATATTAATTTTGACAACTGTTTTAAAGTACGGATCTGAAAAAAATAGATTAAAGTGCTAAGTTTTACCCTATCCCCGTTATATAATCTATGTATTATGCAGGGTGATATTGATCTCATTTATGAGTATACTGTAATTTACAAATGCACTGTGAATTAGCACTTCTTTATTCACCAAATTGTTACCGTTTAGATGAAGTGAAAAAAGAGAAGAAATATGTTCTCTGAACAGTTACATTTACAAAATTAATACTCCAACAATAACTCTACAGTTGATCAGCCAATATATTAATCAGAGTATATGCAAATGCTAAAATAAGACAACACATTTTCCTAATTCAGAAATATATATATATTATAATACTACATTTAACAACAGTAACGGTAACGGTTGAACAACGACTTACAGGTCCAATATGAGCACGCATTTGTTGTTCAAATAATCTATTCTCTTCAGCTTCCATTTCTAATAATTCAGGCGAATCCATTTGACCAGCCAATAGACTAGCATAGTAAACAATACGTAATACAAGTGCGGCTTCACAAATCTGTTTATCTTCATTTGGTAAACCATGATCTGTAGTTAAACAACGTAAAGTAATATGATGTAATAGAATTTTTTGTAGACACCATAAATTAGTTTGTTCTGGATTTGGTGGTTCTGTACAATTAGCTAGTGGTGTGTGTACAGAATTAGCCCATGCTCGACATAACATGACTTGTATTGTGTTTGGAAGCCAAGTTACAGCACGATTAATATTTAACAATAAAAGCTATAATTGAAGATGATAAAAACGTAAATGAACAAATCAAAGACAAGAAAAGAATCCAAACAAAATATAAGTGTTATAAGTGCCGTACATCTAAACATAAGTAATTCCAAACAATTGATATTAATGTCAAAAACAATCTGTCATCAGATCAACATGACACTGTTATTTCACATGCTGAAATATGGATTCGTCGTTAGTTTAATTAAAATAATTCAAATTATACGAAATTTGATTGATGACTCTCACAGATTGAGATCATATTTCCCGCCGCTCGAAACTTTATTAGTCTAGTTTAACTAAAAAGAGTGTAATGTTTATGAGTCTAACTGATTGTTTAAATCGTCTGGTGCTGTTGTGATTTTGCGTTAATAAGATCTACTAAAGGCGATAGAACAATGTATAAAACTATCAGAAATAAATAAACAAAAAGTATACTGTATGTAGCGAATAATTGACGAATGTATGCTCAAATATATCATAAGATGTTCTTTACCGTATACATCAAATTGATTTATTATTAACCTGTGCAAATAGAAGACATTCAGTAGCCAACTATAATAAAACTAATACAACCTTTGAATTTCACATAACATCAAAGATAACAAGAACTGGAGTACCACAGAAAAGAAAACGATTGACTAAAAAAGTAGAAAATTGAATACGACAAGATAAATAACAAAATCCATGATTGACGAAATTAATTGAAGATACATGTACAAAAAATGCTGTCACTATAGGAGAAAATTTTGTTTATACTAAAATCGATCTATTTTTAGGAAAATCCATATACATATATGTATTCACATAAAAAGTATTGAGAAAAAAAAAAGTTATCTACGGTAGTAAATGTTTATGGGCATAACTTACGTATGGTATACAATAGGACATGAAAGACTTTATGATAGAATAAACATCATTCAACAGAAAAATCAAGTAACTTTATTTTTTTTTAATCTCAAGAAAGGAAAAGCAATTTAGTTGGTTAATTGTCAAAAGTCTGGAATGTTAACAGAAAATTAGTAAGTAAAATTTCTTTCTAACCAGAAATATCACTTTTCTCATTTACCTTTTATAAACAAACTTTTTACTTTAAATAAATTGGAATCTATAGATTTTCCGCGCTTATATACTTTATAAATGTTCTTAATATCATTTCATCTAATAGACTTCGTTGATATTTTTTCAGAACACTATTCATCGTTTTTATTTAAAGGTAAAAAAACTTTATGAGTACATAACACTCAGACATCTTTCTTTTTCATACTTTATGTTAGTAGACTCTAGAATCAGAAGGTAATAAACCCATGAACTTTGTACAGTTAATATGGAGTTTATTTCACAGTTCACTAAACAATATTCATCAGTTAAACGATACAGAAATGAAATCAAATATTCAGCATATAAAACGTAATTAATGAAGTTGAACAGTAATGGGCAAAATGGAACGACAATCATGATTGTCTTATCTTATGATGACTGACTAAAATATTTACCTTAAAACATTTTATCAGAAAATAAGGTTTTTCACTGTTAAACTTCATTAATTATTGGGTCGGCTCCCAGAAGCCGAGATGAGGCCTCCAGAGGCTCTAAAAGAGCAGAAAGGATTCCATCTAATCATAATCCGATAGAACTTTCTGAAATATCAAAGTGGCATGTTATGATTGAACATCAGTATAAACTTCCTACTTGTGGATTGGCTGTCTTATAATGATACTCTAACCAGTGCCAAAAAGTATAAATACATCCATTTTCAGTACATTCTTGACACTTCCATAAACACCTCTGTTCTTTTCTGTCTTTTCGAATGGCGACTGTGGGTTCTACGAGTTCGAATACCAAAGTTGTGTACCGTATTAGTCGTAATCAAGTAGAATACTTAACATAAATATATGACTAAAACTTTATAGTAAACTGCTTCACTGTTGATTGTTAACAACTTGAGAAGGCGTTCACTACGAGGCTCCAGATTAGGTCGTAGGTAGGCCTCGTTGAGGTATCTTGCACTATCATGAATAGTTGTTCAGTGCTCTCTAGTTTTTTTTTCAGTTTTTACAGTTGAAATTAGTTTACAATATCAACTACAAACTGACCAACATTCAAAAATCTTCTTTTACTTATAATGAACAATACTGTTTAATAACATGCTTCTGTCAGTTTTGTTTAGTTCACATTCAAAAGGTGCATGAGAGAAAAATATATCATTTCATAACAAAAATAATAATGATCTTTTTGTCAAGAAAATACTTTACACCTTTAACACTAGTTGGTTAGTTTGTATTTATGATTTTGAATAGAAGTGCGAAGACCAGGTTTTTAATGGAATTGAATAAACTAAAAAGCAGGAAATTTCAGTAATAATAATAGTAATAATAATAATAATTCGGTTATTCGACTGATTACATTGATTCGCTTCGAAAACCAATAGTGAACGTTTATTGAAATTCCTGATTAACAGAATATGATGTATTAAAAAACTTTATGATGTTGCATTCCAAAGTTTGAAAACGATGTCTACCTACATTCAACTAATGATAAATGATCTTTTGTTGTTATCCGTGTGTGATGTTTGTTCATTCCTACTAAACGCGACAGTAGTGATACTTTTAGTGCTGTTACGTGTTTTCCAGGTGAATGATTCAGTTATGAAACCCTTGAATAATAACGAAAATAAATGTGGATTAATGAAAGTGCAGTAGAGTAAAAATGGTACGGAGATGAAATAAATACGAAGTACAAAGAAATTGAAAACTATAAACCTGTATTTAATAATAATGTTTGAAACTAATGAGTACAAACAGTTATTGAAGGTGTTTAAAAAGACCATTTTTAAATTCTTATTCAAATTATGAAAGGAAAATAAAATATTATGATAACTTAGTTGAAACAGTAATCTTTGTCTTTAAACAGTTCCCATAGCTGGGGTTACTCAATGAGATACTGAATATTTAACAATTTAGCCGATCACAAGGTTCGAACAACTAAATGAAAACATTTGTCATGAAAAACTATACATGACGCCATCATGTCTGCTGCACATACAAACCCATAAATAGTCGTTGAGTTGCATTACTATTAACAATAACAGACCCACTGAAAAGCACCTTCCATTTCGGTTGATCAAGACAATAAAACTATGACTTACAGAAACAACAAATCAGTGATAGACTGTAATACAACAAATCTGAAAACATGATCAACTTTAAAAATGACCTTAGGTTAACTCAAATTAATAGACATAAATTGGTTAAAATGATGTTAGTAATCTGGTTTGAACTGTTTAATTAGATATTAAATAAATGTCATTAAAAAATGTTTGTGATGACGATAAATAATACACAACACAAAACCATATTTCTATATATCAATCAGAAAAAGAATAAGCTCAAATTGATGTTGAGAATTTTATGTCGTGATAAAGATAAATTATTGTAAGAGAAAAAAAAAACATCAACAAGAATAAAACCAATAAAATTATCACTAAAGAAAATGAAGTTTTTAATCTGCGAAATCATCCAGGCATAATCTCGAAAATATAATCACCTGATCTTATAACACGTGAATAAGTCTCTTGGATTTGATTAAATACACTAGTTATTATCAAAAGTTCTTTACTCCTTAAAACCGTTACAATATTATCATTCAGGTTATTGGATTAAAATTTAAAACTTAATGGAAACCAAATGTTACCAACATATTAATCAAACAATATAACTGAAATTTCTAATAATTCCAGTATGTATGTGATGTATGCTACTTATGTTGACAGATATGAATAGTATGTAGTACCAATCGGGAGTGGAATGCATGCCTACAGAAGATTGGGAAGATTCAATTGAAGAAAAGAGAAAGTAATTGTAATGACAACGGAACTGAAGGAATCATGAAGCATGTAAGAGAGATGTGCAAATTATGTATGTGATGTGAAGTTTTCCTCATCGAAGTGGTAGTTTACTATATATATATATATATATATATATATATATATATATATATATATATATATATATATATATATATATATATATATATATATATAATGTACTTGATTTTTTCGATTGAATAACTTGTAACGTGAAGTTAGCACAATCATAATTCCATAAGTAATTCAGTAGTAATCATTACGATAGCGAAATTTCTGGTTTTACGACAATAAAAAGAGACTTTAGAAATAGAATGATGTCCAAAAACAACTATACCTTATGATGGACGAAGTTAAAAAATAAAAGAGGAACTGTATTATAACAACTTTATAGAATAGTTTACCAACCTCAAAATGTAAAGGATCTGTTGCAATGGACATTCATAAAGAATAATAAAAAGATTCACTAAACGTTGTTGAATAATAGCTATTTCAGTAGTTGGTTGATTATCGTCTAATCCATCAGGTGGTTGAATAACTAAAAGTTGATGTAAACTTATCACAACCAAACGACGAACAGCTCTCATTAGTGTATCTACAATATTTTGACGTTCAGGTATAGATACAATCATAGACCAAGCTTTACGTAAATCATTAAGATTAACAGATGGCCAATATACATTGTTTTCTGATTTTTCAATAATTTCAATAGAGTTCAAGTGTTCACTTGTTGATCATTCATTTCTACATCTGAAAATAAACATTTATAAATATGTTATGGTAAAATTTAGTGAAGTTCTTTGATGAATGAATATATTCATAATCTCTATAAATGTTATTTTCAATATTACAAAATAACCTACTATTATTAGTTTGACACATGTTTCCAATAAGCAACTTACAAATACACTTCATGTAAATCCTTTTATAAACCCAAAATATTTTACTAGCTGAGAATTCGATTGTAAGGGAGAAGAGCAAAAAGCTTTTTCAGCACACGATTTTATCAAACATCTACCTGTAACAAGATTCAGTACACACCTACTTCGGTTTGGTTAACCGGGTACCATCCTTAGCTCTTACCCTTAGTGTGTGGCTTAAACCCAAGTATCTGGTAGATGAATTAATTAATTTTTTTAAATCCCCTTAAACATCCTGATATGGTTTAACTTCAGATGAATACATGATACTACTTTACATATCCTAACTCCCTTCAACTAAAAACTGCACTTCTGAAACATCGGGTGCATGGAAATAAACGCTACAAACAGTTTACAGAAGTCATAGTACGTTCCCGTAAGTAACTTAACATCTTAGAAGTATACCTACCAAAATGTTCAATACAGATATGATTTATATCACTGATATTTCAAGTACTTTTTACATACATAGTTGAAAGGTCCGTAACATAATGAAAGTCATTCTCGACCAAGAATGAATTTCAAAGTTGATTGACAGAGCAAAATAACTATCAAGTTACCAACACCATCCATTTACTTGGTAAACTACATTATGTAAAATGTGAGGAAGAACTACAGTCAAGCTTAACTCCAAACGTATTTTTTAGAGGTCAGAACAACTACACCAATTGAGATCAACCAGAGGAAAAATACAAAAGCCATGTAGACATCAGGAAAAAGCCTAGAATTTCGAGTTTTTATTGACAATATATTAAAATCAATATAGTCACTTATAACCCGAAAAATAAGTACACATTTTGCAGAATGGTGGAGGAGAAATATTTCGACTTTTGTGAAGATTGATTATAATCCGGTGACTGAATGACTAAAAAGAAAGTCAGCCAACTCATCATGAAAAAATTCTCATGTATTTTATAAAATCAGAGCAAAGTGATAGCAACCTGTATTTTATTTAGAACTAGTACTAGAGTCTATTCTAAAACGTTTTAGAGTTTTTTATAGACTCAACTGCCGCACCAAGTTCATAAAATATACCTAAAATGAGGTTGAACCGCCCCTGATAAATAACATGCACACATCTCTGTCCTAGCTGCATACAGTGACCACTAGGTTTCATAATACCGAGCAAGAAGTATTAACAACATAGAAATCTCTACCAATAAGAATAAACCGAAACTGTCTAATGTGCCTGAAAACTGACTTATCTACCTTTCAGTCAGCTACAATGTAGGACCAGGCACATATAAGCATCGGTCCAAGTTGCCACAGCTCATTAAAACAACAAGATGAACACCGAATTCATAGGAGTGGTTAAGTCAGTGGTGGTAGTATATAAAAGAAAGAATGCATATAAGGATATAGTACAGGAAGAAAGAATTAGTTCGTAGAAAGAAAGATATGAAGTGATTTTAATCTCTTGGTTTAAGGGAAGACAGGGAGCATATACACCTACTCTACTGTGATCGATTCTGAGCCATGTCACAAAGAGTCTCCAACCATTGGTTACGATAGTCACGCGGACCCCAACCAAGTAGTCTGCATCTACCAACATGACTCAAACTAGAAGTTAGTGACTTCAAGCACTGATGCCGCGTTTTGGTTTGGTCACCCCTAACTTTCTTCCAACCATCCCCAACACCGGTTAGCATTGCACGTCGTGGTAATCGGTGTTCAGGCACACATAACACGTGGATCAACCATCTCAGTCGATGAAGATTCCCAACCTCATCAACTGATTTATCACCATTCCCTAATACTCTGCGTCTAGCCTTACTATTACTTACCTGGTGATCCCATCAGATGCCAGCAATATTTCTAGGGCATCTGTGGTCAAATTCTAGTAGCTTACGAGTATCTTCTACTCTTAATGACCATGTTTCGCTGCCGCAAATTAAAACAGAACGGACTGCCGCGCAGTATACTCGTCCTTTTATTGATAGACGGATATCTCGCCTTCGCCATAGGTGACGTAAATTGGTAAAAGCTAAGCGAGCTTTTCGAATCCTTGCTGAGATTTCGTCAGACACCAACCCATTAGGGCTGATCAGACTTCCAAGATAAGTGAAGTTGTCAACGCGTTCGACTACTTCACTCCCTATCCTTAGTTCAGGTGTTGACGCAGACCAATCCTGAAGCAGCAGCTTGTATTTAGAGGGAGAGAAGCGCATCCCAAACATTCTGGCATTGTTGCTTAGTGCTACCAAAAGACTCTGAATTTTATCAGCATCTTCACCAAACAGGACTATGTCATCTATGTATCCTAATTTGATAAGTGGTACTGCTGGAGGGAGGTCAATTTCTGGGAACTCAGTCGACAAGAATGTTATTTCCATCAGTATTTCTTTTATGAACTCAGACAAAAATGGAGAAAGTGGACAGCCTTGACGGACACCACTTGAGGTTGCAAAAGCAAATGACAGTTCGCCATAAGCTCTGACTCGACTAGTAGTGTCTGAGTAAAGAGCCCTCATAAGGTTTATGTACTTCTGAGGTACGCCTTTTAATAATAGACAGTGCCACAGAATCTCGCGGTCTACCAAGTTAAATGCTGCTTATAAGTCAAGAAAGACCACCATTGTCGGACGCCGATAAGCATGCCTATTTTCTAGAACCTGACGAATGGTGAATATGTGGTCGATGCGGCCACGGCCAGGTCTGAAGCCAGCTTGATTCTCTCGTGTTTGCAATCTACCTTTACCAACTATAAGCAAAACTTAAATGTGAATGAAAATATTTCTTCGGAATTAAGATGAGCCGAGGTAAATAAGTTATTACCAAAACTGATTGGAGAACTTGAGGAAGATTTCTACTGATTGCTCTAGTCATCTAAGTTAAATAAACGTCATAAGCACTTAATTTATGGTCACACACAAACACGTCTAACAAACTAGAGCCAGAATAAGTTTAACATTTGGAAACTGTTGCTAAAGAAGCTGTCAATAACTCTAGCAGTAAAACCATCTTTCAGAAACGTTTAGTAATTCAGAAATAATCCTAAAACAGAATATTGATAGTCAAGAGATTAATAAACTTAAGGAAGATTAAAGACTGTAATATGTGATAAAAACCAGTTTCGTATCAGTTTTATAAACTATGTATGATTAATGGCTTGCATAGCGAAATTTCTTATTGTTAATGGATCGCACTCAGCAAACATGTAACCAATTAGAAGTTTGTACACTAGACTTTGAGCTAAACGAACTCAACAACTATAAAAGTCGAAATGAAATTCCCCAAACCTTATTAAAAGTAAGTTTGAGACCTATGACTCAATAGTCGAAGGATGAGCCCTTGAATTACTGGACGAGAGTTCCGATACAAAAGGAAAGAGTAAAACCTGAGTTGGATTTTTATTTCATCGGATCGTCAGTGATCTACCTACAAAACCCGTAACTTCCAGTCGGCTACGTTACAATTAACTTTCGATTGTTTATTTTGTGTTCAATATTTTGTAAGTCAGTCAGTCAGTCAGTAACAACTTAGAACTTCGTACGTACGTACATCAGTTCGAGTTGCCACACCACATTAGCACAGATGCAGTGGTCGACACAAATTCCGTAGTGGTAGAGGTAATAAGAGTATAAGCAGTAATCGGAAACATTGAGGTTTGGAGATGTTATTTAAAGAGTATAATACAGTGAAATAAATTTGGGGAGAGAAAAAAAGAGACAAGGAGGAATAAGGAGATGAAAATTTCGGAGAACACATAGAGTGTATGCACCTGCGCCGTTGCAAACGATTTTGAGCCATGTCATTCAGGGTCTTTAACCATCGGTTGCTATCATCTCGCGGTCCCCAACCAGGTAGTCAATATTTTGTAAACAAATGTACTACGAAAAGACCGCTAACCAGTTGTGCTATTTTAGATATTTTAAAGAGAGCAAGAACAAAGGTCAGTGCAGAATAATATTAATTCATTTTATTTCGTTAGGTTCTCATCAGCTGCTTACAACCTAAAATATTTGAAATTCAAAGTTATTATAGATATTGATATACTTATACAGCAGAGGGCGATGAAGGATGAATATATGTAACATGATGTAGCAAAAATTTCGTTAGAGTTAATGAGGTCATAAAATTTTTGTCTCGAGTATATAGAGTTTGGGAGGGAAGGTTCCAGAAAATTGAATTGGTGATTAGAAATCATGGAATTAAAACACATAATATTGAATAAAGCTAATAATAATAATTATTATTATTATGTAATGGAACAACTGAAAATAGATTAATGTTAATAAAGAGGGATATGAATTGAAATTGGTCAGTTATGAATGATGTAATTATAAAATTCAGAAAGAGTTGGAATGACGTAATAAATAAGTATAAAAAAGGGGGTAATGTTACCAGAGCAAAGAAAGATTTATTACTGTTTCTTTTTGTACACAAAGATCTGGTTTTAAACGTTTGATTGCTAGTGCTTCGGCAAATTTCAAAAGGTTTGAATTTGATTGTTTGTTGATCATCTTGAAGGACTTCAATATATCAACTTCGTGTCCTGTGTCAAGATGACTTGCGATAGCGCCGCTGAATGCTTTTAGTCTGTTTGATCTAAAACCCTTCGGAATATGTTCTTTGAATCGGACGTAGGCTCTCCCTTCTGTTCTACCAATGTAACTGCTTTGACAGATACATGTAAATTTGTATACACAGTTGGTGGTAACACGAAAGGGATACCTGTCGACCTTTGATTGTGTCAAAGAACATGTCGTTTTGGACAGGACAATCAATTTAGCTGCAGGATATGTTTTTGTCAATGCAGTTTTTAGCCTCATATTGATTTTTGATATCCTTTTTTGTGGGACTCCATGGTGTTTTTATGAACTAATGATTGTTTGGTACTTGCTTCCTGGTTGATTCCGATTTCTAAATACAATACGTTCGTTTGTGCTCACCTAGTTCTATTTGGCTTAAATTGCACTGTTTGGGGAATTCCTAGTTAATACAATAATTCGAATACTTCTAATTATCATAGACTCACGTCAACAATCTAATTTTTTGAGCATAAATCCGAAAATCCTCTTTCATAACAAATGTACTTGAACCATAAAACTTTTAAGACCTAACAATCGTTTAAGTTGCATTTATATACTTGAGTCAACTCACTGGTGTTTGCATAAAATATAAACAAAATAAATTTTTTAGTTATAATTTGCAAGACATAACATTACAAGTATACTACCTATTTTAAAGATACTTTATGTAGATGAATGGGAATTTGATAATAAAAACATTACTTACCATTTTGATAAACAGGAAAATCTGTTGAGATACTAGTCATACCTTCGACCCAAGAAGATTCTATTATGTTGTCAACCGAGCCATCAGAATTATTTACAGTTGGCGGAATAACTTCATTGTAATCTTTTAGAGTTTTGGCACTGGTGCAACACAGTGATGAGTCTGAGACGTCTGTAGCTTTTTTATCCTTTATGGATTGCTTCCCTGATTTAACCCCACATAATTCATGTAAGAAGCTACTTGATAATGCATCATACGAACTGAAAACTGAATTTAATAAACTTATAAGACAGGACCACTCTCCATTTTTCCTCCCCATTTCAATAGCTTTCTGTAATTCAGTTAACGACAAACCAGTTTTACGGGATTCACGTTCGACAGATGTATTCAGTGATGGAGTTGTATGGTTATTTTGGCTTGTTGGTCCTTTGAGGGCTTTCAAAGTATCAGAGCTCGAACTAGATGGCCTAGATGTTCCTGTAACACAAATACAAGACATCGTCAATTAAATTGGCTAAAAAATGATGACCTCGCAAAACAGACGCTTAATTACCAGATTTTACAAATCTCAAGAATGCGGTGTAAGAGAATAACAAATACATGACCAAAAGCTGGAAAGTTCCAAAAACATACCAAACAGAGGATTGCGACTACGAAAAGCGGAAGTCAGAGAGTTATCATGGTCCGCCGAGTAGTCCTCTGCAATAATTCCAGAAGCTGGCTCGCTTAGCTGGGAAGAACTGATTTCGTCATTTTCCGAAGCATCAAACAGAAACATGATTAACCGAGTAACTTCAGCGGGCGTCATCAGAGAATGAAATGAATCTTCATCAGGACCTGATGTTATGGTATCCGAATTAGCAACAAGCTGTTGTGATGAAGGAATAGAAGTCGTTTGAAGACTTGAAGGCTCTTGAGGATGGTAACTAGACACCTAAAGAAAGAGAAACTAGGCAAAAAGTATATTACTTCGTTGATTCCGTTCGACGTCTCACCACCGTTGTCATCACTGTTAATTTCAGGTTCCACAGAACGTGAAGTTGATGGATTGTTCATTCCAGATGATAAGATTGCATTAGTAGATAAACAGAGATCAGCACGACTGACCGTTAATTCGATTGCTAGAGCAGCCGCTTGATTTGGTGTAATACCCGAATGCGCAAAATTGACTGAAGATGCACAGTTTCTATTTTGACAATCTACATTACGACAACCATGGATAAGCTGGTTAAAGTATAGTGTAATAAGGTGTTTGGCTTGGGATTCAGGGATACTCCTAAGAATAGAAATATTTAGATACTAATTTTAAACGGCGAAAATTGATAAAAATCGATAGTAAGTGGGTAAGTATGTGATTATAACAGCAACAAGGTATTTGAAGGTTAGTGAAAATTCGTAACATTGAAGAACCCTGAAACAAATAACTTGCATTTTAGTCCGTAAATGAATTATATGAAAGTTAATATTAAAGAAACTTATTCACGATAAGATCCACTCTTAATAACGATGAGGTATTAAAACACGAGACAATACTTGGTACAAACTTCCATACTCTAATCCTCAAATCAAATTAAATTGCTTTTATTCCAAGTTTTTTAAGTTCAATAACGGAATATTTTTTTTAAAGAGAACAATACGTCAAGATTTTCAGCGGAGAGATTGTGTCATATTCCTTAGTTGTATGTACATCCCAAATACATCATTGTATGGTAGTACGAGATACTAAAGAAAGTAAATTAGCACGACAAACAATGTACAGTGTGGTCATTACCTATCTTTTAATATCAATTATCATTATTATTTGCTTAAGCACAAATATTGGTATAAAGGGGAACCCGAACAAGTACTCGCCACATAATAAGAAAATGAGACTGCGAAGAGATCAAAGATGAGCGAAGTGTGCCGCAACAAATGAACAAAGATAAATTGGAAATAAAAAAATAATAATGGGTTTCCGATTGAGAGGAATACAGCCAGGAAGAACTCTTTTAATTTAAGAAATTTCATCCATTCCTATGGATAAAATAAAGGAAAGCTACAGCAGTACCACCACTGGCTTCTGTTCTGGGTCGTATCTGATACAGTTTCCAGTCACTGTGTTGCACCATCCCTGCAACTGGGACCAGAGAGTTGTGCAGGACAGGCATGCCAGTTCTGTACAGCTTTCTTCCATAACCGGGCACTACGTCACAAACTGACCACCTCTCCGCTTTTCCCTAAGTCCCACCGTCGGCAAATAATACACAAGATGCTATTTGCTGAGACGACGTTCGCAGCACATCTTCGAGCAACTGAAGCCGGTGTTTTGAAATGGTGACACCAACTGAATTGTCGTCAATATATGAAAATACGTTTTCAAACCTCAGAATTACTAACAAGATGTTGATACTAAGCATTCACAATTCCTTGACGACAACAGTGACTGAACGCAGTCACTTAACATATTAAAATCGGAGAAGCTACGTTTTACAAGCATAGTACGAAAATTTCATTATCGCGTTGTAAAGACCATAACAGTAAAACTAACATCTCGACAGCGCCATAGATGATCAGTTAGATATAAGCCACTCCAGCTTTACCTATGTTTAGATCGGTCATATCAATTACGCCTCCACAACCACTAACACGGCTACCCATATACACGAACTCAACTACTTCTAAAGACTCACTACCAAGAGTGAGTGCAGGCACAGGCTTCATCCGGTCTTGCATAACCACTTTATGTCTAGATGTAAAGCACATATCATACGTACGGACGATAATTAGCAACTGGTTAAGTAAGGATTACATGGCTTAAGTATCATTACAGTAAGACAATATCACCCGCATAATCAGGGTCGAAAAGTTTCTCCCCAGGTAACAAAGCCACACTACCATTACTTCCATCCCTCGAATAGCAAGTGCAAATTAGGTTAAACGAAAAACAGTTAGGGTGACTATTCAGAGAAATATCTAGTCTAAAAGTAAGGATATAGGATTAGGAATCCAAGTACAGGTTTTCATCACAAACTGACAACAGCTGTAATGCCAAAATGTTTTTCAACCATAAGTAAGGACAAAGTTCTCACCGAAATCGAAAAATTGCAGCCCTTAATTTTATTGATCCGTACACAAATTATAGTCTAGACTATAATTCGGCGGACTCGCCGAAACAATTCATGAATCAATTCATGACAAATAATATTTACACGGAAAACCTCGAAAAAAAACTGAATTGACTATCGATGGACAATTTGATAGTCCAACAAACTCCAAAGACATAAATTTAGAAGAGAACCAAACGAACAAGACCTTAATGACAAAAAGGAACGAACACACGCAAACGAGATAACTTTAAGCTTCTTTTTGCTGATCTGGCATAGTTTTATCGGAACCGAACAAACTACAAATATTTAGAATTGGTTAAAGTTGATTGTCCGCAAAAGTTGTGCTAAAAACAACCACTCTAGCAGAAAATGACAGTGTCACTATTACATTAAAGTAACGTTCAAATTCAAAAGCCTCGCTTGAGGTATAAGCGAAAAAATTTATGCCGTTGCTAACTACCAATGATCTCAGTACTTTCTGAGTGTGACACAATTCAACTTCATTTCCGAAACCACGTATCGTTACAATATGAATTTTCTGAATATATAATTCAAAATACAGACGCGCGTGAAACAAATCTCTTCTCATCTAATGTGTCTAAAAATGAAAAGGTTTTGTGTATTTATTAAAGCCATGTTTTCCGCTTACAGTAACATGTAAATCTCAGCTCTTTGTGCTCAGTTTCTATCACCTTTAGAGTGTTTCAAAAACACTTATTCTGGAGATCAGTTTTCCGTTAGTTTATTTTCTTTGAGCTTTAAGACGTTTTCTTGATATTGTTCTCTCTGTGAGATCACGAACAATTTTAGTGGCGCAGGTCAACTTTGTTGTGTAAACTTGCATGCTTTTTTCAGTCGGCAATGGAATACAGCGTAACAACTCCTACAAGTGTTATCACAACGTGTACTACGACTCACACTGGCTGCATGTAAAAGGTGCTGTAGGTCACTAGCACGTTGGTCGTGTGGAGCATTCTGTTCTGCAAAATCGTTATTGAGTCTTGAGGCTACTGTGCTACTGGAAAGAAGCCCTCGATTCTCAAGGAAGCAGCGAGCGTTATCGTGGTTTTCAGCTTTGTATTTTAGTGAGACAATCAAGGTGCGCCCCAATAACTTAGCAGACAACAAACACCTAAATGTAAGCATCGTTGCGAGAGAAAGAAAAAGCACGCTCAGCAGAAATAAATTATCAAAAAAGTCGACAGTTCCAGCTCAGGATTCACACATCAGTGCATAACAGAATATGGAGGAGCAAAGCCTTGGCGGTGTGGATGACGCAACCATTAGACATATTAAGATCAATGGTTGGCTCATGGTCACACCCAGAAAAGAAAGGAAACAGACTGAAACCCAAGCCTGCGAACTTCAGGGCTCCGAAGATTTCAGGAAACAAACTTCACAACTTCTTCTGAAGAGGAAACAAGGGCAGGATTTGGATTCGACCTCAGCCACATTAAGTCCTTAATAAGGAAGCTACTTCCAGAAACATTAGCAGGGTTGTCATCTGTAGTCACTATAGATTAGGGCAAAATGTGTATTCTGAAAGTACGCAGAAAAGCCGCCTCTGAAAAGTTACAGTTGCTTTTGCTAAAGAAGGAACGTACTGGTAAAGAATTCACGCAAATCCATTCGTTTCGGAATAAATTTCCGTAAAGATCTTTGCCTGTTTGATCATACGAATAGACGATCGCCAGAAATAGAAGTAAATGAGCGCCGTCAGAATGGTGAACAAAACTTATAGCAAACGGTTTTTACACTGTGAAAGTTCAAAGCAAAACGATTCTTAAACTACTCTGAAATGCAAGATGTTGAATTAGTTGTATACCACACTTCAGAATATGTAGTGGATGACTCGATAACACAAGAGTAAAAGCCTCATAGTACGTGACTTTAATACACTTTCTGTAAGGTGGGATAACGTAGCAATAGGGTCATCAACAACATTTGATTCCAAATAATTGGAAACCACATTCCCCTTAGATTTATTCCAGTAAATTGAAGATCCCACCAGATCTGACCTACAACACTCTTCGTCTCGTGGACCTACTTCTCACATACTGTGATATCAGTCAAATAACCTTCCTTTCACCCCTAAGGAGATGTGATCATTCGGTCATCCTATTCACGTTTATGGCTGAGTCAAACAGTTGCTTCTGCCCATCCTAACACATCAGAGGCAGAACTGAAAGCGGTCAGTTCTGCAGCCTTGATCGAAGACTGGACGATGAACCTATATCCGGCAGTTACACAATCACGTAACACAATCATTCATACCCTGGACAGTACCAAGGAAGAAGAAGCACGGCCAATCCTCGAAAGACGGCGATATCCGACGTTTACTAAGACAAAAGAAGGAATTTTGGAATACCATCAGCCTTTGCACCACAAATAAGATGGAATGCTACTGATCGGTACGAAATAAGTACATAATTACAACCCGTAGAGCTTAGAGAAAATATGAAAAGCGGTTGGCTCAATATGCACTCAAACAACCTAAGAGACTATTCTCGTAAATAAATTACACAACAAGAATCCAGCAGTGGATTCCCAACAGCATTACTGATGAAACGAAATCTCAGATGACAGCGGATGATCAGGACAAAGCGAACTCTATGGCAAGCTATTTTGGAGCAGTTTTTCACTCATGAGCCTCTTTTAGACGAAGAAATAGGCTCAAATACAAGTTCAACAAACCATCTGCTCACCGTGGACTTTGTTTAAGACGATGTGCTTAAGGCTCTTAGCACCTTAGATAAGAAAAACTCAACAGGACCGGATGAACTACACCCTGAAATCTTGAGACATATCGCACAATATATCACAGCCCCAACGACTGTGATATTCAATATGTCACTTGATCAATGCGTGTTACCTATGGACTGTAAAGACACAATCGTCGCTCCCATACATAAAACAGAGTCAAAGCTTCCATCAAACTACTGACCCGTCAGCCTCGCCAGTATCATACTGGAAAGAACGACCAGAATCCACAATGACATTCGCGGAAACTAACAGCTCATAAAACGGCGGACAACATGATTTCAGAAAAGGTTTGACCTTATAGCAAGATGAAAACGAACAAAGGTTCTGGATAATGGAAAATCAGTGAATGTTGTTTACATCGTTTCAGCAAAGCGTTTGATAAGGTGTCAGAAATAAACTACTTCTGAAGCTGGGAAATCTAGACATTGCCGGACCTCTCATGAAATGGATCTAGGATTTCTTGGTAGGTCGTAATCAGAAGGTAAGTATAAATTTCAAGTGCCACTCCTAGAAACCAAAAGGTAACGTAGTAAAACAAGGCTCTGTCTCAGGTCCTTTGTTATTCATACTGTATATTAATGAACTCCCGAGCATAGTTGATTTCCCAGCGGTACTATACGCTGATGATGTAAAATCTGGTAAGAAATGGCAGGAGACGCAGACACATGTGAACTTCAGGCAGACTTAGATATTCTGATTAGCTAGTCCGTAAAATGATTGGTACCTAATGATGTTGCCAAGTGTGTCCACGTGAGCTTTGGGGGGAAACAAAGGTAAAAAGTTACAGCGTAGGGGAAGAGTGCGCTACGGACTGGACTTTACTTTCAGACCGAGTCCTTCAGTTTTATTTATCTAGAATTCTCATAGAGCTGGATGGATTATTTTTCTTGGAATTACAGAAGATAACTCAATTCTGAACTGTTTACATGTAAACTGTAAATTCCATGCTAGATGATAAGATCTCAGTTTAACAAATTCATGGCATATATGATCACATTCATACAACGATTCATAATCATATAATTAGGTGTTTATTTTAACTATACGATGAAACCATGCTCTGTCATTTTTAAAACCATGCATAATCGTGTTCGATGAAGAATTGCATTTCATATATGTATTATATTCCTAATATCATGTTTGGATGCTATAACCCACGTACTTTATGTACTTACTGGATCTATTCAGACCTATACCTAGTATCAAGAAATATATGCAATCGTGTATGATAAGGCACTGTACGCACTATTTTATATACTATACTTTAAATTGTATCTGGATATTATAACTCATTTTATTTCCGAAATAACCTCTTCAATTCGATGAGTGTGTCATAGTTTTTGGTCAGTATTTTTATCCAAAAAGCTGTCTCATAAATATGGTCATAAAACAACATAATAATCTTAGACGGTAATAATTTTTTAAACCATTTACCTATGAACCCCCAATTTTAACTAATGCAGACTTCCAGTTTATAAATGTTCCACATGCCGTACTAACTTTGATTGTTTGATACTTACTATCGGCAGTTCTAAATTACTTTACTATAGAAAGCTAATTTTCCATGTAAGGTATATGTTAAAATTTACACCATGTGCACCTTTATGATCTCTTCTGCCTCTACACATGGACTGACATACATACTACTTCTCTTTTACTATCTTCCTGCCATTCTCCCTGTAAGATCCAAACTACGTTTGGACTGCTGGACAGCTGTCTGGATGAGTTAGATACGCACCCTGGCCCGATTGAAACCAAAACAAAGTAATTGGGTAGGATAGCGGTTCTATAATTTATCATAAATTTAAGTGTACATTATTACCTAAACAAATATAACCACTCAGCTATCCAACCAATAATTGTTCAATTGATCAAATCTAAACTACAATAAATAAGAAAGTTGATAAACGATGCAAGAAAGTTACCAATCACCACAAATAAATGTTATTCTATCCTGTCTGGATAGATCACGTACAGATTCGTTCAAAAGGTAATAATTGGTCGCTCTATAACACAGTGTTTTTTAATTCTGGAAGAGTGCTTCTATTCACAACCAAAATGCACAATTCCAGTCAACACAGGTCAAGCAATCAAAAGCAGGAACAAACCAAAATGGCTGCCGCTCAGACTTAGTATAAAGTAAAACAACATAAGTGCAGTTCGGGAAAAAACATGGGGAATTAGTGAAGGTGTAGTAAAAGCGAAAACTATAATAGAATACAAATATTAACAATTCAAATGTAGTCAAAAAATTAACAATGTACAACTAAGAGAATCAACAGGAACAAAGTGCAAGTATATACATGGAGGGATTTTCACAAACACACAGAGCATTCAAAATGGATCTTACACTCCCTTCTTATTCTTGTCGACAAATTCACCAATCCTCACGATACATTCACTCTTGTTTTAAACATAGGTTTTGGTTTCTAAACTATCTTAGGCTCTCGCCATTGATTTTTTCACCCATCTCTATATTCAACATTTTGTTCAATCCATTCTCTATTTATCACTTTCTTATCATGACGGAAGAAAATGAAGGCCCCTGCTTCTAGGCGTCTAGCCAAACGTAGGAAAATGACCTAATCTAACTCTACTATCGACACGATTTTCAACAGTTTCAACGAGACGAGCTACTCTGTTCATCCGTGAGCAGACAAGCTCACAGCAGTTGTCTCCATTCCAAGCATGTTGAAAACTCTATTGGTAAACAATGTTGACCATCACAAGTGCAACCATATGAATGGTGTAAAAAAGTTGCAAGTTGACATGAACATTCTCAATCAACGCCAGCCTCCAGACTCCAGACCAAATGAACGACATAAGTTTCCTAGATAGCGTTGCTTCAAAGTTTTTGAAAAAATATGACAATCTAGAAATTCAGTTCAATATACCATACACATGTGCCCTGAAAAATATGAAATCAAGTTTGCTTAGAGCCGGCAATATGACAAACGTACCATGTGTGTGCATACGATTAAAAAGAAGCCATCTTGGTATACACTCACCGATCTTGTTCAGATTTTCGAGGATATTAAGGTTCTTCCAGATAGAACACCATGCCAGCCAAAAGCAAGAAGAGACGGTTACAGACCACCTGCGTCAAACTCTAAACGCATCATAATCCCGATGGCTGTAAAATTAAGTCTGATTCTGAGAGGACATCTACCTTTTACATACATCCCATCGCTCATAAACTCTCCCGAATCTCACAAATTTCAAAACACGGAAGAAATTATTCGTGATGTAGATAGTGTCTATCCTCTTAATAATGCTGTCTTAGATCTAACTCTAAGTAGTTGTGCTGATGACGAATAGGATAAAACAGTCCAAATCTTTGTCAGTGCAACACCCAGTACAGTGCAACGGATAACGGGAAAACTAGTAATAACATTTATATAACTGACCATACACTTAACGTCGATATATTCGAGCCTTGCAAACCATCACAAGTATGTTTAACAACACTTGATTCTCCTCTGATTACGAAGGAGGCAAAAGAAACCACAAACCTCGAAAATAAACGTCTGGAACATGTTACCCATACGTCAGGTATGGAAAATAATCTGAATTGTAAATATCTACTTGGTCGCACACACAAACCTGATAGCCTTCTTTGTCCGGCACTATGCCTTTATCAGATGTTATATTCAATAACAATAAGAAGACGTTTTTTTTGCAATTCCGCCGGCTTTTCTGCCGGCAACGGTATATATATTACAAATGATGACAAGGCTGTTGAATATATTTCTCTACGCAAGCTTCATAAAGCGCGTCAACCGTGATATTGATAATACAAGTCTTTCTAAAACCATCCACATTCACATCTTATAACATATCAACCCAGCTGAGTAAGTCGCTACATTAGTTCTTGGAGGGAAATCTGTGTTGGACAATCTATGATACGAATTTTAGTTATCAATGATTTAAGTACACATAACTGACTTGTTTATCAGATACAATTCCAGGAGCCGAGTGAGTCTCTTCCAATTTCTGTTGTTAATTCTAATACTAATGAGTGTATTCCAGATCATACAGTCTACATCCAATACACAGTAGAACAAACACGATGAACCTAAGGTGAAGTACAATGACTAACAGAAATTTGGACCTTTATTTTAGCTGTGTTGGCTGTGATACTTGTACGAACTAATGATTCCTACGTAATTGATAGCCCTCTGATTTCGAATTCAAAATATAATACGTTCATTTTTGTTCATCTAGTTCTATTTGGCTTAAATTGCACTTTTTCGGAATATTTAGTTAGTACGATAACTTAAATATCTCTTATTATCATAGTTACTTATAATTACAACCCTCTGTGTTGATCAGTAAGATATCCTGTGCATTTGGTCAGTAGAAGAATCTGTATCGTTATAAAGAACATGTTCACCAAGGAATCGTGGTTTGTAGATGCCGTCAGAGTGCCCAAATGGATTAAACATCAGGCAATCATGTAGTTGGCCACTTTTCCGAAGGGTTTGTTTGAAAAGTTTGGAGACCACTTTTGGCCTAAAGCAGGTAGACAGGTATTACGTAGTAAGGCATTTTGGAAGGAAAATCCTCAGCATTTCCCGATATCTAGAAAAAATATGAGGTTATAGATAATCAGAATGAAATGAAATGGCAACATCCAAAGTTCCCAATAAATGATACACATCTCACTTTTTAGGTAATGTTAAACTGACGACAGCGAAGATTCGCATATTCTTTGACAGTTGCCTGAATCACAGATGTCTGTTACTAAATAATCTGCCCTTACCTAGAGTAAATTATTCATTTTCAATGCTCGGTACGTTGATCAGATGTTTTTAGTCCCAAATCACGGTGACCCTGATTACACAGATGGTCCAACAAATCATGGTTCCTTCTGAGAGTATGGAATGCCGGAAACTTTCACGGTTGGAAGATGATTCAAGCAAATTGTTAAATAGTGAATGACTAGGCATCTGTTTGAAGCTAACATTCACGCTTAGCTCAGCTTGTTTTTACGGTTGACGATTACTGCTACGGCGATAAGTATCACTCTCAGTTTGGTGATGACCACCCTAGATGGATCATTTCTCACTTTATAATCTTATTCTAAAGAACAGGGTCTGGTTCAAAATATTCAGATACTTTATAGCTTACGCCTGGAGTTCTGTTACTCCCATCGATTAGTATTTTAATGGAAATCTTTACCAGAACACGTAATATTAGTACCTTCTTTGAAACATTTGGAGTGAAATTGTATCATTATTGTGCTATACATTGAAAGGACGAGTTAAAGTTGATTGACCTCCAATCTGTACACTTTAAGATTGAAGAGAGATTTTTGTTTCCAAGAAACGTGAGTTTTTAAAGACGCGAACGTTCCCATCGAAAACACTAAATAATATGGCATTTTCATAACGACACTCAAACAGTCTTGAATAAACCAATGACTTACACCCACTATTTAAAAAAATTAAAACTTCAATCTTGTAGGAAAACAAGTCAGAAATATCTTTATTCTAATGAACGCAGCCTTATATTCAATTTTTTAGTGTGGTGATATTCACTGTTTGAGTGTAAATGTTTCAGCAACACATGCTTATTAACAGTTTTACACTCATTGTTTTGAAATAGTTTAAATTCTGTTTGTCTTTGACCCCAGAGGATACCGCGTGGTTCGAAGTTTTCAAGAGTAACTGTGATAGCTGTGACACCAAGTCTAGGAGTTGTTTTGTAAGTTACTCTCGTCTCGGTTCACTTCATAATCGAACTCTAAACGCCATCACGTTTCTTGCTTGGTGAACGTTTCAAATCACACTCACCTAAAATCTAAAAATAATAGTGAGTAATTCCAAGCACTTCAGCGTGCTCACCATGTAAATGCATATACATAATTTTCTAGTTCGTGGCACATTTCGTTTATTCTAATGAAAAATAGCGAGTAATATACCGCTTTCCAGTCTCAAAAATCAACAATGTAGGGCTCAAAAATATTAAATTTTTTTCGACGAATTATCTTGACATTTATGTTCCGTGTTTGTTATTACCCACCTGTTCCTTGTCATGGAGTGTTATAGCCATCCTTTCCTGTCTGTTATGATACTTATTTTTAGCATTTAGCAATAGTCCCACTATTCTTCTGCTAGGGTACTTTTAAACCTCTAGCTTTTATAGTGATATTTGGATGCGCACCAATATTTAACAACAGTTTTTGTGGTTAGGCTCCTTGGAGCGGTTAATTTTACTTAATGAATCTCTGGTCCATGAACTTGTCACTTTATCTACCCATTTTATGCGTTGCTTTTCAGGACTGGTATAAGGTGATAGGGATGATAATATGAACATGTTAATAGATAAAAAAATCCTATATGATCAATTTTCTGCAATCATACATGCTTTTTTTGTATTAATCCTTCAAAACTGAACGATGGGAAAGGTACGTGGTGGAGTAAATGTACTTACCTGGCTCTTGGATATAAGCATACTGCATTATATCACCTCATATTTAGTTCATTCCTCAGGAAAATTATTGTTCCTTGAATTAGTAATTGTAGATGCTTTTGAAACATTGCTACCAAGAGTCGGATTGTTTTAACAAAATATCACTGTGTATCATATTAGATCAAAATGCTTTTTGTGAACATAATTTAGGGGATTGTTATAGAAAAATTGGTCGTATTTTGCGCGTTGTTGTGATAGTTTGCACGTAAGTAGAGGTTATGGTATTGTTAGATAACGCGTCATTGTTAAGTTGAAATTGAAAGCAAAATACTGACAATGTAGTGCTACTATTGATCATCGTACAAACAGTTCTGAATCATACGTAGGAAGCAGTCGACGTTATAACATATTTTTACAGATTTTCGCTTACACTGTCTTTCCCATCCTTCAAGTTTACTTAACTACATGTATCTTATGTCAAAAATTGTTGACTAATAGTCATAAACAAATATTTGTATAACCCGAGGCAAAGCTTGTTCAACATTTTCCTAGATTACTCGTTAAGAACATTGCACATAGGTTTAATAAGATCATATTGTGCTTGTGACAAGAAAAACCAGACTAATTATTTTACCACTAAATATCAGTTATTCCTAATTTATTCATTTTAGTTGTTTGTATTCCGAACATTATGCTGTCAAAAGTGTGCTGTCTTGGTGCAGGTTATGTTGGAGGTTCAACACTTTCAATTATAGCTCATTACTGTCCGGAGATTCAAGTTACTGTTGTTGATACTTGTGATGAACAAATCAAGATGTGGAACTCAGATACTCTGCCAATATATGAGGTAATATTTCGTACTTATAGTTTGACATAGCTCAAATCTCGTTACATTTAGGCGCATAAATATAGTAAGCATCATTACAAAATAGACATCTAGTGAACAAGTCTTTGTTTTATTTTATAATCACTAACTTGAATACAGCAATTATCTCTGAGATTGTAGCTCTAAAATACCAGTGCTGTTGGCATACAGTCAGTCATCTACAACGTAGGACCAGGCACATATATGTATCGGTCCAAGTTGTTACATCTCATTAGCACAAGATGAAAACTAAATCAGTATAAGTGGTTACTTCAATGGTGGTAATATATAAAAGAAAGTCTCCATATAAGTATATGCAGGAAGAAAGAGCAGTTTCATAGAAAGAAAGGTATAAAGCAATTTTAACCTCACGTTTTAATGGAAAACAAAAAGTGTATACACCTACACCATTGTGATTGATTCTGAGCCATGTCAACAAGAGTCTCCAACCATTGGTTATGATAGTCACGCGGATCCAAACTAAGCAGTCTGCATCTACTAATACGGCTCAGGCCAGAAGTTAGTGACTTCAAGGACTGATGGCACGTTTTGGTTTACTTCCAACCGTCTCCAATACTAGTCAGCATTGTTCGTCGTGGTAATCGGTGTTCAAGCATGCGTAACACGTGGATCAACCATCTCACTCGATGAAGATTCACAACCTCATCAACTGATTTACCATCATTCCCTAACCTCACTATTACTTACCTGGTGATCCCATCAGATTCCAGCAATATTTTTAAGGCATCTGTGGTCAAATACTAGTAGCTTACGAGTATCTTCTACTCTTAATGGCCATGTTTCGCTGCCGTAAAACGAAACAGAACTAATTGCTGCGCAGTATACTCGGCCTTTAATTGATAGACGGATATCTCGCCTTCGCCATAGGTGACGTAAGAAATCCATTGGTTTTTTTGTAACCCTTTGTTTTAAATCACTAATAGATGTCACTGTTGTTTGCACAGCTGTTTTTATATCTTTCTATGCAACATCTGGGTCAGTCTCGTTTTCGGAAGTGCCTAAGTGTGACCTCAGTTGTTTCTGAGTTCAACTCTAATGCGTCTTCTTAATGTGGTTTTTCTGCGTCCAGTGAGGCGCAAGCAAATGCGTACTCGTTTTAGGACATGATTGGGGTCTGAACATGTGTTCCAGAAAGGGTTGTCGTCTTCTGTCGAGCTTCTCCAACGATCACTGATGGCAATATGTTCTATTTGAGTCCATCGTTGGTTTGGTGCAGGGGGTCGCCATTTTAGACGACGTCAATTACAAAAAAATATTTAAAAAAAGTCGAAAATTATATGTAAACTAATACGATTGGATTTTGGGCGATATTACTACTCTATTAGGTAATTTTCGGCGTCAAAACATTACAAATAGACAATATCAATGTACCAGTGGTCTCGAGTGCTGTTAGAGGTTTGAGGGAGGCTTTCGACCCCCGATTGCCCACACTGTGGAAGGGTCCTTCTAGAGGTACCTAAAATGGAAATTGGGTTAGAGGTGGCTTTAGTGACCTGAGAGTGTGATCGCAATGCCCAAGGGACAACTGCTTGAGGCCTGTCACACACGACCTTTTTGTGAGTAATTTTCGTGTTAGCTCCGTACTTCTTGAGACCTTACCGCCGGAGACGGAAATCCGTGGGATAAGGCGAGGAATGCACGTCTAACCCCACTTTTTTTGTGGGAAGGTAGTGTTGCTGTTATGCTGGATGTCTGAAGGAAACACCTTACTGCCATCACACTGTGCAGCCAACAGTACGACTTCATCCTCGAGCCTTGGGTTTGTTCCTCTTGGTCTTACCGCTCTTCAACCAACCTGTCTGGGATGGTAGGCCTTGAGGAACGATTGTTCCAGCCAATATAGCCCGACTGGTTCGTCATGATTGGCAAACTGAACCACCACGTCAAGGTACTAACGGTCGGGGTTGACATGCAGTCGACTGTTATAGTTCTTGTGCCATAATTTCTGCCACTTTGATATACATTTATATATATCTTTTATGTTTTGCCGTTTGAATGCTGATTGTTATATCTGGTCGTCACTGATCGTTGTGTCGGGAACGCTTATCACTTACACATTTTTTTTATCACCACTGAGTAAATAATACTCTTATTTCGGACATTGTACTAACTGGAAAGTTACTAACTGTTGGTCTGATCCACACCAGAATGTGCGACTTTCTTGGTTGACGGCCACGCGATACTCGCAATCATTAATTAGAAACAGGTTATACTGTCTAGACTCAATCAAAGTAGTTTATTTGCTCTAATTATCTTATAAATATCTTAACTTTTCGTTTGCTTCTTTCAAAGCGTAATTGTCGGTCTTAGATTTATGTCACTTTGTATTATTTCCCATCGTATGGTTCTCATCTAGTTGATTGCCTGGCGTGCCAATGCAAGGTGTGGCAAATTAAACCAATCCAGCTTCGTACATCATCTTATGTTAATGAGTAAATAACATTGTTTATTGATTGATCCATAGATAGCTCCAGAGATTTTTCATATAAGTCCAATACCTTGTTAAGTATATTTAAATTTCATAGTCAGTCAGTCAGTAACAATATAGAACGTCGTACGTACGTACATCAGTTCGAGTTGCCATACCATATTAGCACAGAGATGCAGTTGTCGATTCAAATCCCGTAATGGTAGAGGTAGTAAGAGTATAGGCAGTAATTGGAAGGATTAGGGTTTGAAGACGTTATTCAAGGAATATAATACAATGAAATAAATTAGGAAAGAGGAAAAAGGGACATGACAAATCCAGAAGATTCGGATTTGGGAGAACACAAAGAGTGGATGCACCTGCGCCATGGTAAACAATTTTGAGCCATGTCATTCAGGGTCTTTAACCATCGGTTGCTATCATCTCGCGGTCCCCAACCAGGTAATTTACACCTACCATCATGACTCAGTTCACTTGTCAGTGACTTCATGGATTTGTGCCATGTTTTGGTCTGGCCGCCCCTAGCTTTCTTCCAACCTACTCCTATACCACTGAACATCGCACGTCGAGGCAGTCGGTCGTTGGGCATACGTAACACGTGTCCCAGCCATCTCAACTGATGAAGTTTCATCACCTCATCAATGGATTTGCCATCCTTACCTAGTACCAGTTTCCTAACAACTGCATTACTTACTCGATGGTCCCAGGATATACGAGCAATATTTCGAAGACACATATGATCAAATACTAGTAACCTACGAATATCCTCTACTCTTACCGGCCACGTTTCACTGCCATAAAGTAGGACGGAACGAACTGCTGCGCAGTAAACACGTCCTTTAGTTGATAGACGGATATCTTGCCTACGCTATAAATGATGCCATTTGGCTTAAGCTTGTCGAGCCTTCTGTATCCGTGCTGAAATTTCGTCACACACCAGACCACAAGGAATGACGAGACTTCCAAGATAAGTGAAGCGGTCGACACACTCAACTACTTCACTCCCTATCACTAGTTCGATTGTCGATGTTACCCAATCCTGAAGGAACATTTTGCGTTTCGAGGGGGAGAATCGCATCCCGAACATGCTAGCATTGTTGCTTAGTGTGGTCAGAAGACTCTGACTCATAGTTCATGTGTATTATACTGAAAAAATAACTCGTTATGTAATTAAAAGGTATTTAAAATCCAATAGTTTCTGAATAACTTTTAATCAAGAGTTTATTCTAAATGTTTAAAAATTAGTTAAATTGTAAATGTATCAGTCTAGTGAAATAAGTCACCATAGTGTGATTAATCATTAGTTGAGAATCCAATAAGTAAATAAAGAAAACAAAACCTTTGTACATTTATGATTTATTTGAAGAATGATGTTTGTTTTAATTGAAAATTTAATTAGCCAGTAGATATCAGAAAATACTATAAAACTGCTACTTAATCAAGTTTATTCGCTCTCAATTTACAATCGCACAATCTTTAAAATACACTTTTAAATCAATATATTCTTGCCTTGGTTGTGAAATCATTGATGTGCAACGAATTACCCTTATTTTCATATTCTTGCATGACATACTTGCTGAGTGTTTACAATGAAGTCTGATTTATTGATAAATACGAGACTATTAGGTTGTTCATCCAAAACATTTAACTTAGAGTTCGAATTCTTGTAATTTGTTCTTTATTAGTTTGGATTATCCCGTTGGTATATTGGCTACAATTTGACCAGCCTCAGTTGGCATAACGATCACAGACTAGTGTGTGGTAGTGTAATAATGACAATGAGGGAAACGGAAAGGTACAACCAGAAAGAATTCTTTCAGTTAAGGAAGTTACAGTCACTTTTTATGAAGAAAGTAAAGGAAGGTTACGGCATGATCGCCACTGGTTTCTATTCTGAGCCATATCTGATAACGTCTCTAACCACTGTGTTGCACCATCTCTGGGACCCCGGCCAGGGAGTCGTGAAGGACCAACACAAGCCAGTCGTTTGCTGCTTCCTTTCATACTACGACACCATGTTATACACTGACCACCTCTCCGCTTTTTCCCACCAGTCCCAGCGTCGGCAAATAATGCACGACATGGAATTCTCTGGGACGACATTCGTAGAACATGTCCAAGAACATATAATTACCAAATAATTTTCCGTTAGTTTGCTGATTTGCGTCGATTATTCGTTTTACAGTTAATTTACACCATAAATTGTTAGGCCGGGTGGAAAGCTACTAAAAACTTGGGGACAGTGGATAATTGTTTCGTTCTATACTGGTGTTTGTTATGAAACATATAGTTTAGGATTCAATCTATGCTGTGGCTGAACCAGCTTCCCAGTGCTCTCAAGTGTTTAATGTTTCTTCAGTTGACGGCCTTTCTAAATGAAGACTAACATCAAATAACTTTTGCTGGTATTTTTTTTTCAAAGTGACTTTATTCTAAACGAATACATTATCGAGTTGATATTGTCTGAGGGTAGTCTGACCATCATATGAAAATAAACATCTGTTATTATTTATGAATATTAGGTTTAGAATCTTAAAGATTCCATTATTTCACAAATCAGCACCCTCACAAAATAATGTCGGAAATTAATGATGTCATTTACTTTGTGACCTAAAAATTGACAAACCAGTTATGTAAGCCTTTGTAGCTTTTATTATCTGTTCACCTATTTTTGTCTAAAATCCTTTGAGAAAGCTACATCTATTACTTTTCAAATTCGTTGTTTTTCAGTCCAAACGTTAAACGGCAAATTTGTATTTATGGGGCAATTTAATCAGTATGAGCACGTATAGTTTGCCCGATAGAATGATTTCTTTTACTTTGGTTATACGATTACTACTATCTCTGAATAGACTGCAACTGATTATCATCCGATTACTTGAAAGATTTTTTTGGTCAAAGTAGAGAAATGTAGATATTAAATATTGACCCTATAGTGATAATGAAAATAATAAGTATTATTATTATTATTTTGTACTTTAAACTTCTTTGTTCTTAATCATTGGATTCATTAACCGCATGTAAAAACATTATTAGGGTTAAGAGTCTTTTCCATTAATCTTTTTAATAATATCATACGATAACTGTAAATAAAGTGGTATATATTGAAAATTGTTTTATATGTATAAATTGACAGCAACTGAATAATCTTGTTTGTTTTAAACATCTCAGTAATATGCATCCACTAATATTAAAATTTGGGTTTTAGAGTTTCACAATGAGTACAATACATTTAAGTCACTTAATCAGAATCTAGTGATCTATATATTTCTAATTCTAGTCAGCCATTATCGAATGTTATCACTTTTATCATGGGTGACTTCAAATGTTATCATTTATCATTAGATGTTAGGATAATTAATCTCAAAGCTGGTATGCATCCAGTAATTTTTAATGCCAGTTGATTATGTGGTAAGTTGGTATAGTTTTAAAGTACCCACTTAGCATTAACTGGGATCAGTTAGACAACAATAGTAAAGTTGTATTGTTAACCTGTCTCCATTTGATTGTAAATACGATAGCTCAAATTACAATTTTTTTAATTTCAATTTTACACTGGACATAAATTTTCACGAAAAAAAAATCATTTTTCAAGTTATTCAATTATAACACAAGTTTTTGTATGATTTCTTAAAATATTTCTCTTATCGAAATATGATGTTGTTCAAGCTATTAGTCAATATTCAATCTGGAACTGTTATAAAAAATGTAAAATCGAATTAGACCTGTTATATCTGAACGACCAATAAATAGAAGGTAGCTGCTAGGAATTATTTATGGGTTATTATTACATATTTTGTGCATGAAACTCCCCGAACGATGAATTGGGACCTTCGTGAACAGGCGAAAACTTCTCAGGTATATGATGACGTTCAGATAAGACTTACTTACGCCTGTTACTCCCAATGGAGCATAGGCCACCGACTAGCATTCTCTAACCCATTCTGTCCTGGGCGTTCCTTTGTAGTTCTATCAAATTGTTGTTCATTCTTTTCATGTCTCTCTATTTCTCGACGTAATGTATTCTTTGGTCCTCCTCTTTTCCTTTGGCCTTGAGGATTCCGAGTGAGGGCTTGTCTTGTGACGCAGTTGGGTGCGTTCCTCAATGTATGTCCTATCCACTTCCAGCAATTCTTCCTGATTTCTTCCTCCGGTGGGATCTGGTTTGTTCTCTCTCACATTAGGTTGTTGCTAATAGTGTCTGACCAACGGATCCGAAGTATTTTGCGTAGACAGTTGTTAATAAACACTTGTATCTTCTGGATGGTGGCTTTTGTAGTTCTCCAGGTTTCCACCCCATAGAGTAGAACCGTCTTGACATTTGTATTGAAAATTCTGACCTTGGTGTTGGTTGACAGACAGTTGTTTTGAGTTTGACTTGTTCTTCAGTTGTAAATATGCTGGTTTTGCTCTGCCGATGCGTGCCTTCACATCTGCATCAGATCCACCGTGTTCATCAATAATGCTGCTCAGACATGTAAAGAGTTTTTCCATCTTCCAAATCTTCTCCGTCGGATGTGATTTGATTGTTACATGCTGTGTTGTATCGGAGAATCTTTATTTCCCCTTTGTGTATGTTGAGACGTACTGCTGGTACACTGGTCGTCTCCTAATGCATTTATTGTTGCGTGTGCGATAGCAGAGCCAGACCATCTGCGAACCCCAGATCGTCCAACTGCATCCTAGCTATCCACTGTATCCTATGCTTCCCCCCAAATTTTGACGTCTTCATGATCCAGTCGATCACCAGGAGATCAAGAAAGGGTGAGCGTAAGCAATTTTACATGACACCGATCTTTATTTCGAACGAGTCTGTCAGCTGTCTTCCATGCACTATTTTGCAGTTAAATTCATCATAGGAATTCCGTATGATATTGACTATCTTCTCAGACACGCCATAGTGTCAAAGAAGCTTCCATAGTGTTGTCCTTTCCACGCTATCAAATGCTTTCTCGTAGCCAATGAAGTTGATGTAGATTGATGAATTCCATTCAATTGATTGTTGCACAATGATCCGTAGATTTGCGATTCGGTTTGTACACGATCGATCCTTAACGGAATCCAGCCTGCTGGTCTCGAAGTTGGACGTCTACGGAGTCCTTCATTGTGTTTAACAATTCCCTGTTAAAGACTTTTCCTGGTATTGAGAGAAGAGTGGTGCCTCTGTAGTTCTCACAGTTGCTGAGATCGCCTTTCTTTGATATCTTGATCAGATGTCCTTCTTTCCAGTCTGTTGGTACTTGTTCTTTATCCCACCGTTTTCGTTCCATTCTACTAGCCTATATCGTCCCATGACTTCTTCATATTCGATGTTTTCCATTCCAACCCTGGCATTTAGGTCTCTCATCAGAATGGTCAAGCCCTTTGTTGAACACTTCTCGACGACTGACTGTAGCCTATCGTAGAATTGATCATTAATATCTTCATTGTAGTTGTTGGTAGTTATAGTGAAATACAACAACTCATATATATTTCATCACCCTTCGTTTGACCTATTCTCTACTGTTATATGGTTAACCATTCTTAATTTATTCGCAATTTATTAGTTACAGTGCACAATAATCACAGCCACTTTTGACTTGTATTTATCTTGTATAATTATCATTCCTTATGTTATGATGTTATGCGGTCTGGTCTGCTTGTATATAAACCACGTGTGTCTTAAATGTACGATTCACAAAGCAGAGGATAATATTTGTGTTATGAACTGAACAGGCTGGGCTGGGCGAGAAGTTGCCATATAGAGGAACAGTAAAGACTAAGAGTTGACTCTAAGCTACTCGTGCTGGTTAACACACAGTGGGTTTAGGATGGGGAAAAGGTCATGTAAGTCGGCGTTTTGATTGACGATATTGTCACGTGACAGGACCACAAGCTACAACAAAACTACTATTAAAGTCATGGTTCTCAACTAAATGCAATCTGATTTTTCCTCATAAATTATCTTTTTTGTTTCATATTTTATCTGATATGCTTCTTCTTTTCAAAAAATTATATTTAGCCGGGATTAGACGAGATTGTTAAATTACACCGTGGAAAAAATCTACATTTTTCTTCGGATATTGACAAAGCAATAGATGAAGCTGAAATGATTTTTATCTCAGTGAATACCCCAACAAAAAACTGGGGCCTCGGTAAGGTAAGTAAATCGTACACAAATGGAACCAACTTTGATTTTTCTCTATAAACATTTTACTTTCTAATACAGGAATCAGACTTGAATTGACAAACATGTAGAGCCTGTACTGCGCACACTTTTCTGATGCATATTTCATTTGAATCGGCTCTTCTAATTTTGTAGGATATTTTTGATGAAACGTTGTGGTCAACCACATACTCCTGATGGCCTACAATTGCAGTGAATTTTAAAAGTACATAAAAAAGATATTCTTCTAGGTGGTATGAAGAACTCGCGATGATACACAATTATCTAATAATCGGTATAAATCGTGCAAACGATTAGAAATCAAATCAGTAGACGTAGCCCCTAATTCTCGCGAAATCACTTATTCAAAAACCAACATTAATGTATTCACAAAGAGAATGCTATATTTGGATATCTGCTTTCCGTGTGATCATAATGAAGATATTAACCTTGAAAAAAGTATCCCAAAACATCCAAAGAAACTACTCATATTTTTCACTCAACTTGCATTTCAAAATTAACCATGGAACTTATGGGCAAACCTAAGGCATTGAAATAGAGTAACCACTGAGTCGTTTTCTAGCAGATTGTTTCATGGCCAACTTAGAAAATAATGTAGTTTGACAAGTAATCTTTAAATCTTGTTTATACATGAGACTCATAGATGACACCATCATTTGTAATGATAATAACAAACTAAATGCTGTACTACAAGAGTTCAATAACTGCTACATATCGATTACACTCACAGTAGAATCAGAGACAAATTTAGAATCTCACTTCCTCCATGTTTTGTCGGAACAAAAATGTAATGGTTCTGTAAAATTATTAATATATAGAAAAGCTCGGACAAATTAAGAATTTCCAGAAAATATCTCTTAGTTGTAGATAGGGATACATAAAAAAGACACAGAGCACAAAATTTGGAATTGTCGTACATTTGACATCTCTTTAAAATCAATTGCACGAGTAATGTCCTTAAAAACCGTCTGTGTACAAATGTGCCACTGAAAATGATAAATTCGGTGAAAACTAGTTTCTTATCTTATTTTTCTCCTTATTTTCAATTTGGAATGTTTCGCAGCAGTTACTGTATCATTGAGTATTGTTTTGTTTAAATTATATTATCCACTCGTATACTGAGTATTGGTTTTTGTGAATTTTTGATTTTAGCATTGTTTTTACTATTACATGTAGATCGCATAATTCTACGCTAGGTCAAGGATAAAATTAACCGAGGTCAATAACCTACGCTATTTTTTTAGATTACTGTTAAAATGATTATAAATACTTGTAAAATAGATTTTAAATTTTCTAATGGCATTATCGCCTGTTGTACATAACACATCTGCTTAGATTATTCATGGATGTGTATGTAAATATTACTTTGAAATTAGTTTCTCTTGAGTTTGTTATAATATGATCTACTGACCCTGTCAATATTTAATGTATTGATCATTATCATTATCATAAGAGTTTGTAGTCACAACTAATCGGCTGACATTTCTTACACGGTTATTGTAATTTCTGACTCCTGTTAATGAAGATTTTTTGGGTATATTTAGAAAAATATAAAAACAACTAATTGGTTAACTTGATTTCGAAAATGTGTACTCATGTGTTTATGAACAAACATTTTGTTACCTATAATAATTTGTTAATTATGTACAGTTTCTGATTCTTATACAAATGAGAATCATGTACCATATAATAAATAGCAGCATATCTCCCATTCATAATTTCCAATAATATACTTTAACGCTTCAAGTGATTGGAATGCTATCAGATACAACATACTCAAAAACACGTTATCAGTATTTGTGACAACATTTAGAACAATATAGCTAGTAATTTGTAAGTTATTTACGTTCATAATTTGTAGAAAAAGTGATCACTGGAGGAATATTTACATTTGATATCACTCTTCAAAGATTAATAACTAATAATTGCCGGAACGAAAAAAATTTTCAAGATGGGATGGAAAGATTTCAAACAAACACATACAAAAATACGTACTTACACCTGTTACTCCCAATAGAACATAGGCGACCGACCAGCATTCTCCAACCCATTCTGTCCTGGGCGTTCCTTTGTAGTTCTATCAAATTGTTGTTCATTCTTTTCATGTCTCTCTATTTCTCGACGTAATGTATTCTTTGGTCCTCCTCTTTTCCTTTGGCCTTGAGGATTCCGAGTGAGGGCTTGTCTTGTGACGCAGTTGGGTGCGTTCCTCAATGTATGTCCTATCCACTTCCAGCAATTCTTCCTGATTTCTTCCTCCGGTGGGATCTGGTTTGTTCTCTCTCACATTAGGTTGTTGCTAATAGTGTCTGACCAACGGATCCGAAGTATTTTGCGTAGACAGTTGTTAATAAACACTTGTATCTTCTGGATGGTGGCTTTTGTAGTTCTCCAGGTTTCCACCCCATAGAGTAGAACCGTCTTGACATTTGTATTGAAAATTCTGACCTTGGTGTTGGTTGACAGACAGTTGTTTTGCATCAGATCCACCGTGTTCATCAATAATGCTGCTCAGACATGTAAAGAGTTTTTCCATCTTCCAAATCTTCTCCGTCAGGTGTGATTTGATTGTTACATGCTGTGTTGTATGAATTATTCAAACATACAAAAATACTATTCGGTAAATGATATTCCAACTAATCATTATGATATTAAACGTTTAGAATCATATCATATATATAATATCAATGTCATATTCATCTGAAAGAATAAGTCTGAATAGAAGAAATCATTTAAACAATATGAAATTCTTGTAACATATATATATAGCCTTATTATCAAGATCACTTCTTAATTAATAATAAGAATTATAGTTGTGAACTTTAAATTCTGTTATAAATTATATTGAATAACAATTCCTAATTTCTATTAAATGTTTATCTATCATTAGAATAGTATTCCTGCAGAAATATTTGTTTATACTATGAATAGGTATAATAATATCGTTTTGTATGGTTATAATAACATTGAAATGTTACAAACGATCCAGTGAATTCATGATAATAGTACTAACAATAATAGAAATAATAATAATAATGATGATCAATAATACTGTTTACTTTTATTATTCCACATGACCTTAGTTTGTTGTTTATAAAAGAAAAATGATGTACTTTGTTATACAAAACAAAAATAAGAGTAATGGATGGCTAAGCAAATTATTGTTTGTAACGATAACGATTTTTTCACGATACATAGTTTGAATATTTAAAATTATTATTTTACATTAGATAAAATATTAGAATCTGTATATAAACATTCAGGTTGAATGAATTAGTATATGTATTGTAAGTTGAAAATAGTAGATTTTATTATTATTATTATTATTATTATTATTATTATTATTATTATTATTAGTGGCTTTATTCAATATTATATTTTTGGTACAATATAGAATTCTCAGCACAAAGTATTTTAAAAAGTTTCAGTTTCTTATTTGTTGATCGATCCTGATAATAAATATTGAATGGTCATCAGTTAGGAGTTCACAGTTCAGGAATCGACATCTGAATAGTGTACATTCTTTTCTATACATATTGTCAGCAACCACGATGTCTCTGATTGGGTATTTTTGTAACATGTGCAGTGGACGGTCGTAAACTTTCCATAAGTACACCTGAATAGGTTATATGATTAATAGACATAATGGTTTGTTAAAACAAAAAAACAGATATCTAAATGGCAGGAACAGGTATCCCAGATATTCAATCAGGCTGCCATCTGCCGGGATGTTGCCTAAATCTTAAATCTTAACAAATTATTTTATTGTTCATTTATTTTCTATCAAAATGATAAATAATCTTTCCTATTTAATGCAATTAATAAAATGAACTCGTGATAATAATAATAAACCTTCAAATAATCATAGCCTGTTGTTTGAGATATTAAGCGATATGGCCTAAATAGGCTACAATCGCATAGATGCATTCATTGTTTTCATTACTTTTGACACTGAGTCTAGTGTTGCATAATTTTCATTTTTCGATCTCATTCGCTCCTGAACTTTCTTGTCTACATTTAACTTTTCATTACCTTTTCATATGCTTCTCATGTTAATTTTCACCGTCCTGTTTCGAACTATGTCTTCTTCTTCTACATGTGTGTATCAGGTTATACGTTGTCTATGTTAATCTGATTGACTATTGCATATAAATAATTTACAAAAATAAATATACGTATACCCTTGTATGTATGATATTCACATTCTTTTAGGGTAGAGCAACTGATCTGACTAACTTGGAGGCTGCAGCTCGACGTATAGCTAAAGTATCACGACAACCCAAAGTTATAGTTGAAAAAAGTACAGTACCGGTGAAAGCAGCAGAGACTACAAGTACCATACTTCAATTTGAAGCTAAGTCTCGTCGTAACATATCCAGTCTTACAATAACAACTAATAATAATGATAATAAGGTAAGTATACATTATTTCATTCCATTTTACTTTTCATTTTTTACTTCTATTTTTTTTGTCCAATTTACTGAAATGACATTTTGAGAAAAAATGGATAATAACCCTCTTTCAATAATGAATAAAAGTAGAATATCTTGCATCTTCGAACACTCTTCTATTCAGTCAAAGGGTCATTATTGCATATGAAACTATAGTTCTCACTGGAAATTTTATTTCAATCATCTGAAGCTGTCTATGTATATTTTTCCTATGAACACGATACTGTAGTGCTTCTTAACTTCCCGGAATAAAAAAAGCAAGTAAGGTATGAATTGTAGCGTGAAATGAATTCTCCAGTGGGAATTATGGTTTTATATACAACATTCACTCAGTAAATGAAAAAAAAAACAGTGCTAGATATTGCACTCGTATTCCCCATTGAAATATAGGTGTGTTATATTGTTATAACTTGTCAATTTTTCCGAAATCCCCGTCCCCAATTGATATAGCTTGTCGTTTGAATGCTGCTTGTTGTATCAGGTCGTCGCTCATTGTTGTGTCGAAAACGCTTATCACTTATACTCGGAACAGGGACCTCCTCAACTCCCACGACGCGAGAGTAAGGACACAAAGACTGGCATAAGTGAATGTTTATTAACCCCAAAACACGACGACAACCTTAGTCGAAAGCACACGCATATATTGATTGTACACCCATTTTGATTAATAATTAAGATGAAATCACATATATGAAAAATACTTAGAGTTATAATAAATCATATACTGAGCATAGTTCATGTAAATTGAATAGAAGAATATTGTATATTATACGGAATAAAATATCATACGAGAAAAGAAAACCGAATATTACACTGAATGATCATCACATTGAATCAGAACGGAAGTAATGTAACAGATGTAACGGATGTAATGTAACAAAACTCATAATAAGTAAATCGAAAATTGATTTTTCTTCCCATTATCTCACCTTCCCTTCTTTTTTTGAAGTCTCAAAGTTTAGATCCTGACTTTAAATTTTATGACTTTATCCTCCCCCACGGAATAATGTTGGGTCCTCATATTCCCAAGTTACAGTTAGTTTGACCATATTTAAAACATAGTTGCCCTATTGAATAGAGAGTCTACTAGAACTGACTTGATGGTAAGGATCAGCGGCACTAGATGTAAGGTCATTAACGTTTGCTTCTTGTTGGAACCCTCAGGGGCGCGAATGTAGAAGAGATAAAAGACTCAAGGGCAAAGCTGCACAACCTTCGGGAGTGATGGACCGTGAGGGTTATTTCGAGATGAATCCACTAGCAATTGAAACGAGAGTCGGCTTTGTGGGACCAATGTTCTGCCGTTCCTTTTGAATTTGATTTATGTGTCTTATACACGTTCCGACAATGCTGATAAGCCCCTGTGTGCGGATTGGATAGCTATAATGATGATTTCGTTTTCACTAAGATCTATAAATACCTGACAGTTTGTACTTTAATTTGACACTGTCTGGATTAACATTCCTTTCACTAGTCTTCTGTCTTCTCATTGTGACTTGGAAGGGTTTTAGCGTTCGAGTGCTCAAGTTATACGCGTCATATCAAGAATATAAACACCTTGAGACATAACAGCTGGCGACGGAGTTAACTTACCAAGATGTCATTTACCATTGACCAATTTGAAGCCTTGCTGGAGCGGCAAGAAAAACGTTTCAAACAGTTCCAGATTCCTATTATAGAGACTCTAACCCAGAAAATTAACCCAAATCAGAAGGGGCTTACAGATGATCCTTCCAAATCTCATGCTGACCACATTATTAATTCTATCCATGAATTTCATTTTGATGGTTTGGCTGGTGTCACATTTGAATCATGGTTCAAGAAATACGAAGATGTATTCAAGGTCGACCTAGAGAAATTTGATGATGCCGCAAAGGTCAGAATATTTCTACTCAAACTTGGCACAGCTGAACATGAGCGCTAACCAATTTCATTCTCCCTAAGAACCCAAGAGACCTTTCATTTGATGCGACGGTCGTAACTTTGTCACAAATTTTCGGTGAACAGTCATCGTTGTTCAATATTCGTTACCAATGTCTGAAGTTGGCTAAAGTGGGAGACGATGACTGGGTACAACATGCTGGCAGAGTAAATCGCGAGTGTGGGCGCTTCAAATTATCAGCAATGACAGATCAGTTCAAGTGCCTTGTTTTTGTATGCAGCTTGCAGTCACCTGAAGATGCCGACATCAGAACCAGAATTCTGAGCAAAATTGAACAGTGTCCAAATATAACACAACAAGAAGTGACTAGTGGGTGTCAGAGGTCGGTGAATCTAAAGCATGTCCCTTCTATGGTTGAAAACAATGGCCGGTCATCATATGTGCAGGTAATAAATGGCCAGAAAGATTCTTTTGTACGTAAGAAGGACATTTCAAACAACCAGCCCTCATCCCCATGCTGGTCATGTGGAGGTTGGCATTATAAGAGGTTTTGGTCATATAAAGAATATTATTGCAGTAAATGTCATCGTAAGGGACACAAAGAAACAAGCTGCAGGAAAAGAACCCATAAATGATATTCTTCGAAACCCTGCCTCAAGAAATACAGATCTAGTGCACTAACTAAGAAAATATTGGTATCACATAACCGAGCACAAATTTACCGCCAACAAGTGTAAATTTAGAGATAGATAAACAGCATGCCCGCCTGCAGCTCGACACTGATTCCGATATCACACTTATTAGTCAAAGAACTTCGGAGCATATCGGAAAACCTCAGGTGCTCCCAACAAACCAGTCAGCTCATAGCGCATCTGGAAGGAAATTAAATATTGTTGAGGAGCTCTGTTGTTGAGTTGTAAGAGGAAATGTGTAAACAAATGCAACGCTATATATCACACATAATCCAGGACTAGATTTGCTGGGTCTTTACTTAATAGAAACACTGTAATTAGCACATCACTCCATTAACCGCATATGCAGCTCCCTTAGAATCAATAAACCAGCGGAAAAGAATCTCAGGTATGTTGTGTTGGAAAGAAATAGTAGTGTGTTTACGGAAGAACTGGGGGAGTGCGACAAGGTAAAAGCAGTACTAAATCTTTAACCGGGAGTCACTCCCGTTTTTAGACCAAAACGTCCGGTACCCCATGCAACGCTGCCTATTTTTAAACAAGAGTTAGAGCGTCTGCAAAGAAGTGGAATAATAGAACCAGTAAACTTTTGTGACTGGGCAGCATCAATAGTGATTGTCAAAAAGCCAAATTTAAGCATCTGGCTATGCGCAGATTATTCGACTGGATTAGACGAATCACTTGAAGCCCATCAATGCTCTTTGCCGTTACCAGAATTACTTTCGAAACTGAATGGGGGCAAGTATTTTGCAAAACTGGACTTACCAGAAGCTTATTTACCGATTCCATTAGCGGAAGAGTGTAAGCATTACTTGACAAAAAACACTCATAAATGGTTGTTTCGATGTAACAGACTTCCGTCTGGAGTAAAGACCACCCCTTCAATCTTCGAACAAGTTATGGACATTATGCTACAAGATATCCCTGGTACTGCAGCCTATCTCGATGAAATTCTGATCATAGGTACAGATTATGCTGACATAAAGAATAAGGTTAATACGGTTCTTAGACGCATAGCAGATTATGGGTTGAGATTACGTGCTGATTTCGCCAGACCAATACAAGGCAGAAATTACTTAGTTGTTGTCGATGCTTTCACAAAATTGCCAGAAGTATATGACATGTCGAAAACGACTTCAGAGAGTGCAATAAGTAGACTGGCAGGATTGTTTGCTTGTTTTGAGGTTCCAGAGATCTTAGTGACTAACAACGGCACTCACTTTATGTCACCCGCTTTCAAACACTTTTGCAGTGAAAATGGCATATCGCATCGACAATCTCTTCCGTACCATCCTCAATCGATTGGCCAAGCAGAAATAGTCGTGGATACGATAACAAGAGCTCTGATCAAAGGGGAAGGTGAGGGTATCCCAGGACAAGTGACCAGTAAGTTCCTAATGTCCTACAGAGTTACCTCTAATCCGGCAGTACCAGAAGGAAAGTCACCAGCCGAATGTATGTTCGGAAGGAAAATCCGGACAGTCTTTAACAGTACGTTGCCGCCCAGAAAGACAAATAAACCCATGAATGAGTATCGTACGGTCACTCGTAGCTTCCAGGTGGATGAAAGGGTACTTGTCAAGTCGTATCAAGGTAAGAGGAAGTGGGAACCAGCTGTCATAGAACGTCGGATCGGAAATGTACTGTGCCTAGTCCGGAGAAATGTCGGAACGTGTATAAGACATGTAAATCAAATTCAATTCAAGCAACCAATACAAAAATGAATTATAGTTACAGCATTTTGTTTTCCTCTTTCAACCTGTTCAATTAAATTTAAAATGCTAAATCTTGTCTCACTATTTCTTCTAAACTCCGATTTTATAAACTTTTTATGTCTATATTATCGACTTTTTAGTTTATCATTGTTTTAAATTTTAATTATATACTGAATTTATTATGGGTTTGTTTTCTTCATTTTTATTGATTATACACAAAAGCTTAATGAATTTGTAGTCTTATCGAATCCGGAATTTCTAGCTGAAGGTACTGCTGTCAATGATTTATGTAATCCAGATCGTATTCTAATTGGTGGTGATTCACATTCGTCATCTGGTAAATTAGCAATTGAAATGTTACGTTGGATATATTTACATTGGGTACCAGCAGAACGTATACTTATTACATCGACCTGGTCATCGGAATTATCTAAATTGGTAATTTATTTTCATAACAATCATATGCTCACTATTGACTGGCTTTAAAATGTTACTCCTGGAGTTCTAGTGAGAAGTCATGATCAGTGGAGTTCAATCTGTGGCAATCAATGAAAGGTTGAGTAAGATCATGGATTAACTGAAGTTAGACACTAACACCGTTGGATGCCAGCTCATTGGTCTAGAGTTTAAGTGTTCGCGCGTGCGACCGGAGGTTCCTGAATGCTAGGTCATAGACGCACATTGCTGCGGATTCCTTTACTGGATTGAAACAGCTGTCTAGTGTTTTCGGGTTTTCAATGGTGGTGTAGCTATGATTAGTTCATAATTTCAACAGTGAGAATAGATTATTATTCTAGAAAGATAAGCATATATCTGTGCATCTTTATTTGTTTTCTGATGTCCTTTTCGGCTATATGTTTCACGAATAAATCATGCATAAAATTATTTTGGAGTAGTAAATTTGAGATCATTCACGCTTTTTTGGACTTGTATTTTTGTATGTGCTGAAATTGGTCATGGTTTCACTTCTTATCTTGCTCTAGATCTTCAGTTTCAATATTCCTTCGTATATATCTTTTCATCCTTTTTTTTCTAATCATATCCTCGATGTTTAGGTTTTATTCACTATCATTCATAATACATTGTTCAGACTCTTGGTATTCATCTTTTCAATTTTATCTTGTCCTACTTGGGCTTACGGATATATATATATATATATATATATATATGTTTAGCTCGATGTTGATAATATCTGACTAACAAATTGATCATTAGAAGAATATATGTAACACGAGCAAAATAATATGTATGTATCTTTTCCTGTCTGTAAATTTATTAACCATATACCCGTTACTTAGTTTTGCACCACAAATGACGTAGTTACGTACAGATTAAGATTTTCTATTTATGGTGTATTGTGGCCTTATAACTGATGTATATTATCATGTAACCTTTGAGTCATAATATACATAGAGTAAATCGGCTAACCTTTTCCGTGTTCTAATTGGACAGGCTAATGGCAGAAAGAATTAGCCTCGGCATATCAACGCTAACATATCCTATTGGTATTGGCTTCGTTGGCATAACCTAATTTATTAGTAATGTACTCAATATATCAGTTATCCATTTAATTGGGCAGATAGATGCTGAATTCATTTGGTATAACAATTTCAAATTTCAGAATAAACCTTAACATTCATCAGTCGTTTGTTAGCGCTCAATCTTTTCATGATTATTATTATTATTCCATTCATAGGCAGCTAATGCTTTTCTTGCTCAACGTATTAGCAGTATCAATGCTATCTCGGCTATATGTGAACAAACAAATGCTGATATTAAAGAAGTGTCTAAAGCAATCGGTACAGATCATCGAATTGGTCCATATTTTTTAAATGCTAGTCTTGGCTTTGGTGGTAGTTGTTTTCGTAAAGATATTTTAAGTTTGGTAATTTGAAATACATTTTTATTATTTTAAAATTTTCTTTGTTTCATAAATTTTTTTAACAAATAAACACAATAAGAATAACGTTTATTTTGTACACATAGTTTGAGAAAATTCTATTCACTATTCGAATTGGTTAACTCCATCTGTTGCTCTTCTAGGGCTATTGCCGATCCTAAGCTCGCGTAAAGAAAGAGTGTTGGGCATGTGGTTAGTAACCCCATTCCGTAGAAAACAACCTTTCTTAAATAAAGCTAACCAGAATAATAATAATAATTCAAATTGTTTAACATGAAATTTATTCTTCGTGTTACCAATAAATTTACTAAATCCTTTTGTTTATTAATAAAAATTCTGCTCGAAATTATTATTCTTGACTTTTGTCATACGCTTATCGTATCAAAGTAACTAAACAAAAAAGATTATGACTGATGCTACATGAAAGTAGATGTTTAGAATGTTGATTAACAACAATGAGGTGTTTTTATCGAATAATCAACGTTTTCTGTCGTAATCGTCCGGTTAAAGACTGTAGCTATAACCAAAAAGTACACATTATGGCTTTCTACTATTCTCCTTATCGTAAGTATTGTGCTTCATGGGAATAGAACTGTCGAAAAAATCGACAATTCTTAAAGGGTCATTTATAGTTTATATATATATAGGGTCAGCTGTAATACGACCCTTAATTATTGTGTAAGCTTCATACTCATTAATTTGACAATCAGAATATTTATCTTATGCTTGCAAAGCAAGTGAGTCTGATGCCAAAAAAATGTAAAATTAGCAAATGATTGTGCAAAGTCTATTCAACTAATCCTGATCACATTGGTCATTATGAGACTTCTTTTATCCACTCCGCGTAATAATGATATGACAAAGTGAAATGAATGTGAGGAGCACTGTACACTTTTCACTGCAATAAAAGTGTTCGTTACATAACTATATTGCTTAACCATTCATCTGGATAACATTAAAAAACCGTACTATGCTTGTAACTCTTTCTAGAAAAATGTCAAGCATTTACCAGAACTAATCGAAATACAAGGAAAATTTTCAAAACAACTTCTCTAGGTCTTTTGTTTTGTCTATGATAAATGTCACACTCTTAATTACCAGTACAAAGAATTGTGGAAATCTTTCTCTAAAGAGGATATCCAGGGTATTACAGTTTGTTCCTGTGGTATAATAACCAGACTACATAAAGATATTCACTGCTGTATTTACAGGTTCATTTCTCTTGTTGTTTATGAAAAGGTCGTTGCTATAGGAAATTCCCGTGTTCAGTTATTTCATACATTTAAATTTGAATATGTTTATCTGCGATTAATCATACGGTATGATTGTATTATCATAAGAATTGCCGGTTTCGCCCAAATGTTTCGCTTACTTATTTTTCAAACGTACAAATATTGAGATAAACGCTCTTTGTTTCAGGTTTGTTTTGAACTTTAGAATTTTGAGTGGCAGGCGTATACAAATATGCGGTTTTATAAAAAAATTGACCATTTGTGTGGGTGTTAAATACTGAAAAACTGGGATATAATCTCCACAGCCATTGGTATAGTCTTTTTCTCTATTCTCCAATGACATAATAGACGACTACATCGGAATTCATTAGTTGAATATATGACAGATGAAGGAAAGAGCTGTAGTCAGTGAACCAGTCGAAAACTTTCACAATTGAAGACTAAAGTAGTGGCAGAAATTGACAATTGAAAAAGATTTATAGAATATATTTAGGAATAATTACAAATTGAATTTATGTTGAGGAGTGGTTTTGTTGCCATAATCTATAATTTTCGTGTTAAGAATTCCTAATAGTAATGAAATTTATATTGGTGAATTAATTAATTGTTATTATGAATGAAACCTACATTAATTCTAGCATCAATCTGTGATAAATTTTTACAAAAAACTTGATATTTAGGAAATTAGCGCAATCTACGACGACTATTTTGAAACAATTTGTTTTCAAATAAGGTAAACTCATCTTTTTGTACACTCAACCTTCAGCATGCGCATGAAACTGGTGTATGCTACTTTCTGCCTTTCAATAGTAAACCAACTGAGGTTACTATGTGACGAATACACCCTATAAATAGTATTTGTTAAGCAGTGAGACTTAATCACATTGCCAATAAACACTTTTACTGTTAAATTACAGTACTACACAGTAGTGATAGTCGTAGTAGTAGTATGATAAGTCTAATGACTATACAGTTACACTTAGTACGTTTAAAATGGAATACATTAGGTCAAGCATACTCAATATAAGCATGGCATATATATATATATATATATATATATATATATATATATATATATATATATATATATATATATATATATATATATATATATATATATATATATATATATAAAATTCAACACACAAATGATTTTTTTCGTTCCATCTAAAGTACTCGTGATACTAAAAAGTTTTGACTTTCAAGAGTGAATGTATTTTTAGTTGCTCCCATTAACAGGTTGGTTCTGTAAAAGTCAATAAATTACTCCACTGTCTTACTGAGGTATTTAAGAATATGATTATAGTGTTCTCATCAGAATTTATTTTGTTTTATAATTGTAATGATATGTAAACAAAATAATTCTAAAATAGGTAAAATTTCTTTTTCACATTCAACTGATTTCCACTTTTAACAATCATATTCAAATGGACTGAATTTTTCTTCACAGTTTTATTTGTATATTTTTGTTGTTGTTACATTCCTAGATGTATATATCAGAGACATTGAATTTACCAGAAGTAGCTTCTTATTGGTATAGTGTACTACAAATGAATAATTATCAAATTAATAGATTTACACGTAATGTAATTGAAAAATTGCACAATACATTAAAAGGAAAACGTATTGCAATATTTGGCTTCACTTTTAAAGCAGATACATATGATACAAGGTTAGAATGTTTCTTTTTAAATTGAATAATTATCTTGACAGAAGAGGTTTTGTGGAGATTTTAGAAATTTGAATAGTTGAAATCATGAGTCAATTGAAGCTAGACCACCATGAAAAACCTTGAAGCAGTAGACGGCCGTTTCGTTCTAGTATGAGACTCCTCAGCAGTGCGCATCCACGATCCCGCCCCCGCGAGATTCGAACCCAGAACCTATCGGTATCGCGCGCGAGCGCTTGACCATTATGTTTACGTATTATGTAAATATTAATCATTTGTTAACTAATTACATTTCTCTGTCAATACGTTAGTTTAAATCTCCATTTCATCAATGCATTTTTTACTTGTATTCACATTATCATCGTTTTTTTCTTTAAAAAATATTAGAGATAGTCCTGTGATACCATTGTGTAATCAGTTATTACAAGAACAGGCTGAACTAGCAATCTATGATCCTAAAGCTCTTCATAAACAAATTGAATCAGATTTATTAATCAATGATAATCAAGATTCATGTAAGTAACATAGTATTCTTCAAGGAGTTCTTTTATCATGCCTATTTCATTTGTTTAGTTATAATTCAATTCTGGTTGTTTATTAATAAACCACTTAAAGTAAGAATGTCTTTGAATTTAAAAACTCTGATCTAAATTACTGTGTTAATCAAATTACGTGTTAACTAGATATAAGATTACAATAATTTCTATCATTATGGTTCAACTATAGTTTTTCATTATAAGTGGATATTCATCGATTGGACTGTAAAGAACAAAGGGTATGTAGTTTTTGACATTTCTTAGTAGTTTGCGATTTTATCCAGAATATTATATGAATGATACGTCAGGAGATGGAACATAATAATCTCACTTATTGAATATTGAATCAACAAAAATCATAACGACAATTTTGGCTTTATTTATTTGTATCTATTCGGTTACAGTAAAAGTTTTCTTAACAGGAAATTTACAATGTTTCAATAAATTCCACTCTTAGATCCACTTAAATTGTAAATACTCAAATACAACTTAAAACAAAGATTTTACTTATCATTCATCCTTATCATTCTAAACGTTTACGACCGGTTTAGTTCTTATGACACTGTCATTTCGTAATGTATATTTGATGCATAATCGTCTTTAGTTTATCTAAACGACACAAAAAAGCAAATAAGTAAACCACTGTGATGATAATGATTCTACTCAGATTTCCCATTGTTTAGTTCCGCTGTGTATTGCAACTTACGCCTGCTAACTCTCGTAGAGAATAAGCCGTCGACCAGGATCCTCCAATCAACTCTGTCTTGCGCTCTCCTCTCTAGTTGTTCCTAAGTGCTATTTATTCATTTGATATCTTCTCCCAATACCCAGCGCTCTTTGTTCTTTGTTTTGAGGATCTGAACTTGGGACTTACCTCATGATGTTTGGTGATTTCTGCAATGTGTCTCCCATCCAACTCCATCGTCATTTTCTAATTTCCTGTTCAGCTGGAAGCTGCTTTGTTTTCTACTAGACTAGGTTATTGTTGATTGTGTCTGGCTAACAGATTTGGAGTATATTGTGTAGGCAGTTTTTTTATAAATACCTGTACGTTTTTGATGGTGGTAGTTTTCCAAGTTTCAGCTTCGTACAAAAAAAATGTCTTGGCGATTGTATTGGAAATCCTGTCGTAAGCTTTTTATAAAAGCGTGCTGATACAATAGGAGGGTTGCTTAAATTGGTTCTAAAAAAGTCAGATTTATTGCATTATTTGGATAGTTAAAAAAATAGGTAACCCAGGACCCTAAGAATCCTGTAATTGGTTCCCAGAATTTGTTCATCTTCCGCCTGGAGCCCCTCAGGGGCTACTGCCGGTCCCAACCCCTAATGGACGAGGAGGGTTGGGCATGGGTTTAGCGAGCCTTTCCCGTAGAAAACTAACTCGCTAGAACACGCTAACTAGAAAAATAATTCAGATTATTATTATTATTATTATTATTATATCAGATCGAGTTAGTATGGTTTACTACTTTATTTCTAACACAAATTTTAGTTTACCAGGAAACCTTTACATTCAACTGATAAATACCTGTCATTTATTAGTTTTCCGAATGTGTGCGAGCGTGTATGTAAACGTTAGGCCACAAAATTGTAATTCTGCAACAGTAGAGAATCTGAAGACATCAGACCTATGTACATACATTGATTATGTATGCTCTTCCGTGTGTTTAGAATAAAGGTGTATTTTTAAGATTCAGGTGACCTTTGTTGCATGGGTCATTATTGTCGAAAAAACAAGACTTATCCTTTACCAAAAACCTGAACAGCATTTAAACGATTGGGTCACGTCGCACTATGTTTGTCAATTTACATATTTGTGTAATCACATATACATAGGAAGGAGCAATCATGATTTGCAAATTGGACTCAATGCATATTTATTAAAATGATAATCTCAGCGATTGAAATGTAAATAATGCCAACGTTTCGTCTAGCGAACTTGTCTGGACTTCATCAGGGTAATAACCAAAATCATCAAATCTATATTGTACTAATCCAATCATGAGCCAGTTAAATGAGAATAATGTGAAAAGTTCACAATGTATATGTGATTACACAAATATGTAAATTGACAAACATAGTGCGACGTGACCCAATCGTTTAAATGCTGTTCAGGTTTTTGGTAAAGGATAAGTCTTGTTTTTTCGACAATAATGACCCATGCAACAAAGGTCACCTGAATCTTAAAAATACACCTTTATTCTAAACACACGGAAGAGCATACATAATCAATGTATGTACATAGGTCTGATGTCTTCAGATTCTCTACTGTTGCAGAATTACAATTTTGTGGCCTAACGTTTACATACACGCTCGCACACATTCGAAAAACTAATAAATGACAGGTATTTATCAGTTGAATGTAAAGGTTTCCTGGTAAACTAAAATTTGTGTTAGAAATAAAGTAGTAAACCATACTAACTCGATCTGATATGATGATGATGGTAATAATAATATTAGTGACAAGAATAACAAATTCTGGGAACCAATTTCAGTTTCATGCACTCAAATTTTAATCACATGTGATCTGTGTACATAAACAACACTCTCTCACTCTAGGCAAGTTGTGTTACTGTTTCCCCAATGGTGTGTTTGTCACTGAGCCACTATTTCACATCGTATTATATTAGTTATATAAATGATTACCGTTAGTATTAAACTATCACGAATTTATTGATTAGTAACGAATTGATTTTATCTTTTAATAATGTTAGTTGACCTGAATCATATAGAATTAATTGCTGAAAAAGATTTCCCATACAACAGCATTACCATACATTTGAGCTAACATACTTTTTAATCATATGAATATGGATCTACCTTGCGATCCTATTACTCGTTTCAATATCTTTCCTAATATATTAAAATAGTGGGAGAATATAAAACACATATCGATGTACACAATTAGATAATGCTTCTGTTCATGTATATTTACCGAGAATATTTTTCTTCAATGCATTTTATGTGTATGTATTTTAGTTAGTCAATTCGTTCACATTTGTTCTACGCCTGAAGAAGCTGTCACCAATGCCTATGCTATTCTGATATGCACAGATTGGAAATGTTTCCAAGTGAGTATTGTATTGTATTGAGAAATTCTCTTGTTGAAATGTTGGAAAGTGATTTGTACGAATTCTTTTTGTCTTCGTTTTAATGTATGACTTAAACCAACACGTCCATGTAGTGGTTATTTTACATCGTTTGTTGACGTTGCAATAGAATTATATGGATGTAAAAATCTTTGAATTTCTTTTTTAAATAACTTATCAATAATAAATATGTTTGTTTTTGCAAAATTGATAGTTCAGTTGTCAGTTACAAATAATATAAAATGGAAATACTGATATATCACTTTTTGATGGTGTATATTCTTTTAAAATCAGTAACTCAATAAACATTCGTGACTTGCTTTTGGCCCCATTAGTTTTGATGAAGAGAACTAAACTACTTAAATGCCACTTGTTATTTCACGTGTATATGACGATTCTCATATACACCATCATCTTGCTAGCTAGGAAATGTTATCCATACCTCCTGTAGTCTTCGAATAAACCTTCGAACCAGTAATGTCTTCTCATACACTGTCGATTGAAAATACTAGGTAAGGATGGCAAATCAATTGATGACGTAGTGAAACTTCATCAGTTGAGATGGCTGGGACACGTGTTACGTATGCCGAACGACCGACTGCCTCGACGTGCTATGTTCAGTGGTATAGGAGTAGGTTGGAAGAAAGCTAGGGGCGGCCAAACCAAAACATGGCACAAGTCCATGAAGTCACTGACAAGTGAACTGAGTCATGTTGGTAGGTGTAGACTACCTGGTTGGGGACCGCGAGATGACAGCAACCGTTGGTTAGAGACCCTGAATGACATGGCTCAAAATCGTTTGCAATGGCGCAGGTGCATCCACTCTCTGTGTTCTCCCAAATTCTAATCTTCTGAATTCTTCATGTCCCTTTTTTTCCTCTTTCCAAATTTCTTTCACTGGATTATACTCTTTAAATAACATCTCCAAACCCTAATCTTCCCGATTACTGCTTATACTCTTATTACCTCTACCACGACGGGATTTGAATCGACAAGTGCATCTCTGTGCTAATGTGGTGTGGCAACTCGAACTGATGTACGTACGTACGAAGTTCTACGTTGTTACTGACTGACTGACTGACTGTGATACTTATAGAGAGTTCAATATCATTATCGCCTAGTTCTGTCGAAACTAGGAACATAATGTGTAGATTACTATTAATTTTTGTTAGGTGGTTAGAGGTGAGCAACAGTAAACCCTAGATCTGTGTTTCTTGTTATTTGACACGCAACCCGTGTCAAACCCGTTAGGAAGCACCAATGTTATAAAAGTTGTCAATCACTTTGAAGCAGCTAACATTTTGAAATCATAAGCGCAATATAAAGTCAATTAGATAGACAGATAAATTGCAATTCGACCGATCGGATTGAAGGACCAGACATGAATAGTACTGGTCACTACTCGTTGATCAATCAGTTGTGACCGTTAAATTATTGGTGTCAATATAAAACTGGCTGGCTAAAACGTTGATACAGTCCTTGTTAGGTCACTACTGACTCCCTTGAATATAATACATAAAAGAACCAAAAATACATTGTCTGTAGGTTTTAACTAACATCATACTGAATTTCTTGAAACTACCTAAATATTATTACTTTATAATTTTACGAGTATTTAACAACTTAGTATTTTGAATTTATTATTCTATATTCTCTGTTTTGTTTGTTTTTCTGCTTTTCATTCAGTTCTTTACTGTTTGTTTATTTTGTGGGATTGACTAGACTTGACACATATGAGATTGATCACCACCCAGTGATCAATCAATTGTGATTACATCTTAGTCCTAAAGGAGGTCGGTCGCGGTCCAGATAGCTCAGTGGTAACGTCTCTGACTATGAAGCTGGGTGACACGGGATCGAATCCGTCAGGGAGCACCAGTTTCCTCACAATTACAGGTACACCTTGCCGACGAGTGCCAAGTAGCACGAAACCCGGGTCCAAGGTTTCCTGTTGACTACCTCCAACCACCATCTTATCTCAACATAGTGCACGCAGTGTCGAGTCACCTAGACTAGTGGCCACATTGCAACTTAGTCGACAGCATTCGATCTGCACTAAGAGGGACTTGACACACATGACATTGATCACCACCTAGTGATGAAACAACTGTGATTAGTTCTATTATTTATATCCATATGGTTTATTATATTTCTTAGTGAATGATTTTAATTGATATCGTCAGTTTTTTTTAATCTTAATTATTGATAATACTTTTATCTGTATTAAAAACAGATTAGTAAATTTGATGAGCTTGTTAAAACGTTAACAAAATTGTATGTTTTATTTATACTGAATTATGTAAACTTTCGAATTAAAATTGTTATTTCATGTTAATCACTAATTGATTTTCAAATGGATTCCCTTCAAATTTTATTATAAAATCATGACTAGTGAAATGCATTTATGTTAGATAGTAGTTAAAGTGTTACTCATCAATTGAATTTCAATAGTTGTTACACTAATTAAATGTCAGTCGTGATCTAAAACTAACTCTCTTACTGTAAGATTTTAATGTCTTATATACAATATCTGGTAGATCTTGAATAGGGAAATTAGCTACAATTTATGATAGTTTTTGTTAAACAGTTTCTGTTTATGAATCAACTTACTTTAATTTACACCCTTAGCATGTTTCTGCAATACACAAACGATCCAAACACTAGATATTCAAAATATTGCCATAAAATAAAATGCAAAACTAAAAGCCGATAACAAATATTTATGAAAAAGTCTATTAAAATCAGCGTATAATTCAATTGTGCAAAAAATTAGTTAATTGTCAATCAACAGACAAATAAACAAAATCAGTACGGGGATTTGTGGAGATTGTTGTATTTTCGCAGTTGAATTCATGAGTCGATCTTAGCTAGACCACCATTTAAACCCCGGAAGCGCTAGAAGACCGTTTCATCCTAGGATGGGACTTATCAACAGTGCATATCTACAATCCCACACATGTGACTCGAACCCAAGACCCTTGGTCTCGCGCGCAAACAACTAACCTCTGGACCACAAAGCTGGCATCCAACGATGTCAATGTCCAACTTCCATCGATATATGGTCGTGTGTAACCTTTTATTCATTGCTTGAGGTGGATAACTGCCTCACATCCGACACGGATTGAACTTAATTGGTCAAGGCTTCTCACTAGAACTTCAGGAGTTACATCCTAAAGCTAGTCATTAATGAGCACATAATTGTTATCAGTATAGGGATTCGTAAAGACTCAATATTTTCATAGTTAAAATTACTAGTCGATTTAAGCTAGACCACCATTAAAAACCTGGAAGAACCGTATGGCCTTTTTACATTAGTATAAGACTTCTCGCACACGAGATTTGAACACAAGCAAACAAAAGTAAATTTCCAAAGAATTCTGCTCATAATGAAACATTACATTTTGCTTATTTGTTGTCCACCAATACATTTCTTTATTTTTTTTTACAATTTATTCCAAGGAATATGATTATGCGAAATTTTACCGTTTAATGACGAAACCAGCAAGAATATTTGATGGACGCATTATATTAAATCATAAACAATTAAGTCAAATAGGTTTTATTGTTGAAGCAATTGGTATTGCATCAGAAAGTTTTACCATGAATGGTTATGTTGAATAATAATAGTAGTAAACAGTAGTAATACAATTTAATATATTAGTTATTATTACTTTTATTCTTGACATCAGCTTCGGCCTTCTATGTTTATTTATTTATTTATTTCATCTTTCGTTTCTTTTGGTAGTATTTTGTTAATTTTGATTCTTATGAAATGTAGAATGTTGGCAATAAAGAAATTCCTGTAATTATGACTGCATATTGCTTCTTTTTGTGTTCTTCTGTTAAAACATGCACATTCACATATCTGATTTATGATATTTTCATTACAAAGCCCCCCCCTCAAAGAATACAACGTAAAACTGGAACCAATTTATTTCCAACTACACTCCAATTTGCTTTCATTTTGTATGTTTGTGTATATGTGCTTTGTTCACACATATCCATTGTCTAAAGATAGACAATGTATTGTCAGTCTATGCACACCTATCTTGTATTATTCAAAATTGTGTTTATGCCTGTATCTAGTGTCTAGTAAATGTTATATTAATGTACCGTTTATCCTCAGGAGCTTGTGTTCTTTTTTCGGTTTAAAAACAATATAATTCTCTAATTTATTTTGTACGCTGAAATAATTTCCACTGTTAGCTTTTTTATGTATAATTTATTTTTATTACTGATGACTTATGAAAGTGTAATCTTTCAAAAATGACGACAAAATACTTTTCTTACACCTTTATTCTTATTCTAATACACAGTAACTTTTAACTTTATTAAACAAGATATTATTGATACTACTGTGGTGTGGGCTACTGATTTCGACATATATAAGTAGTATGTATTTACAATCCACAGTGGAATACCTAACGATAAAAGATTGAGAAAATCAAAGAGAAGAGAACAACAAATTCTGAGACAATTGATGGATATTCTACAAATGAAGTATTTACTATATGGTTCTCAGATTTTACCAAGATATTCTGCAATGTATTGAATTACATATATGTGTCTCCAATGGTGTTCTCGTTAACTACACTACTACTGCTACTATTACTACTAATAATTATAATCATAAATCGATTCTCAATTGTCATTTTTTCCCCTATCACTTGTAATTTCTTCCGTAAACTGTTTACCATTGAAATGGATAATGACCCAGTGATTTATTCTGACTGAATGATTATTGTTTCAACAATTATTTTGATTTGCTTCGAATTTTGTCTACTTTCATTCACTTCTTTTTCTTGTTTTCTTTTTCATAAATCATTCCTGTTTATTTTATAAAGCAAATTATCTATGAATCCGGTTGTGATGATGTCTTTTATTAAAATGTACAAATCATGAAAAATATTCACTTTCTTGCATAACAATAGTACTGTTTTATTGTGTTGTTAACCATCTGAAATAATTTTAGTAAATCAAACTACAGTATACATTCTTTGCTAATTATGTTCATTTTTAAAACAGTTTAGTGTTTATTATGAATTGAATATTGTTATTTTATATATCGACTAATTACATATTTGAACAAGGAGGTTTTATCAGTCAGCGTAGATAAAACATTTAAACAAATAAATTTGACTATTTATACTTATTGATCATCATTCTAAATAATAATAGAAATAAGGTGGAAATCTGAACATGTTTACGAAAAACATCATTGAAATCCCTAATCCTCATCGATTTCAATATGTTGACAACAAATAATTTTTTGCTTTGTTTTTAACCCCGCTGGCAACTAGACTTTCTTATCTTATCATTTGATAAAAAAGACTACAAGAGTTGTATTTATTTATTGATTAGTTTAATTACAGTACCACTATTATCTGATCGTATCATCAGTAAACAAAAAAATTGAAATACATAACTCATTTTTGGTGTACTCGATTGTAGGATTTGTATGTTTTCATTTATTTTTAACTGTTTATCATTTATTTGTCTTTAAACGTATTCGTTGCTTAGGTTATATTTAATATTAAAAAAACATTAGTCTGACTGTATTGTAAATTTTCAATCTTTACTTTCCAAGATAACAAGATATTTTAGTTCAAGTTTCAAATAAATGATCGTTCAGTAACTGCTATTATGATGTAATTGAACTTTACATTTCTCTCTCAATATTTATTTTTAATGTTAGCTAACTATTTTTCAATGATACTTTCACAGTGCAACTCTAGAAAAATAGACTTATAAGCAGAGATATTATCATGCATTACAGAAACAGTAAATAAATTCGAACACTTCACTTCTTTCTGAAGTTTATGCTGATGATGTCGTGCAGAATAGCAATGAAAGCTTCATAAACAACCATCCAGCTCAGAGAACAAAACTCCACCAAATAAGTTACAGTTTGATTTTTTTTGTATTATGTGATGTTTAGAATATGTATCACTTTTTCTGGTAATTTAACGATAACAAAAGAGTCTAGATAGCTATGATGTACTCGTTTAGTCTTAATGACACGAATAACCTGTTGATTTAGTTGTAAATAATATTTTTTAGTAAAGTAGTTAATACCTGTGTTACTAAGCCATTTTAAATGTTATAACTATTACAAATGGACATTATTCCTCACTCTTAACTTAATTGATTTTCCAAGTCATAAATAATACTATACAATTTTTATAATATCAAATCACTACTACTTAAAATAAACAATCCAGAATCGTGTATGCATACTGCTTAATAGTCCCATACTAAGACGAAATGGCCGTACAGTGCTTCCACGTATTCCATAGTGATCTAGCTTTAATTAACTCAATAATTCAACTAATAAACTTCAGAATGTGATTTACTGATAAATAATTCTTCTTATAAGAAATATTTCATTTTTCTACTTTAATCTGTAATAATTTAATCTCTTGTAATGACTTTATGATATTTCGTTAGCAAGGATGACTTTTGGTGTTGACCTTCCTTTCTTTTTTTTTTCCAAAATTTTGTGAATTTGTACAATAGACACCAATATAATAAATGTCAGTTAACATATTCGAAATTCTTTTAGATTAATCAGACTAGATTTCAATTCGCTTAGTTCTAACTAGTCACATTATTTATCTTCATTTACAAATACAGTTAGAAATGTTAATTCAGAAATGTTTGATCTAGTATAACTAGTGAAATTGTATAAAACGTATATGAGTTAGAGTTTGTTAGGATTTATGTAGTTGTATTGTATAAGTTATCTTAATGATTAACAAAATAGATGAATCATAAACTATGAAAAATGTCAAATTAAATTCGATGAATTAACAAAAATAAAACCAGTAAAGTACACACTTAGATAATATTTTTGCACTTTTCTGACATGATAAAGACAGAAAATGGTTACCATTATGATTCATTAAGAGCTGAAGGAGATGGAATAGAAAGAGATTAATTAAAAGATATTAAATAAGAAAAAGAGAATTCAGCGAAGAAAATTTTCTTTTCGACGAAATCATTTACTTAAGCTGTACATTCGTATATATAGTTATATGGAAAATGTATGTCTATAGAAGGATAGAAAGGATTGTATCACAAAAATGGATTCGAGAATAAATAACAAATGAGGTTAACGTACTAATCAAGGGTTAAGGAAGAACAAAATTTATGGGTCAGATAATAGTTGAATTGACCAATATGAAGAAAGCGACAAACAACAAAGGTCATAATAATAAACTGAATGATAATCAAGAAAACTTGTATAAGGTAATAATAATAAGTGATTAGAGTTTAAAGTACAAAATAGTAATTTAAAAAATATCGATAATAATTAAATAAAAGTGCAGAAAAACACCAACACAGAAACATACCCATTAAGGGAATTAGGACCAAGGAAGGATGAGAGGTTGGACAAATCGTTTCTGCACTCAAAGTTCAGGCTTGAGTTTGTGGATTGCCAATGCCTCTGCGGCGCATAAAATATTGAGTCGATCCAGATCATTTGACTCTGTAGACTACCTTAAATGAAGAGTCTTTTGGAGCGTTGTGTCCACAGTTAATTAAGTGCTCCTGTATAGAGCTAGTGATTGTTTCACGTTCCCCTTTTAAGAGCCAGGCCGGATAATGTTCCGAGATGCGTTTGGATACGGATCGCTTTGTGCGGCCTATGTAACTTGCCCACATGAGCAAGTAAATTCATATATGCACATTGATATGGCCCTTGTAACCTTTGTTGTTTGTCGCTTTTCTTCATATTGGTCAATTCAACTATTATCTGACCCATAAATTTTGTTCTTCCTTAACCCTTGATTAGTACGTTAACCTCATTTGTTATTTATTCTCGAATCCATTTTTGTGATACAATCCTTTCTATCCTTCTATAGACATACATTTTCCATATAACTATATATACGAATGTACAGCTTAAGTAAATGATTTCATCGAAAAGAAAATTTTCTTCGCTGAATTCTCTTTTTCTTATTCAAGGACACTATGGGTTATTTTTATTATCTAAAAGATATTAGTATGTTTAATTTTGGTCGAAAAATTCTATTCGCTGTTGCCTATCCAACGCTTGGTAAGGACTAATACACAGATCATAAAATCTTCATTGACAATTGGCACGTGCTAATAAATTTTAAACGTTTAGCTACACATTCAAAGTAATGCTGGGAAAAACAATAGTGGAACTCACGGTCTTTATGAAAGTTTGTATCTGGAATTAAGTGAATGTGCACGGAAGCTTATCCATCTTTTACTAGTCATATAAACATCAGAAAAGTTAACCTTTTAATTTTCACATAAACGTTATGTTCTATACGTCACAGTTATTTAGAAAATTATCCTTGTGAAATTAACAGTTTTGGTGATGTGTTAGTTTTCAAACTTCTTGGCTATCAAGCTGTAGATACCAGGATCAATGTCCTCCCTTATGCAAACACTATAGTTTAATGTCGGATGTATAAATCTGTACTTAGTATGTTATTTGCATGATTCATACTTATTGAAAACATTTTATTTATCGCAAATCTTATATAAAGCATATTTTACTATTACCGTAGTACAATTACTCATTGGTTAATGTTAGAATAGAATATGCTTACATATGGTCTTCAACTTATGCCCCTATCAGATCTTAGAGAATTTCGATTTACATCTCGACTGATAAATCAATCATAGAGGTAATTGTTCATTAATTTAATCATGTCCTTAGGTTTATTATATATTAATGGTAACTGTTATTTTGCTTACATTTATACATAAAATAAGAAGCTTACCAACATCTGTCTTATTCTTATTTCCATATAGTCATGCCAGCATTGAACTGGCTAATATCATCATACTAGTGAAACAAGGGTGTGACATGATAAATTATGTTTTAGATTATTGACAAATTGATATGTATAGGTTTATAAGAATGCTGGTTTTCTATAGGAACATTATATTCATTTATCACAAAATAAAACTCGATTGTAATTTGTAGTAATTACTTAGCTTATTTAATCGGCAGATTGGAACTCGTCCCATTGTTCCCCACCTAAACAATTTTACTATATAATGCAACAGTCATAAATAAGGCCTGATGCTTAGTGTGTAAGCTAACTATTCAGGTAGACATTTAACTGATAAACGATCATATATATATATATATATATATATATATATATATATATATATATATATATATATATATATATTTGAAATCATGATTGTTTGATGATACATAGTGTTTGAGTACATCCCAATAATCAACCAATATAGTTAATCCAATAGTAAAAGAGATTAACTATTATATAAAGGTTCAGAACGAAAATTCTTTGATTGTATCTTTAAATCCCAACAGGTGCATCAATTTCTTTTTATATGATAACTATCATAATCCTAGACAAAGCAATAGCCATTAGGTTAAAAACCCGGCATTTATTTATTTATTTGAACATATAAACATTGGTACAAGAGGGCACCAAATGCATATGCACCTCACAATAACAATGAGGCTGTTAAGAGATAGAGAATGTAAAGTACATATAACGAAAAGAAGAACAACAATGAACAGAATTTAGTGTATGATAGTAAAATAATAATAACGAGAGAAGCAGTTCAGTTAGCAGCTGTAGCCTTTTGAACTTCATCAAGAGTTGGGGGACCTACTTCAATGTTCCATTCACACTGTCTGGGAATGGAGGGTAGTTGTAGAGTAGCTGAAGGCCAGTTGAACTGTTCCGCCCATCGTTCTAAACGTCTGGACTGGGAGCAGATGAGAGGCAGCCCTGATGTCAAGAAACACTACGATTGTTGGCTTTTGATGAGTATGACGGTGTTCTAACATTTGGCGGAGGGTGAAGATATGATCAATACATCCTCGACCAGAACGAAAACCAGCCTGCTCCTCGCGAGTCAATCTTTTTCGAGTTTTGAACAACCTACGAAGTATGATGGAAGCCAATAGCTTGGACGCAATTGGAAGTAGACTTATCCCCCGATAGTTGTTACAGGAACGACGTGAATCCTTTTTAAGGATAGAGACAACTATTGACTAAGTTCCTTGCGAACGCCCGACCTGGACATATAAGTATCCGTTTAGCACTGTAATATCTGTCGAATGTACTTTCTGTAGAACAGTTTACTGACCGTAAAACCCACTATTGTTCGTATCCGTACTGCATTCTGTTGGAGCATAGGCGAAGATGATCAAAATTCATCGTTCATCACAGTGATTTACCCGCACTGTGGTGGAACTTTCTAATTTAACAGTACATAACTGATTGTTAATAGGTATCCGATTGATCAGTGCCTTAACTGTACCGCTTAGTTTGACAACAACGCCAGCTAAAACGACCACAGGGTCCACGGATAAACGCATGTGAAACAAATTCTCTATAGCGACTGATGGATAGCGGATTTGTAGTGCTTAACTGGAGTCTCGAGTAAACAACCTAAGAAGAAGCGGTACAATTGACTACAGAAATTTGGATTCTCATTTAAGCTGTGGAGGATGTGGTGTTTTGTATGAAATAATGATTACCTTGCACATGATATCTGCCTAATATCGCATTCCAAATACAACATATTCATGCTCATCTATTTCTTTTTGTTCTAAATTTCGTTACTGCTAAGATTCCTAGTTTGTATAATAATTCAAATACTTCTAATTATCACATTATATGAACGACGAGTTCGGCTGAGATCTTGCTAGTAATCAGTACTGATCAATAAATATAGTGAATAATTGTTGTAAACCGGATGATATATTGGACAGAAATGTGCAAATGGAGAACAACTAAATTTAATATGTATTGCATATACGTCTCTTTATCTGCATATTAAAATATAACTGTATCTATTGCTTTTATGAACACTAAGAAGTGCTTAAATACACGCACTTCGATAGTTATGGTAGTCGTCAACTAACTTATTCCACCTAATAATCTGTTTTATATAAAACTTATGTACCTACGTACGGGGAGCAATATCGTATTGCTGCAATAACGATGACCTTTCAGACAAATCAGTTGCCCCGTCCACTAACCATAAATCATCTTTAGACTTTTATGCATTATTCGGTATGATTTTACTACGTACTCATCTTGTAGAATCACGAAGGGTGTTGGCTGGCGATTCATAAACTTATGCCTAAAATATCACCTCACATTTACAGTCCTTACGGTCCGTCAATTATTCCTAGACCTTTTTGATTTACGTATTCGGTTGAACATACACTAAAAAACAACAAACTCATGCTCGAATCTAGTATCACTTAACGAGCACCTTTATATATGTATATATTGTGTATGCGTAGTTTAAAACCCATAAGTGCTGAAATTTATTGACTGCTGTTCCGGACTCCATCCAAATCATAAGTCGTCTGCTCAAAATGAAACACCTTAACGCAGTCAGATAGACCAATGTATTTCTCGAGCATGAAGCACAACAAATAATAGTGCACTGGCAGAAATAGGACAAACAATTGATTATTGATGAGCAACTGTATCAAATACATTTCAGAAAATACTATTAATATAAATAAAAGACGACAGCAGTTCCGAATGATCTGACCG